CTTCTCCATTTCTGAGAGTGTTGCCTTGCAACCCACGTCTCCATTTTCCTCCTAGCTTTATGCGCGGTTACTCCTAGAGCTGGCTCAGGACCAACGAGCTTGCTGGCTGATCCTGTTTTCGCCAGAGTGTCCGCCGTCTCATTGCCCCTTATCCCAGCGTGCCCCGGTACCCATATTAACGATACCGGATGCCTCGCTGCGAGGCAATCCAGAGCCTCCCTGCATTGCAATACAAGACTCGAAGTAATCTTACATGCACTTAGTGCTTTCATTGCAGCCTGGCTGTCGGATAAGATTGTTATTCTTCTCCTAGGCCCACCCTCCTCCAGAATGTGAGATACACAAGCCAGAATCGCAAAGATTTCCGCCTGGAAAATGGTGGTGTACTCACCGAGAGGCAGAGATAGCCTAGTTCTAGGTCCAGAGACCCCAGCACCTGAGCTCTCTTCGGTGACCGAGCCGTCCGTGTACCAGACCTGCCCGCTCACTTCGGAGAGTCCGCGGCTACCGGCGTCCCACTCCTCCCTCGTTGGGTACTCCACAATAAACTTGCGGTTCAAGCGATATTTAGGGGTAATATGATCACCCCTGCTTAGAAGGACGGGGTCCTCCTTTTCTAATTCGACTAAGATGGCAGTATGCCCCTTGACCGGATTCAAGAAAGCCCAGCTGCCCTGACTCCACAGTCGATGAGCGACTACTCTCGCTTCACCGCGGATCACCAGATCCAACGGTGGGAGATCCAACAGAGCTTCCATTGCACTCAATGGCGTTGTTCGCACTGCGCTTGTAATGCTAATACAGGCCAAACGCTGAATTTTATTGAGTTTGGCCTTAGTTGACTCAGTTCTAATGCAAGGCCACCAGACCAGGGAGCCGTACAAGAGAGATGGACGTACTATCGTCGTGTAGAGCCAGTATACCACTTTGGGTTTAAGCCGCCACCTTACACCGACAACACATCTACAAGCCCACATCGAATTGCGAGCCTTGCTAACCTTGTGTTCCACATGCTCTCTCCAGTTCAGTTTGCAGTCCAGGATAATTCCCAGATATTTCACTGACTGGGACAAAACTAATCTAGTCCCAAAGAAGGTCGGCATGACCAGTCCGTCAAGCCTTCTTCTCCTAGTGAATAGGATCAGCTCGGTCTTTTCAGCATTAACAGAAAGATCGACTTCCCTACACCACGATTCCACGGAGCGCAGAGCGCCCTGCATAATTTCCGAGACTGTTCTACAGAAACGCCCCCCAACCACTATGCTTACGTCATCAGCATAGGCTTGCGCGTAGACACCCATACTGCTGAGCCTAACGAGCAGTTCGATCACCACGATACACCACAGTAGGGGTGACAGAACTCCGCCCTGAGGGCAGCCTCTAGCTACGTTCACGCTGCAGCTTACGTTATTCAGCATAGCTGTTGTTACCCGACCCTCCAGAGTAGAGAGGACCCAATCTATTAGGATTGATCCAACCCCGTGTCTAACCAGGGCCTGTCTGATAGAGTCGGTTGTGGTGCAATTAAATGCACCTTCAATATCCAAGAAGGCCACGAGTGCCACTTCTCGCTGATCTAGAGTCTTCTCCAGCCTCCCGACCAGATTGTGTAAGGCCAGATCAGTCGATTTTCCAGCTTGGTATGCAAACTGATTTGCATGAATGACACACCTTTCCAGTGGGCCATCCCTTAGGTATCTATCAACTATCCTTTCCAGGGTCTTAAGCACAAAAGATGAAAGAGTAATCGGTCGAAAATCCTTCGGGCCAGTATATCTATCTCTGCCCGGTTTAGGAATGAATACCACTTTAGCCTGCCGCCAGCTTCTAGGTGTGAAGCCCGTGGCCACACATGCTCGAAACACCTTCAATAGGTAAGGAACAACCGAAATCCGTCCCTGCTGTAACATGGCCGGAAATACGCCGTCCAGACCTGGACTTTTGTATGGGACAAACGAATCTACTGCCCATACCGTCCTTTCGAAGGTGACAATCTCCCTTGCCGTGCGCCAGTCCTCCCTTGAGGGCCTGCGCAACTGCATGCACTCTGTGATTGATCGCGCTACTGTGGAACCGGGAAAGTGCGTATCCATCAGAAGCCTCAGAGTATCTTCCTCGGAAGTAGTGTTCCCCCCGAGGGATCATGCAGAGATCCCAATATTGCTTTAATGTCTTTGCATAGGACTCTGTGTATTCTTGCAGTAGCATGAATGTCATTTATGGACTGACAGAAGTGCCTCCAGGATTCTCTGGAGGCCCTTCTAATCTCCTTTTTGTACTCCTGCAATGCCTTTTTGTATTCTTCCCATAGAGGAGAACCTCTCCTCTGCTTAACTCTGCTAAGAAGTTTGTGCACCGCTCGTTTTCTATCCTCTAAATCTTTGGTCCAGAAGGTTGCCTTGCCCTTACCTTGTACTTTGCGTAACGGCAGTTTTCCTCATATGCAGCCGTCAAGTCCCTGCTCAGAGACTCGACAGCTGCTTCTATGTCAGAGCCCCTGCCAAGCCTGTATGGGACCGCTCCAAGCTTACTGTCAATGTCTGCCCTAAAGGACCCCCATCTAGTATGCCTGGGATTCCGAGCATATTTATCCGGAATCTCTCCATCAGTCTTGAACAGTATATACCTGTGATCCGATAGAGAGGGTGTTAGAGACACTTTCCAGTCCCTGATGTCCTGAGCTAAGTTAAGCGTGCTCAGTGTTACGTCGATAACCTCTTCTCTTACACTATTGCTGAAAGTTGGCATGTTACCGACATTCAGAACCTCAAGGTTCGATGCCCCAAGAAACTCCATCAGGTCTTCACCCCGTCTGTTGGTGTTCGAGCTGCCCCACGTAACGTGATGGGCATTACTGTCGCATCACAAGGTCGAGTCCAGAATCCCTACAGAATGCGACAAGGTCCCCCATTTCCTTAGACGGAGGAGGGTCTCTTGAATCGTAAGGAAGGTAAGCCGAACATACAACCAAGTCCCTGTCACTGCCTTCCTTCTTATATCTAATTCTGACTGCAACTAAGTCTCTGAATGTAAATTCTTTAAGTTGCCATGAGTTGACGGAAGTCATTACGCAAGCTCTGGGCTTAGTGTCCGGAGTATCGCTAAAAAGCTAAAAGCCCGTTTACTGAACCGTTTCTCAGCCAGGGTTCCTGGATGAGAGCCACGTCATGTCGGCCTCGAGTGATCTCCTGAGTAAGGGCCCTCGAAGCCGCTATGCAGTGTTGTAAGTTAATTTGGATGAAATTAAAACTTACCATGGATGTTGAGAGGCCCTTCCAAGCATTAATCTGATACATATTTTCAGTGTATATAGTAAATTCTTCATTGGTTGTTTTAGCAAAACCTGTAGGAATGCTTATATAAAATTGGGTTTATAAAGAAAATTCATTCTAGATATAATGGTTTAATTTGATAGAAAAATATTATTAAAACAACATTCTAAGCCTCTTCTGCATCTTGCAAGTCCACTCCTCTGCAAAACAAAACTAACTAATTATGAAGTATTATTGAATACATAAGCTGCTTTCCAGAGTATTTATGGGAATATCAAATGCAGTGGAACAATACTGGTGCTGTGCATGGTGAGTTACTCCGAGTTGGTAAACTGGGCGACTGAAAAGCAGCTCTATAATGCACCTAAAAGGACCCCACATTTTCTGCCTATGATAGTTCGAGATTTGGTTAATTTTTAAGAAAATTTTTAATGTTATTTTATATATCCTGATGAACAACGTCCATGGGCACAACTTGATCCTTTGACTAACTTTTAAAGAAAAGATTTTTGAAAATGTGACTTTTTTAGTAAGGGAGCTTAGCCATAACTATTTTGTGATTTTATAGTATAATTCAAGGGACAAAAGTATAGTATTTTCGACTGTTAAAATTTTTGAACGTACTACGACAAAAATTAATAATAATAATTGAGATATTTAAAAAAAGCATTTTTGATGTATCTTGATCAAGTTGCGATTATATGACTTTTCATTGGGATGTTATGAGCATAATTTTCGTATCCAATCTCAGATAAATCCACCAATACCAAATAACTGTTTCACTTCAAGGCTAGTTATTTATGGTCTTGTGAATATCTTTATACTCAGCTTCCACAATAATGTTTACTAGTCAGATAGATTAAGCTATGTAATTATTAAAAAACTTACCCTTTTCCACAAAAAAACACTCAAATAATTAACTACTTGGAGGTACACAGGATGCACGCTATCATAGTGAAACTCACAGGTAAATAGATGCCGGCAAACGAGTCGTCTCAGGCCGGCTTGCTATTATCCCATTGGTCGCCCGAGGTCACACGCACATGCGCCGTAGCCGAAAATATTTAATGAATATTTCCTATATATTGGATATCTAATATTTTCCATTGATTGAAAAGTAAATATTTAATGAATATTGTAAAATAAATATTGTAATTAAAATATTTAAGAGATATTGAATAAATATTTAATAAAAATATTTATTAAATATTTGTTTAAGAAAACAAATGTTTAAGTAAAATAAAAATATTATTAAATATTAAATAAATATTTAATGAATACCTAGTGCTATCGGGGAAGTAATTTCTTCAAAGATATTGTAATGGATTTAAACTGTCATGGAATATTTTTTGTAGCGCGTACTGATGAAGCGAACAATCATTTTCGGAAGCTTGACATGAACAAAGGATGAAAGGATGAATGAAATCGCCTGAATTTATTTGCGTTGTGTAAGCACCCTCAGAGCTTTTGTACTTCTATCTTAACTGGCCAGCCAAGACTACCCTCCCCCTCTGTCTTCCAAAAAAAAATATTGGTGACCGAAACGTCGTATAATTAACAAAAATTAAAACATGTATGTGGTTTGATTCGGCCAGACAATGGAGTCCTATGAGCATGAAAACAATCGTGTTCACAAGTGCCGTTTGTCATTTTTGAAATTCCCGCCTAGTGATATTGAATTTTATTAAAAAACAAACTTTGATAAGCAATTTATGACAGCCGATTGAGGCCTTACTTCTCTAGGTCTGAAGTGATGGTGAAGAAGCTGCGCTACTATGCCCGTTTCATAGTAGTATGCTTGTTGCTCAGAAGAATGAAGCTGGTTCGAGAACTGATCGCGGAGTTGGACAGACACATCACGGACTATACCAGCACGTATGAGCCGGATGACCAGATTGAGTGGAATTTGGTCTTGGACGAGATCAAGGGTTTCATTCAGTCGGATTCGTTGGTGCAAGTGCTCCATGCTGATACAAATCCCATAGTCTTATCACATAGGTAATGAATATTTTTAGTCGGAAAGAATTGGTTCAGACTTAGAAAGCAAATAGGGCACTGTATTGTAAAAAATGATGGAATGTTGTTTTACCTTTTATTACTGCTAAAGGTGTTACCTACCATCTGTTAGGGTTGCAATGGATATCCGGTAACTATCCGACTACAGTTTATTGTCCTGTCAGATAATGAATAAGTGGAGTATTAAAACAAAAAAAAACGCAACATATACGAACTTTATTTTTATTGCTACAATCAGCCTTTAGTCAATAAGATTAAACAATCAATGCTTCTTATCTAACACTACATTGAGGATAAAGTAGAGTGATAAACAAAATGTTTTTAAAGAAAAAGGCCCTTTTCTATTTCAAGTAAAATAAATACATAAAGGGTATTCATTTGAAAACTCTCCACCACGGATTTATCAAAAACCACTGATTAAAAGAAAAAAGCCAAGACACTTCAAGAGATTTGTCAAGGGGGACAACTTTTTGACCGGCTACGTCCCCCCTTTCAACCTCTGCCACCCAGGGTCATCTTCTTAAAAATTTCAAATGACAAGGGCTATCGAATAACAGCTTGTTTGAAAGGTCTTTCGAAGTTCTTTATTTTGACGTTTGATTTTTCAAAATCGGTCGATTCGTTTTCAAGAAAATTAGAAAATTTATTAATCTTGATTTGTTCAGACAGAAAACAAAAACATACAAAAATATCACTTTTTGTTTCAATAAGTGTTCAAAATGTTGCCCGTTATTGGCCAAATAATGATACAGGCGATATTCAAATTCCTGACGGACATTTTCAAAGACATGTTGGCAGCTTTCGACGATTTGTTGACGAAGTTTATCCAAACTTTCAGGTTGAGGAGTAAACACAATAGATTTCGAAGTGCCACATAGAAAAAAGTCCAATGGCGTCAAATCAGGAGATCTAGCAGGCCCTTTTCGCACTATCCATTTATCTGGAAACTCTTCGTCTAGCCATTGCCGAACCGGAAGAACATACTGCCTTGCTGGAAATATGTATCATCCTCATCAAATATAGGGTTTCCATCCTCTTCGGTTTGGTTTTCAATGGTTTCAGTGATAAGCGGATAGATGGTATTTTCCAACATATCCGAATAAATGTCTCCATTCAAATTTCCATTAATAAACAATGGCCCAATCACGTTGTTTCCTAAAATGCCTGCCCATATATTAATTTTTTGGGGGTACTGAGTATGCCCTACAAAAGCATGAGAATTTTCATTGCTCCAATACCTGAAGTTATGCTTATTAACAAATCCACTTAGACAAAATGTGCATTCATCACTGAAGCAGATATTCTTTACATGAATTGTATTGTCATTATTAGTCATTTATTATTGTCATTTATTCACAAAACTCAAATCGCCTATCGAAATCATCTTCGGTTAATTCTTGCAGTATTTTCATTTTGAATGGATGAAATTTATGGAGTTTAGTAACAGTGTGTACAGAGCCTAATGAAATACCAGTCGCAGCAACAATGTTGCTTAACGAAGTGTTAGAATTTATTCCAAAATGTCCCAAAACTTCAAATAGACGACTTCATCCAAAACTCTCCGATGATCAGGTTTTTTATTTGCCACAGATCTAGTTTGAGTAAATTTAGTAACAAGATCCAAAACATACCTATGCGAAGTTATCTTCCCCGGATGTCTGGCGTTAAACGTGTCGGCAGTTTGCCGAACACATTGATTTTGGGCACCATAAATTAGAATCATTTCCACTCTTTCGGCTAGTGTGTAAACCATCTTAGAAGTCAAATCTGAATCAATAAATTAATTTTCACTATCCCAAGATTGACATAAAGTTAACTGACAGCAAATTAATTTTTTTCTTTCCCTTAGCAACAAATAACTAAACAGGTATAACAATAAATACAGTTTGCCCAGGATATCTGTGTTGATGAAAAGAATGCGGAAAAAAATTCGGGTTGTTATTTCGTTGTTGCAATGTATAATCTTCCGAATTGCTGTTTATGTTGGTCGTTTCCGTTTTAAATTATAAATAAATTGTAGATTTGACAATCCTTAACGGGCAACATTTTCAACACTTATTAAAGCGATATTTTCGTGTGTTTTTGTTTTCTGTCTCAACAAATTAGGATAAATAAAGATTTACCTAATTTTTTTTAAATAAAGGACTTAGAAAGACCTTTCGAACAAGCTATCACTCGATATCCCTTGACATTTAAAATTTGTGGTTAAAAAGTTGCCCCCATGACAAATCTTTTGACGTGTCTCTGCGTTTTTTTTTTTAATCGGTGGTTTTCAATAGATACGTGGTGGGAAGTTTTCAAATAAACGTCCTGTATATAAAGAGAAAATCCGACAATATCTCTGAATTAGAAGAAGATAAAATTTTCTAACGGCGAATTGCGGCTTATGAATGCTGGCTCAAAAGCTGGTTTCACTGATCCTGGTACAATATGCCGGCTTGAGAAGACAATCTCTCACTATGCACTGCTACAGGGAGACTAGAGATGGGAGAGATATACTTCGTCGAACTTTGCCAAAATTGACTGCTCACCATACACACATCGCTTAAGTCTAGCGTTGTCAGATAAATGCTTTCTAGTAATAGCATCTTTGGGATAAATGTTCATAGTCCGAGGTGTTTGCTTCCGGCACCTCGGAACAGTGCCAAAAATTTTTGCGAGTTTCCTCACTCCTGGACGAATCTTTACTTTAAGGAAAATCCACCTACGAGGTCGGCTATCCGGCAACCGGATATCTGGCTATCCGGTAAGTAACAAGCTGGATGTCCGGTATCCGTTATCCGGCCAATCCGCTGCAACCCTACTACCTATCAATATGCGAAAAGGCACAGATTTCGTTATACTTGAAACAAAATTTCAGTTTGGTATTGCAAACCATAAAAAGGGAATGAGATACTTATTGTACCGTGGCTAGAGAAAGACTTTGGAGTTTGTTTAAAGGTTTTGCCCAAAATTACAACACACTAGTTCTTATTTTCGAAATAAGGTGAAGGAGTCACGATCTGTTGAATGGAATAAGTTGCACAGTCACCACATTTGAGGGCTGTAAGTAAAGTCGTTCCTGGTGGCCTTATTTCTTACTTCGAAACGCCTCTTTGGTCCAGCAGACATTAGGTTCCTTTTTGCCTTCCTAAAAGAGAGAAAAAATGGAGGCGATGGTCTAAGAAGGCGTCTATCGATTTATGAAGACAAATAGGAACGGCTGTGAATATGGCTATAAAATAGCCTTTAGGCTTGGGAATTTTATTTGCATTAGGAAGATTCTAGAGGAAGTGTCTTTTGCTACTCATTAACAGAAGATTCTGGTGAAGCAGTACGTCATTTGTTAACTTACACCTACGCGACGTAACAAGCACATGCCAAAGCAGTTTGATACCTACAAGCTGATTCAAAAAACGTGGCAATATTTCGAGAGCAAGTACATCCAAAAATAACAAAAAAAGCATATCGAAATAAGGCAACGCAAAGCGCCATCTATTGCCAGAATCGGCCACAACGAGAATGAATAGCAGCTATCTGTTGGAACTGTAAAAAGTTCAGTTCCCGTTTAATAGCCCAGTCACCACACTTGACAAATAGATGGCTGATGATTCCGACTGTATAGTAGATATTGTCTACTCGGACAACCAACTATGCTGCTTTCGTCTGTCTGATCAAAGGCTATGGACAGCTGTTTTGTGCTTTTTGGCAACTATTCAGCATTGTCTTGGTCTCTGGGTCAAGAAACGAAATCGTAGCACATCACACTCTCGCAGTGGTCGGTTTTGGTAATAGACGGCGCTTTGCCCTGTCTTATTTCGATGGATCTCGTACCTTGGATAGATGACAGTTACTACGCTTCCGTTCGTTATACCAGAAAGCAAGCCTAGATCATGCTGATGAGTTGCCCAAAAGCACGAAACTGCTGCCCATGGTTGGCTGTCTTTGGTCGGATGGACGAAAGCAGCATGTTTAACAAAGAAGTGCTTTCAAACATAGGACCTAAGATGTCTCAAGACCAATATACAGGGTGATGTAAGTTTATACTCCGCTGATGAGACTAAGGCCCGAATCGTCAGTCGTCCCTACAATTGTAGGGCGGCTTTATGGCCTCCTTGATTGTCATAGTTTTCTACTTCTCCGTGTCAGAACTCTATTTTGAGGTTATGTCACAAACATCTATTTGCATCAAATTGTGCTTGCTTTTGAGTTATATCATGTTTTATCAGCCTGAAATTTCCTACAATTTAAAAAGAAAACATATCTTCACAATAGGAGAGCGCTGACGCTGACACGGGACAAGTGTAATCTAGAAATTTTTGAAGGAGAGAAAGGAGTATGACAATCAAGGAGGCCATAAACGCGCCCTACAATAAATTGTAGGGACGACTGACGATACGGGCCTTAGTCTCCTACGGCATATCTAGGGTCTAAGGCCCGTATGGTCAGTCGTCCCTACAATTGTAGGGCGTGTTTATGGCCTCCTTGATTGTCATAGTTTTCCACTTCTCCGTATCAGAACTCTATTTTGAGGTTATGTCACAAACATCTATTTGCATCAAATTGTGCTTGCTTTTGAGTTATATCATGTTTTATCAGCCTGAAATTTCCTACAATTTAAAAAGAAAACATATCTTCACAATAGTAGAGCGCTGACGCTGACACGGGACAAGTGTAATTTAGACATTTTTGAAGGAAAGAAAGGAGTATGACAATCAAGGAGGCCATAAACGCGCCCTACAATTGTAGGGACGACTGATGATATGGACCTAAGTAAGGTCAAACTATGAACACTTTTCCAGAGCTGGGTAGAGTACGAGTACTTTGTAATGAGTACTTAGCGAAAGTACTCAAAATTGCATGAGTATGAGTACTAGATTGCTATGTACTCAAACATAATGAGTACAAGTACTGATTTATCGGTGTACTCATGTACAAATGTTTTATAAATAGCTAGCAATACAAGACAATGATCAGAGCAAGAGGATTAGGAAGGAGTAAAGAAACAAATACGAGTCTATACGAGCTTGTAAACATTTATTGGTCTACATTGCATAATAGGTACAGAGACAAAAATAAAATAAATAGATATTTAAGATCGTATGAAACAAAAAAATTTAAAAATCCTCAAAAAAACGAAGAAACGTCAGACATTGAATAGAAAAAACGTTTATATTGCACAACTCTTAAACGTAATTATTCAGAATAACCAAATTTTCAAAATTCGCGTCATTAATGACGTTTTGCTTAATGGCGTTTATAATTTTTGCGTAAGAAAATAACCGTTCAACCAGTGCTGACGATGGTAAGGGTGTATTTGAATAAATAAACGACTTTCTAATTGCAGGATAGTGAATCAACATAGTTATGGAAAATTGTTACCGTATTGATCTAAAATAAATTCAAGGTGTACATCTGGATCGGAGAAAACCGTGAGCGTTTAGCTCGGCGGCTATTTGTTTCAATTGTCACTGGGAGGGTGGAGATACTCGTACTCAGTACTCATAAATTTGGAAAAACGTAGTAATTGAGTACTGCTATTACCGCTACGGTGAAAGTACTACTACATACTCGGTACTTGAGTATTGTAAAATAAAAGTACTCATGATTACCTTAAAATGAGTACTTATGGTATTCCAACAGAATTTGAATTCAAACCAATTTTTCTCCAAAAGGGGTAGTCTGACAAAAATTTTTCAAAAAAAAAATTATGTGAAATTGACTATATTATTCAGAAGTGCAATGTATGTTTTAAAAAAGCCAGTTGCACAAGAAGTATTTTTTTTTATTTTTCTTCTGTAGGGGTCAACATTTACCAATATCTACGTCACTGTTGTAGACACACTCCGAAGATATAATCTTTTTTTTTCGATTTTGAAATTGAAACATCGACATCGAACGTAGCATTTAAAACACGTGTTCTTAAGAACTTTTTGTTTTATTTTTGGACCGGCATTCTATCCCGGAAATATTGCCACGATCTTTTGAGTCTCGCTCTATACTATTTTACAAACGTAGCTTACTAAGATCTGAAAAACGCTTGTATTTTCTAATATATTGAGATTTATTTGTATTCTATATTTTTAACAGGTTGAGCCCATTGACGACTCCTCCAGTGGAAAAGAATCAATACATGAACCTGACCCTGCAAGAAATTTTGATAGTAGGCAGCGCATCTGAACAGGTGAAGTTTTCGGAACTAACGATGGATATGTTCAGAATGATACAGACGCTAGAACGGGAACCACAGGAAGATTTTAATCATATTTACGATGCTTCACCAGCACCTGGGCGAATGCCTTATGGGGTTCCAGGACAGAAAGGGTACGTTTTATTAAATTTGACCTATTTGTTAGAATGTTAGTCTGTTAGTATGGACAAATCTTGGAACTAGATTTTGAACCAGTTAACCTTAACCAATTGAGCTGAAATTTTGTACACACGTTTGCGTCACAATACAATATACATCAATTACCGGCAATTTGAATCCTATATCATTTCTATAGTAACCCGTATGATATCGGTATTGAATAAAAGGGACTGATGAAATAAACGCAATTAGCAAATTGACGCATTCTAAATCGAATATGGCCACTGCCCTAAGATAGCGTTTATAATTACCATTGTCACCCCTATGATATAGGCATCAAATTAAAGGGCTTGAGAAAAACATAACAAGTAATATGACTTCATTCTGAATCCAGTATAGCGGCCACGGCAAAATGGCGATTTATATTTGTAATTCTCATAGTCGCCCCTGTACTATGAGCATCAAATGAAAAGGTTAGATGAGGAAAACATAATAAACAAAGTAATCTCATTCTATGTCCAATATAGCAGCTGCCGCAAGATGGCGATTTAAAAATTTCCATGGTTACCGCTATGATATGGGTATCAAATGAAATGGCTTAAAGACAAGAACAAAATAAGCAAACAAAGTCATTATAAATACCACATAGCGATTGCCGGACAATATCAATTTATCGTTATATGATTTTTCGGTCTTTTGACTGTTAGCTTTTTGAGGTTATTGCAGGATGTAAAATATAAATAATTAATAAATCAGACACATTTTTCAAATCCGTTCATGGTGTTTGGTAAAACATGGCCATGGGCTTTAATAATTTTTCAAAAAGAACCTCATGAACCTAGTTTTTGATCATCCTCATTTTCTAAGATCAAATTTTAGCACCAATCTCGCTGACGAACTTCTGATGATGACAACATTGACTGTCGAAAGGTTGAGTTATAATGAAAGATAACACTTTGCATAACTTAACGATTTCACCAAAGACGAGTTCTTCCACATAGCTAGTTGTTACGATAATGACTATGTATCACGTATATATATATATATATATATATATATATATATATATGTATATATCGCAATTTTATAGTACAAACAAAAGACAAAGTTTTATGTAGACCTATTAATAAAATACATGAAAATTAGATATAACTTACCAAGTTATTTGACATTATAGATACTGAAACGTAAAAAGTACATAAAATGAGAAGTAATTTTTTAACAACAAGGTTTTATTTATCTGTTAATAAAATGATCTAAAAAATTAATAATATTTATTCTAATTGGATACATTTAAGCGGTATTAAAGATCCTCATCTCAAGCTTTCAGACAGAGGCGTAATATGTTCTGATGGTGGAAATAAGGTGAAACACGCTTTTATTTGAAAATTTGAGATAAAGGAGCTTCATTTATATTTTCAGTTCATTCCATTAACAGATAAATAAGAGCTTGTTTTTAATAATGTATTTTTTATTTTATTTATTTAGTCAGTAGAATGCTTAAGTTGCCTTTTTTGATGGAAAGAATTTGTTAGTCCTGTAATATTTGACTTACAGGGCGCGCCAGAATCAGACGAAAATATATTGGATGCATATAGAACTCCAAATGAAAGTTTGAACTATGAAAAAATCCCTTTGCGCAGAACAGTCCCCTAAATTCCACCACTTGTAATCAATTTTCCTTAAATTATTCTTCACAATTCAAAATGTTGACAGCATGGTGACCAATTGTTGCGAATATATTTTTTTATAATTTACGATTTTGACTTCACACTTTTTTACGTGTAGGTACATAGAAAATGGAGAGAGGCCATCAAGAAGGGAGAATCCTCATAAATACCTGTTATACAAACCCACCTTGAGCCAAGTGCTGGTGTTTCTTGCAAGTGGTTTCAAGGAACTACCAGCAAATGGTGCTTTACTCTTGTATATATCAGCGGACGGCAGTTTTTCAACTACTAAGCATCCTGAAGATAGTAAGTAAAAACATATTTCGCCACACCACTTTACTTTTCGAGCTAATAAACGCCCGCCTCATTTTAAGATATGCCTGGGCGCTAGAAGAAGTATGACATTTATTTGGATTTAATTTCAAATAATGTATTTTTGATTGATAGTAGTAGATTCCAGGTCATTGTTTATGTGTCATAGGGCATCATCCTTATAAATTTGTATATGTGAATAATTTATACATTTATGTATGTATGAAGTGTACATTAAAAATAAAACCGGTTCGACGCTTAGCCTTGTGGTACTGCAGATATAACGTTTGAAATAGAAGAAACGGTATTATTCAACGAGACCTGTTGTTTGCGATGTAAATACGATTTTAAAAATGTTGCAGAAACTCTGATAACTATTAAAGCCATAATATTTTAATCTAGCAAATAAAAGGCGGTGATCAATACAGTCGGAGGCTTGTGTAGTCACGAGAAACAATTGTCGAAGCTATTTTTTTATCTCGTGCCCTAACAAGATTAGGTGTACAAATACATTTTGTCACGAGAAAACACAGTTATTTACCATATTTTCTTTAAAACCATTCAGTTTGTCCACCCACCTCACCTCGTTACCCGTAATTATGGATAACTTTTTTTTTAGTGGGTTACGACTTAGGAGGAGTCCTTACAACAAGCAGCAAGCGTGATGGTGATCACAAAAAACAAAAAGAAATACACTGCCTTTATCCCGGAGATCTGTATCCCTTCACGCGTAGACCATTCTTTGTGATCGTCGATTCGGATAACAGTTTCGTCTTTCAACATATCCCCAGTTACTTCGGACAACCGCTAGTTACGTTGATGTCGCCTCAAGATACGCCACCTGCCTTCCAAGGTAAGAATCACGGGTTGGAAAGATGTGATAATGTGTTTGCTTTCATTTTAAGGTATTCTATGTAAAATAGTCTACAGTATATGAGAAAGCCAAAATAAGACAGACAATTTCTTTGTAGAAAATGTTCTTTGCAGTTGACGGTTCAATTTTTTTCCTGCAAACGAACCTACAATTATGATGACGTCACTCCTGTTGTCTGTCATCACCGAAGCATTCACAGACATCAAACAGCTGTTAATACTCCAGGAAGTATCTTTGCATGTGCAAAAATATTCAAATTCAGTTTTTTTTTCAGAATGCTATTCAAAAAGTACATTTTTTTGGTGAAACTGCATATCCCTGGACACAAAATTGACCATTTAAAAAAAATTTTTTTTCGTCAAACGACATTTTTTAACCTTTATGGTTTATTCTAAATACAAAAAATGCTTATGAATTATTTTCCATCCTTGATAGTTTTCGAGATATATGTGGTTTAAAATTTCTGAAAGATCAAAATGTGCCATCCTTGGCCGGTCGATAATTTGGGAAGAACCGCTCAAACATCGATGAAATGCTCACACAATATTACTACTATGCCATCGACAAAAAAACTTTGTAGTTTTTGAAAAAGGGGCCGGTACAGGCATAGAGCGAAAAAAAATAAAAATGTACCAACAAATCGTTTTTTGCCATTTCCCAGTATCCTGATAATTTGCAGAAATTTTCTGCATGGGTTAAGCATCGGATGTTGGAAGTTGTATGAGGAGCGAGGCTAGATCGCAGTATTGTCAAATCTGTGGGGACTATAGACTCATTTTATGAGTCTGTTTGACTGACATGATCCATTTAATTCCTTTGTTACGCATGTCTATAGCTAACTTTTTTTAAGAGGAACTAACTTGTGCCGAAAATAATCCTTTATGAATTGACGACCGCGTTGCGTGGAAAGTGCAGAGCCAAATCTCTTGATATCATTTTTACTTCCTACCCCTACTGAAATGAAAAACAATGGTTTACAATAATAATATCCCCTAAAATGCTTTGGAATTTTGCTAATGAATGTCTGAATAATATTTAGGATCTTTGGCGGCATAAGAATTTTCGTTCCTACGTATTGCTTTTCGTGAACGAGAATGGCATATTTTCACTTTTTAAAATATCTTCATATATATATATATATTAATAATAATAATAATAATAATAATAATAATAATAATAATAATAAGTGGGCTTTATTTCGTATCTAAGTAAAAGTACAAAAAAGACGAAGTGTCGCTAAGATTAGCGTTTTTCAACTTAACCTTTGAAAGAACAAAAAAATATACTTTGAAGACTTGAAGACTTTGAAGTTGAGTCATTAATTTTCAGATAATGATTGTAGAAGGAAGATAAACCAAAATATGTGTGTAAAAATAAAAAAAAAATAAAAAAAAATAATTTTACCTTGTTTTATAAAGTATCCTCCCGACAAGTATTTCAGTGCGGACCTGTATTTGATCGTGAGGTCCCCTGTGAGGTCTGAAGTCACCTGATTCACGAGCCCGTTGTACTACTATTAACAAAGGCACGAGGGGTTGGTTGCACTCGATTGGGAAACCGATCCGCATAAACATGTGCCATTTTTTATTTCGTTTGAGCCACGCAACAGATACTATTCACACGCGACTGACACTGATTGTATGTATAAAGTAAACATCGTTCCAAATTCTTTCGCTTTTTTGTTTCCGATGCGATGAACCGATAAGGTGGATTATATCCGTTGTTGCCAAACACCAGCACATGATGTTATTGAGACAGGGCGGTACTCAAACTTCCAAAGGGCTATAACTTTGTTACTTTAATTTTACCAGAAAAATGGTAAAGGAAAAAAACATTTCTTTTGATCAGATCTACTCACTGTTAAAATAAATGACTCAACTTCGAAGTCACCCTGTATAATAAAGCATTCCACCAATAAAGATGTATCCATAATTCTCAATAATTACTAAATAATTAATAACTCAAAGAAAAACAGAACAATTACAAGAATAGTCCATATTTCTAGCATTTTGTATTCATCATCAGACCTCGACTTGTAGTTTTAGTTTAGCCTCCTTTTAAAATTAAATAATGAATAGTTTTGGAATGTAACAGGCAGATCACTTTATAATTTAATAGCGTTGTAGCTGATGATTTTTTGTAGACAGCCTTAGAATGTAAGGGTATCACTAACATACGAGTATTTCTATTCCTTGTATTCAGTTGATTTATGTCACTACATCGTGTTAACTTATTATGCAAATATTGTGGTTGTTTGGTAGCTAAGACCTTATGTGTGACTGTCAATAAGTGAAGTTTTTACATGCCTTTAATCTGCAGAATACCAAGTTCCTTAAATTTATAAGAAATATGATCAAACTTTCGTATTCCGCAGGAAAATCTGAAGCACGAATTCTGAATTTGCTTAATTCACTATATGATATAGCGGGGCCATACTGTCACAATCTTTGTCGGTATCTTTGATATAATTAATGTTTCACATAGTTTCAGCTTTACTGAAGTAGACATTATTTGCCTATGTGGATAAAACTGCTTCAAAATGCAGTATGATGCACTACATACCGAATTTACGTGTTTTCACACTCATTCGTTATAGGAAGCCGGCAATCATAGATTTAAGGTTAATTTCCGTTTCGATCAATGTTCTTTTGTTTTTTTGAGCCGAAAACCATAACGAGCACGAGACGTCTACTAGCCTTGTTAAGCCTTCGTTGAGCAATGCTTCTGCTATTTTAAAATCTTTGTGTTGAAATTTGAGTATCATCGGCATAGTGGTGGATTGTGCAATTATGGACATATTGATGAAAATCCGATATATATAGAGAGTAAAAGTAAAGGTCCCAATATGGGACCTTGAGGAACACCAAACTTTATAGCAATTGACTGTGACAAATAGCAGCTTATATAGAATGACCCATAAAACAATTTTTGGAATTGGCTTAAAAATATTGTTTGAATCATTTGAGACGCAATTATGAACCTGACAACAAGCAGATTACATAGAAGGCGTCCTTTTTGAATAAGATTTTGCAAAAAACCGAATGAGAATATTACTTTGAACGGATACAATTACACTACCTGGACCATTTTGTTGTTAAACATTTGGAACGAAGTATCATATTTTTGATATTGAGGGTTTCCAAGCCTTGAATCGAAGTAGGGACGATATGCATGTCGAGATAGAACAACAGAATCTGGAAATAAAATTTGATTTTGATTGAATCTTGCATCGTGTATTGCTTCATATCAAATTCCATAAGTCTCCTGTACTATATCCTAAAATAACTAAAAGTAAATTTCGAAACAAACAAATATATATTCTTAATAAATATGAAGTAATGGCCCATAAGAGGCATTGTCTGTACATGGTCCATTAATGTTGCAATTGTGCATATTATTGAAGTACGAATAGAGATACAACTAATCAACGAATTATTTGATGTTCACATTTACTATTCATTTGTGTACGTCTGGTATGGCCAGAGAAAAATTCCATTCTTTTAACCTTTACTTGAAATTATTCCCAAGCGTCTACCCTTTATATCGTCTGCTAAATTTACATATAGTTTTGGACCTAAATGAAAATATGATCATTGCGTTATAGATTTATCTGGTCTAGGTACAACTGCTCCTCTTAGTTTATGCCTTGAGTGGTATTGTGTTTAATTTTTTGGTGGATATTAAAAAAATTGTCACAGTTGGTTATAGCATGAAAGAGATAAAGCAGTTTTGAGTCATAAACGTGTATATCTGTGTATAAGATATCATTTGGGCACAGTTTTAGTTTTGAAAAATATCCAAATCACATGAGTTGAACATGTACCTCCTCATGCCAATATACCGAAGATCAGATGAGGCTCGATCAAGGTATGGTATAAAGTACAAAGATATTCTTCTATTAAAACGTTTTTGATGTATTTAATTTTACACGAGACATATCCAACTTATTAAATAAATGAGAAATATGAACATCGCCACGCAAGTGTGGATCCAGGAATATTCCAAGGTATATTACTTCTGATGCTCTGTTAATTTCTAATTTCTTATTATTTACGATAAAGATGTTTGTATAATTTGGTAGATGTCTGGAATAGGAACAAAATGGTGACAAATGCGTTTTTAATGCTCAATTTTCTGTTATTAAGCCACTGGATAATCTTGACAAAAACATTTTGAACTATACTTTTCAAATGAAACCAATCATCACCTTTATAAATAACTGCTGTGTCATCAGCGGAACTTACTGTTTTGAAAACAGTCAATTTTTAATATGTCATTTAAATATATAAAGAAAATCAGTAGACTCAAAACGATTCCCTGTGGAACCGCACATTTCATTGCTGAAAAATGTTAATCCATTAGCAGATTGCCGTTTCTTGGATAAGTATTTATCATTTGACCCCGAAAGCCAACATTATAATTTTCATTTTGTTCCACGCGATACAGCTTTCTACTACCATATAGGTACACTTTGTTCCAGATCAACAACACAACGGTTCTCTCTTCACCCTGTTCCTGCACTCTCCTTTGACAGCCTTCTGTTATTGCTGCAACCTCACAACCATCCCTATCCATCATTGGGAACGTTGCCAGAGCTTTGTGGACAGATTCGTCACGGAGGCCTCCAGACTGTTCACTAGATCAAGAGTCGGTGAGTATGACGAAGGTAGGTTAAGGTGGGGATGGAAAGTCAGAAAAAGCCTCGAGATGGTTTATCCTAGTTCGCCGAGGGAAACCTAGTTAATGTAAAAAGTTATTGATTGTCTACGAGTTTTCCTGGAGTGCGTCCCCAGCTACTCAGAATAAGGTAATTTCATGGCTTCAGACGAATAATTCAAATAGATTAGAAGGAGTCAGGTCAACTAAAAATGTAGTTTTAAAGCATAATTTTAGGCTTTATTGTCAGGAATTGGAAAGATGTATTAAACATCTCACTTAAGTCACTTTACTTTGCGCTCCAGCTTTCATGGTCTATGGCAAAAAGTTCATGACTATACAAGGATTACAAACTTTTCACGAGCTAAGATCGATTTAATAATAACCAATGACCAGATTTTGAGTATCAAGGTTTTACGTCCTCCAAAAATAAGCGACCATTCGTGGATACGTTTCGAGGTGGAAAATATGTTTAATGAGATAGAATCAAGAGAAATCACAATTATTGACTTTGAAACGTTACAATAGTCACTGTTACAAGCCAATATCACTCAAATTTTTAATGATGCTGACACTTGCTTCTCAAAAATTATGGATTGTATGGAGAACTGCATGAGAGACGCACAAATTAGGAAAGTGGTATATCAAAAGAAAAAGCCAACACTCTGGTTTCCACAAATATTTTTAGACTCTAAATTGACGCGTGATAATGACTATAAAAAGTTTATGATCACTCAAACTGAGGAAGATTGGATACAATATAAAAAATCAAGAAACAAGTGTTTATAAAATCGTAAGATCGAAGTCGAATAGAAATCCCAGTGAACATCTTTCAAAAATGGTTATGAAGGAATGGTTATGAATATTTTGGAAAAAAGTTATTATTGTTAGTGAATCACTGCTTAGTGTATGGCGAATTTCCTTCAAAATTAAAATGTTCTACAATTACTCCTGTTCCAAAAATGCAAAATTCTGAGATATATACATGGGGCCAATTAATGTACTGCCAGATGTCGAGAAGCTCTTAGAAGGAATCATATACGAACAAGTCATTGAATATATAGAAGAAAATAAGATATTGACAAAATTTCAAGCAGGATTCAGAAAAAAGTATTCTACTGAATCAGCAATTCAAATGGTAGTAGAAGAATGGAGGTGAAATACGGATGAAAAAAATTTTACAGTAACATTGTTCTTAGATTTCAAGAGAGCATTTGAGACTATTGACAGGGAGAAATTATTAACGAAATTGCATTGGTATGGAAGTCAAGGTCCAGAATTCAAGTTATTACAGAATTATTTAATCAATAGAAGTCAAAGAACTGAAATTGGCAATACATTATCAAACATTGAAAACATTTCGGTAGATGTGCCACAGGGTAGCAAATTAGGTCCATTACTATTTATTTTATATATTAACGATATTCCTGATATTTTACAACATTGCAAAATCCAACTATTTTATATATATACAGGGTGACTTCGAAGTTGAGTCATTTATTTTAAGTGTGTAGATCTGATCAAAAGAAATGTTTTTTTCCTTTACCATTTTTCTGGTAAAATTAAAGTAACAAAGTTATAGCCCTTTGGAAGTTTGAGTACCGCCCTGTCTCAATAATATCATGTGTTCGTGTTTGGCAACAACGGTTCATCGCATCGGAAACAAAAAAGCGAAAGAATTTGGAACGATGTTTTTACGATTACAATTCAGTTCAGTTATACATACAGTCAGTTTCAGTCGCGTGTGAATAGTGTCTGTTGCGTGGCTCAAACGAAATAAAAAATGGCACATGTTTATGCGGATCGGTTTCCCAATCGAGTGCAACCAACCCCTCGTGCCTTTGTTAATGTAGTACAACGGGCTCGTGAATCAGGTGACTTAAGACCTCACAGGGGACCTCACGATCAAATACAGGTCCGCACTGAAATACTTGTCGGGAGGATACTTTATAAAACAAGGTAAAAATTTTTTTTATTTTTTTTTTTATTTTTACACACATATTTTGGTTTATCTTCCTTCTACAATCATTATCTGAAAATTAATGACTCAACTTCAAAGTCACCCTGTATATATATAACTTGAGACGTGGTCATTTTCGTCTAGACCTGTTAGGTGAAAAATTAAAGCTTCCGCCTTTTGTTGGGTACTTCGACAAATACATATATATATATATATATATATATATATATCAAATAAGGACATTGAAACTGCAATAGAGCTAATAAATAATGATATGAAAAACGTAATAAATTGGTTAAATGTAAATAAACTTAAACTAGACACAAACAAAACAAAATGTATGCTAATAGGAAAATCTTTAGATCAAAATACGATAAATCTTACAATTAATCATGAAAAAATAGTGTCAATCGAATCATTTAAATATTTGGTCATATACGTAGACAGTAAATTAAAACTTGAAGAGCACTATGAATATATTATTTCAAAAAGATCAAAAAAAATAAATCACTTTTATAGAATTTCGCATAGCTCAACCGTTTATTCTAAAAAAAATGTGTACAACCCTATCATTCTTCCTCATCTGTTATACTGTTCGACTATTTTGTTCACTGCAAATGCAACTGTATTTTCAAAATTACAAATATTACAAAATAAAGCTATGAGAATCATCTTAAATAAAAATAAATATACTAGAATAAATTTTATGCTGAAAGAACTACAATGGTTAATTATCAAAAATTTCATAGCCTACTTGGTTTTCATTTTCATATTCAAGTTAAAAAATCATATTCTACCAAATCACTTGCAAAATTTTATAAGTAAAGACTTGCGGAAAATACTTAGGTAAATCCACATACCACATTTTAGTTCATTCTAGTTGACGGTTTTGAAGATATTAAAAAAAATTTATTGTAAATTTTTAAACTTTGACATCTCGTATCCTTTTAATGAAGCGCTCGCGGACAAAATGTTACATAGAAGACCTTCCTTAAGATGCAGTCCTTTGTGTGATAAAAAGATTTGCGCCTTATTCAGTTTAAACTGCTTTTTGCAATCAACAGAAGCCTTCACCATTTTCGGCATTTGTATGGAATCCACGCACTTATACACGTTTTGCAGAAAAGTACGAATTGATTGTGAAATGTCAACAACTGTCAAACTGTCGGCTCAAGCCTGATAGATTTGTAGTGAGAACATCTTGACTACTGATTAAGTAATTTTCACGACAAACAAATTGTAGGCTTGCTCCTTCTACATAGCCTGAATTCGTTGGTTTCAAGGGAACAGAATTATTCCAATGGACTTACTGCTCAAAACTCAGTTTGATTGTTCTACTAAAAGTCTGCAATGAATCGTGGGTTTTTCATTTTTTAGTAGTACCTCATTGCTTCGAATGAAGTGCTTTTCTATGAATCATTGTTTTTTCTTTCGCAGATCCGTCTTACCTGCAGTTCTTCGGCGACGACTTCCTGCGTCTGCTGTTACTCAGGTACATCTTCTGCGACGTGGTACTCCACCTGCACCGTGCCTTCCGCGGCCGGCAGTACCGTCCGCGATGCCAACCGCTCCTGCCCGAAGCTGAGCTGCTCGAGCATCCGTCATTGCAGCATTTGGTGCTCGATTTAGCTGCACATCTCGAGGTACTCATGTCTTTACTTTTATTATATAAGAACTGTCTGTGAGGCAGACAACAGACCTTATTAACTACAAAGCCTCAATTTGACTCAACAGAAGCGTTGGTGTATGGACAAAACGTTTTCTGACAGCTAACTTATAGCGCATTGGATAAGATGTATGCTTCTGCTTGAATCTAAATACAGCAAGTATTTGATTTTATCACAAACGTGAAACCCTTCCTCAAATCGGAAGTAAGACCTACAATAAAATAATGGATATTGAGGTCAATACTGAACGGAATTGCCTCCTGTAACCAGTTAGAGAGCGGGTTGCTCAATGAAGAACAAAAATATCGGATACACAGCACAACTTATTTATTATTATGAACTTGATTACGATGCTTCTGTAATATTTGAGGCCACTTCCTTCTACGAGCTAATCTTACGATACGAGGTATCTTCAGGATAAAAATTTCAATAGGTCAAACATTAAAGTCCGGCCACCTGTTCATTATGATCTTGAGACGGTTGGACTTAAATTCGGGGATAATTTGTCTGAATATCATTTCAAAAAATTTCGAAAACAAATCCAAATAAGTCGGCTGCACGAGTTCAACATCTTGTGCAAACTAGATGTAAATTTGATTGTCTCGTCAATGTTCATGTTTCTGTTGTTATCGCAACAAATTTCGAAACTGAGATATTGTTTTTTTGATGTTATATGATATGTACATCACGAAAAACGATGTCACTTATCTCCGTCTGTCCGTCAGTCTGTCTGTAGGAATGTATCTCCTCAAATCCTTGGTAGGTACCGCTAGAATTTTGATGAAATTTTCACACGAGATAGCTACTAAGTCAAGGATGGAAAAGTTTTTTAAAAATCGATCCAGTGGCGCCAGAGAAAAAAAGGAAAAAATAAAAATCACACAAACTTCGTTTATTCGACGTTTTAAAGGCTCCTTTCATTTTAACAAAAAAAAATTATGAAAAAAGTGGGGTTGGGGATTGTATGGGGTGAGAAAGGGTCTATCTCATGTTTAAATGCCTCTAATCCCGATAATCTGATGCACCTATTAGTATATATTTCTCACATCAGAGATATCCCCCTATAGTTGCTCTTAAAACTAGAGATACAGGTACTTACAGACGCGACACGTCGATCAGAACGGTTGGCGACATTTATGCGCCAGACTCTGTGTGCATGTGACTGCATCGCCGGCGTTCTCAATCTGGAGTTACGGCATCGTGGCCGACGCTTATGGCATGGTTGACTGGTGTGGTTCATCACCGTTGCCAGATGGTCGATATTTGGACAGGGAAGAAACTAACGTTAGCGTTAGTCAACTGAGTGGGGCCTCTTGCATGTTTGTCTGACTTGATACATTTATTTTTTGTCACACATGTGTGTAGCTAGCTCAGAGGGAGTATCCTGTGCCGAACGTAATGCTTGAAGAACTGATGTCAGCGTTGCGTAGGAAGTGCAGAGTATTTAATGTTCATTCTTGTAGCAAATGCTTAACCTATGATTTTTTCCAGGTTCGCACCCACTTCATGGAGAACCACGAGGTGGAATGATCCAGGGCGACCTCCTCGCGAGGAAGGTCATACAGGGGGACGGCTGCCTTGACCGGTTTCGCCGTGCTGTTACTGCTCACGCATGCGCCGCGTTTCATCGCCGCGCTAGTCAGAGCGATGCAGTTTTTTTGGACCATTTACATTCCTGCCAGATGGTTGAGCGCGTGCCAGTACGCATGCACGGTCAGTGTCTCGACGCGGGCCGTCGCGATATACTCGTAGCGAGTCTCATGTGATAGACAGTGACGGATGCTTTGCGATAGCATGCTATAGGGGATGATATTCTCGTCCGCCATTTTGACTCCACTCGCTATCATAGCATTTAAAAACTATACAACACTTTAGAGTCACATTTATTGTTCTTTGATGATTTATTGCCGTCTGAGAAATGATCTCTCCTTGGATTTCAAACAACTAATAGCGCTGCCTTGATGACCGTTTAGCATTAATCAACAAATTCTTAGAATATGTAAATCAGTGGTCTGAAGAAGGATTTAACGTTCGCATTCCATAGTGCGCTGTAACACTTGTTATCACAGGATGATCTCGATGTCAGAAAGATTGTTTTTTGCTGGTCGTAGGTATCTATTCAGGCATTTTGATGAACAATTTCAAACGTTTGGTTTTTGGTGCCTAATTATAGCAATGATTAACGTATTTTGCTTGAGGATAGCCAACCTAATACTATATTCCCGCGCCAAAAAATTGTCCGGGATCAAATGGGCTAGCATCATCTCTGAGAATTTGTTACATATGTATCCGCAATAATTAGAAATATGCCTTAAATAGATTAGTATTTCATAAAAAACTTTGTAAACAATCGTAAATGAGCATATAGCTACAGCGCCATCCGCAATAGACTAACCTTTTAAAAGTAAACTTCTAATTATTGCAGAGAAGAGAAACTAAGCTGTGACAAATTTTCATAGATGACGCCATGGTATTTCATTCTATCACGGATAATTTTCCGGACGTGCGAATATCATATTAGGTTGGCCATCTTCTGGTGGAATACGGTAATCAATGATTTTTGTCAGTAATGCAAAAAGTGAACAAAGGCTGTAACCCTTATTCGATTTTATAGCGAATAACATACCCACAGAGCAGAGCTGAATGAATTTAGGCTACCAGCATTACAATTGTAAAGAACTTTTGACAGTTTGAGCGTATTTACAGGGCTGGAAATTCTGTAGCTTTTCATTAAAATGAGTATTAGTGAATTCGTCGCTTGAATGCAGAAGTGTAAGTCACAAAATGCAAATTTTACAGAAGAGGTATTTTTCAATTGGCGGACTTGCCTAACGTTTCTGAGAAATTTTGGACATAGAATGCTCGAAAGGAAAAATGTTTTGGTTTCTAGTGGCCATGTTCTCGATTACACCATATAGCGTCAGAACTAGTGCAAGTCCTCGTGAAACAACTGTATGTCCACGTGTAATAGGTGTAGAGCAGAACTATGCTATGTCCACTTTCGTCTGCCTACATACTAACATTAGCATCTGCTCTTATCATAGTTCTACAGCGAAGTGACGCACCTCAAGCTATTACGACAAATATAGTTCAAGACATGTGGTGGGGGAACGATTGCGTAGGACCTTACAATACCCCTGCATGCGATGTAGGTGACTATGAGCTACAAAGTCGTGTTAAAATCCGAAAAATGGAGTATTTGTCCATACAATAGCATTCAAGCGACGAATTGCAATGGTGGTTGCTAATATTCTTTCAGTTCCATTCTGTGGGCTTGTTATTCGAAAAAGCATACAATTTTTATTACCATTCTGTATTATTCACTACAAATTTGCTCCAAAAGAAAAACCAAACCGTCCAAAATATCTCATCAGAACGCACTGGATAGGTATGGCAAGCAAAGGAAAATCTTTATGATATCAGTGACAGCCTATGGTGACAGCTAGGTAGTATGTGGTTAATACAACATACTTTGAAATGCAGTTGTTAACTTTTCCCTTGGACGTTCCTCAACGAAGAATTATTTTTGTTTAAAATCCAGAGTCCTCAGATGTCACTCTGTTCTCAAAGGACGTCTATAAAAGCGTCATGAATGGTCAGCAGAAGAACAACATTAGATTATCCCTAAGGATTCATAGCTAAATAGTAACAATTAGTAAAGATAATATTCAGAATTATCGGTCCCCAAAACCTCCAATCCTTTTCAAATAGGTGTCTTGTCATTGCTCACATTTCCAAGTATCTCAGAAAGTTTCTCAATACGTCAATGTATAAGTAGAATTTACAAAAATATAAGACACACAAAATTTATGGCTGAATTCTCATTGAGAGCGTGGGCTATATATAATTCGGAATTATGTCAATAGACAGCACGACAAAGCATCTAAGAGAATGAGCTATTTGTGTGGCTGTTGGTGTCAACTGGATTTTTGCTGGATATTGGATTGGAAGTATTCTCATAACTTCAAAGCCTCTTTTAAATAAAATGAAATGATATACCAGCTAAGTATCCAAAATAAATATATTGATTTTCTGACGCGTAGTAGCAGGAAACACAATTTGTCATGATACCCTCATTCACCTTTCTAAACCATATTAGGTTACGAAACTACTTCCTGTGGAGCTTTAGCTGTTACAATGAGGCTCCTGGTGATACACAGTATTTAAACGTCGTTCTCAACTTTAGTACAGCCAAATATTGATAAAACAGTGAAGTCAAAATGGCCAGCAAGGATAATCTCTTCTATAGTGCCTTACTTTGCAAGAACTCTGTTTGTAGTCGAAGATACTGGATAAAGGAGGCGTACCCTCTTAACTGGGTAAAACACTTCTTACTGAGCATAATTCTAATACAGGATTTCATTATTGATACAAAAAATAGTGGATATGTCCTCCTTAGTCCACATTCTGGACTATCAGTCGTGGATATGTCAAAACGATAGGTTTTATTTAATCAATACGAAAGTTGTCCTAGAATAGGTGACAAGTCAACAGAAACTAATTTTCAAATATGCTGGGTGTGCCAACATCACACCTCTTTTCTTCTATGAAATGGTGAAAGCGCGAATAACTTTGTTCGGCATAACTGACCGATTTGTTGACTTTTTACATTGCTAGGATTAGATTATAGCTCAAATATCTATATATTACGTGCTTCTATCTAGGTGGCTTAAAATCCTGAAATATGTTCAAAAAATTAATATCTATGAGATATGTCACATATTCAGGGACAACCTAGGTACTGTTAACAAAAAGTATGTGGTCGTTGTTCTGATTAAATTCATAAGCACAAATAGTCTAACAAACATAATAACACTCTGACTTGAAGTAAATGGTTGCAAAGTGTCATAATAAACGGGTAGGTACTATACCTAACCCCACACGTTTTTTAAATGCATATGACCACATACCTTTTATCCACAGTGCAATCAACTGCAGAGATGTATCAAACGTATTATTTGCTTTTTTTATTCAGATTAATTGACTGTCGATAGTTCTTCAGTGTTAACACTTTCACTATTTTACGGCGAATCTACCCTTAGCTTCTCTAATATGTATTTTAGTTTAAGTGTAAAACCCTGTATGATTGTTTCTGGCTCGGAGCTCTTAAGATAATTACCCAGATCTTAACCACATTGACTTTGATACATCTCCGCATCTCATTCTTTTTTATTCTGTCAAATGATATAGGATAATACAAGTTCTTGATAAAAAAAATAGGTAATGCACGACTTCGGTGAATAAGCAATCAGCGTCTTTTGTCAACTGTTTCGAATAATATTAAAGAAAGAGGCTCACTTGAATCACTTTTCTGGAACCTGAACCGTCATATAACATCAGAGTTAGACTTTTTTAGTTGTGTTCTCCCAATATATGTAATGAAATACAGGGTGATTTGTTTATCAACAGCACCAGACAAATTTTGAATAAGGCAAAATCGTTGAAGACATTTTCCAATCAGTGATGGATTATCAAGTACAAAATGAACTGCCTGCTTAGAATGGGTGCCCCACAGCTCCGCAGCGGACTGTTTATACCGAATTAATTAGAAATTTTCTTTTCTTTGTGGTGCGGGATAACAGAATAAAAATGAACTTACTTGACCCCATGAACTTTGTAATACGTCAAAGAATAATCAGCAAACCCGAAATCATTCAAAATATTGGTGAAAGTATTTAAGGTGTTCTGCCATAGCAGTGTCCTTGTGTCAAAATTTTATTAGAATTCGAGCAGAAAATCCAAGGTATGGGAATAGAGGACCTAGGTTTTTCGCTAAAATTATTCCAAAGAACCTTGATTCGACACAAAAAAGTCATCCACATACAGAACCTGTTTGATTCATGATATAATCAAGAACTTGAATGTTGAGCAATTTTTGAATATCCTTGAGCTGTGCTGCGAGTGCGTAATAATCCACTCGTCTGACAAATATTAGCCAGAGTGATTCTACTGGACGCACATGTGTTTAACTGTAGCCGTTTGCTCCGCCTTGCTTAACTGAAGCTTAATCTGAGGTCCTTATCCCACACATTCCTGTCGGACCGCTATTATTTGTAACTTTAAGTGAAGCTCAAATGTCAGAAAGATAAGATTTGTTGAGCTTAGGTTGCACATAACCTAAAAATAGTGATTTTCAGTCAGTCAAGTCCATTATATACGGAATTCCGAGAATAATGTATCAAATAATGGACTATTCTTGTTTCCTAATATTTTTTTTAATATTGTAATATCTCCTTAAGCACTCGTTGGTCCTAGGATAATTTTTCGGTGATCGGGAATTGAAGAAATTTGTAATCGTTTCCTAGGTCTCGTTCTTTTCTCTGAAGTGAAGGCATCAGTTGTTTTGTTTTCTATTATATGTTTATATTCGGATATAATGCTCAGCAATAGATATCTTTCATGTGGGAAAAAATAGGCGCTCTTTTTTTGCAGAAGTCATGATGAAAAGCAAATCTGTGATAAATGAATATTTCACACCCGTCAAATATCAGGATTTCTGACACGATTATATGACAGGACAAAAGTGGTATACTTCTTCTTGATGCGCAGTGTTCATTAGTTCAAACCAACATCATTTATAGAAATCCCTAAAAATATACACGGTAGCCAAGTCAATAGTAGGCTTAGCTACATACCATTCAAGATATGATGCTGCAACATAAACTTAATCTACCTTGAAGATAAACTTCACTTTGCTAAGTGGTATATGCAAGAAAATCGGTGCAAACCGCCATTAGTCAGTAGCAATAAAGAAGTTGAACTTTTGTCAATCCATAGGGAATTTGAACTTGAAGAAAGAGATGCCACCATTAGCATAAAGCTTGGTGCGGTAAGTATATATCAAAGACAGAGGTATAGTCAGAGAATAGCCATTAAACAAGTTCTGTTTGAAGTTTTCTGTATATTCGAAACAGTTTGACCAAAAAGAGAGAACGTAACAATAGGTGAATACAGAAGAAAAGCCATAACAGGCTTTTTTAATAAATCTTAGATACTCTTGGAGATGCATACTTTTAAACACACCATTCCACTTTTACGTAAAATATTAATGTACCTTTAGTTACATACCTTATTGAGTTAGGAACAAGTATACATTAAGAAGTCCATGTTACAAATTTCTCCATTCACAAAAGAAAAATTGTTGATAGAATAGGTTGAGGTTGTCTACTTTTTAGACCTTTAACTATACACGGAAGGTTTGTTGAAATTATATCCAGATCTTTGATATCTGTTTCTTTAATTGGTCTGTTTTCTTCCTAATTAATATATTACATTTATAAAAAAGATTTATTATTATACCCAGTATATCCTTACCTCGATACCCCATATGTATGGGGGTGAACCATAGAAGGCCATGTTGTTTGTAAGGTCACTAGTTTTATTGAAACGACGTAGTTGTTACCATGAGATGGCAAATTCCTCCTACTCACTCTAACATCCACCTAATTCGAGAACACAGATGCGGTGGCGAGTCGCTCGCATCGTTATTTTGACACTGCAGTTGCTCGCTTTGTCGACTTCGGTTGCCGAAGTTAAAATTATAATATGAGCATAACATAAAGTGAGTGTTCAAGTAAATTGTAATAGCTTTATCTATTTCGGGCTTTTGCGCCCTTAGTAACACAACTTGATTTTAGGATGATTAACTTTATTCAAAATCGCAAGTAATGGTTATAAAAACAGTACTGAAAGAGAACATTTTGAACAAAATTTAGTAATTTCTATTAACAATGACAGAATCCCCATAGTTCAGGAAACAAAAAATCTAGGCATTATATTTGATAGCTTGCTTGGCTTCGGCAGTCATATAAAAAACGGAACAAATTTAACTTACATGCGACTAAAAAATATAAACAAATTAAAAAAACATTTATCAGCCAACCAAAAATATTATTTGTGTAATACCTTAATTTTATCACTTTTTGACTATGGAGATGTCGTCTATGGTGATTCGCTATCGTCGCGAACCAAAAAATGCATACAAAAAGTTCAAAATAGTTCCATGAGATTTGCGTTTGGAATTCCATATCGAAACCATATCACTCCTTATCTGAATAACTACAACATATTAAACATGACGAATCGCAGAAAATATCACATGTATTCTTTTATCAATAGGGTTATAAAAACAGGTCAACCGCCCTATTTAAGAGAAAGATTTGTGCCTTTGCCTAGTCCCCAGAGAAGCAGAAATAATCTCAATTTTATCGTACCTAGGCATAGAACGCGTTCCTTCCGACGATCGTTTACCTATGTGGCGGTTCACTTATGGAATAGTTTACGAACTTCAGTTAAAAGCTCATCGTCAAAAACATTCTCAAAACTGACAAAAACGTTGTTACAGAATCACCAGCTACTTTAGCAGCGTTTGTGAGAGCAAAAATATCGTTTTTACATTCCAACTCGCTGACAGGTTGTATAGATTTGTTCTTCGCGTCCGTTGCCAGCTCCCGGGGGTTCTTTCTTCGTTTTTGCCTTTTTGTGTTTCACCGCCCCTTCATTTGTCTCTTTATTGTTTTTTTTTTATTTTTTTTTAAGGACTTTTAGGGTGTTCAGGGCTTTCTCGCATGGACTGTTTGTATTAAAGGGTCCAATATATCGGTTTTATAATCGAGAGACTGTCCTTTTTCGTCATTGCTCTATGTGTAGAATTTCTTTTATTTATGATGTTTATTCATTACGAAATATTTTGAATTTGAATTTGAATTTATTCCGTCTAAAAATGTATACGCAAGGTATATGCAAGGTACCTCGGTCATTCCTCTGCCTAGCGCAGCATTTTCGGTGAATTATATTACCTGCAATACCTAACAAGTTTCTAATAACAATATATTTTACAGTATGATATTACCATACTGCAAAATGAACTATTATTTTCTTTAAATTTCTTTACTCTGAACTGCTATATATGTGTAACTGAATGAAAAAAGTGTTACTTCATTTCCATTTTAGTTGAAATAAAGGCAAGGCCGATCAAAAAAGTGACAATTGGGCTTGTTAAGGCACAAGGGCCTAATTGGGAACATCTAGAAATCACGAAAATATTAATACATAGTTTTTAGGTGTAGGGGAAAGTACACATACAACGTTACCGGTTTCTTGATTGGACCATTTCAATATTTACCGAATTGTAGATTTCTAACGCCATCTGGAGCATCTTGGCCTTACAAAGAACAGAGCTATAAGAAGTCTATTTTGGTCGATTTAATTTTTTCATACCATTAGAAAAGCTATTGAAAACTTATTTGATGTTGATAGATGTATAATATTTTAAAATTATTATTCAAAGTATAATTTATTACAAAACTTGCAACTACTTTATTACAAATGTATGCCCATGTCGACTAGACTATGGTAATCCGTTCTGTTGACTCGTCCATCGACCTTCTCTGCCTGCCCTCGGCGCCTGTATTTATTTTTAAATCGACGGATCTAGAAGCCTTTCAGACTGAACCCGAGCCGTCATCGAAGCTTGGTAGATGGCGGTCGATGTTTCTTGATGCGTGAAGAACGTTCTCACCATGTAGTCGCGTAATTGGTTACCTAAGCGTCGATGTTATTACGAGGTTGTCTCATTATCTCCCAAGGTTTTAGCTACGTCACAATATATAGATTTGGCAATGAGACCTAACAGATCTACTGTCCTGCCAGCGTTTGACTAAAAGCAAAGGTCCTAGGGACCTCTTTGACAAGTAATAACGATTAGCGTGACAGTTTTTTACACCTTTTTAGGCAAAAAAATACATCCTGAATACAATGAAATTTTTAAAACTCGTGCCAGTCTTCTATTTGCTCGCTTTGTTGACTCCGACCGTCGACGTTAAAATCATAATATGATTTTTGACTATGATTTTCTTTCAATTTGTTTACTTTGGGTTGCTATATCTGCTATTGCTGTGTTACTGTATTAAACAAGTATTACTTTATTTCCATTTTAGTTAAAATCTCGACAATGTTCCTGGGAAATAAAATGATTCTTTATAAGGCCGATCAAAAAATTGACAGTTGCTAAGGCGCAATGGGCCCAATTGGGAACATCTAGAAATCACGAAAATATTAATACCTAGGTTTTAGTAGTAGGGGATAGTAAACATACAACAGTACCGGTTTCTTGATTCTACCATTTCAATATTTACTGAATTGTAGGTTTCTAACGCGATCTGGAGCACCTTGGCCTTACGGGAAACAGATCTATGAGAAGACAATTTTTTTACTTCATTAGAAAGGCTATTGTGAACTTATTCGATGTCGATATAATACTCAATTATTTATTTGTGGTGAAGGAAACATCAACGAAAACACCGTTTTTACTATTTAAAGTCTAATTTTTTACAACACTTGCAACTAATTTATTACAAATTTATGACCATTTCGACTGGACTATGGTGCTCCGCGCTGTTGATATACCCGTCGACTCTCTCTGTCTGCCCTCGGCGCGTGTATTTATCTTTGAATCGATGAATCCAGATGCCTTCCAGACTGAACTCGAGCCTTCATCGAAGCCTGGTAGATGGCGGTGGCTGCTTCACGATAAGCATGTGTCCGGAAATGCAGTTTCCAAGATACAGGGTGACAAATTAAAAAAAATATTATCTTAAAAAATATTTACTCGATTCTTTTCGAATGTGGCAAAATTATTTGTTGTATTAAGAGGCGAATTTAGCCCTAAATAGATTAAAATTGTTAGGTGCAGTGGCGTCCCGGGGGGCACCTCAGCGAATATTATTGGCAAAACAATATCCACAACTGCCTTTTTTGTAACTTTAATATTTGTTGTTTGATTAAGCTTCTAAAAATACTATGTCATTGCTTCTTGTATTTTTTTCACATCTCGCTTCATTTTCGAGAAAAAAAAATAAAAACCGTTTTATTGCATGTCACTGGACAAAATTGGTTTATTTTTGCTAAAGAAATCACAAGTGCCTTGGAAAACTGGACCTAATGCTTTTAATATATTCAGGGCTAAATTAGCCGTTTAATACAACAAATAATATTGGCAAAGTTTTTTTGAGATATTTGTTGACATTTTTTTTTTAATTTATTACCCTGTATAAACCGAACCCATGTTTATAGAAACTTTTTTCATATTTTTTAACAAGGAATCACTCTCTATAATATCTTCGTCTATTTTCCGAATACCCTGTATATATGAGTAGATATCAGACCTATCAGAACCACTGACCTGCCAGTGTTTAACTAAGAGCAAAGGTCCTAGGGACCGCTTTGATTAGCAATAACGATTAGAATGACAGATACTCGTATTTTACACCTTTTGCGGTAAAAATGACATCCTGTATACAACGTCATTTTTGAAGCTCGTGCGAGCCACCTGTCAATGTATAATTTTCTGATGAAGTAACGTTCCTTGTACATAATTTTATACAAAAAATATTTATTGCATTATTTTTTGTCCGCGATCAAATGAAAATTGAGCATGGAGCTTGAAGACAACAGCTGGTTGGAATATATCGTCACCAGTCAGATAACTCTCTACTTCATCTTACTCATTTATTATACTCTTGGTATAAAAACGATTTACGGAAGATCCAGTCAACGAAAATTAGCGAGTAAGTACAGGCATCCTCGGTTTTTCCCTATGATCCAGGAGCATAGAACAGCTCTTTTAAGTCTTACTCGTGTGAAAGTTGTGGCCCTATTTAGAGTGCCTAGGTACAAAATAATAAAATGCCTTCGATCTGCATCTTTGTTGATTTAGAGAAAGCTTTCAACACAGTTAATGACAAATTATTATTAGAAACATTGGAGAGAATTGGTTTCAGAGAAAACGCGTACTCACTGATCGAAAATTATCTGGCAAGTCGCCCACAATATGTCCAGATATCAGGATCGTTTAGCAAAGAAATGTATATTAAGTGTGGTGTCCCACAAGGAACTGTCTTAGGTCCACTGTTATTCAATATATATTTAAATGATATTTTCCAAATTAATTGTGTTGGCAAAATAACCAGTTTTGCAGATGATACTGCAATATTATATGAAGGCACTGACTGGTCTGATCTAAAAAATGTAATTGAAAATGATTTTATCAAAATTATTCGGTGGTTTAATAGAAAATTAAGCATCAACTATTCTAAAACTAATTTTTTATCATTTGGACCTTATGCTAGACATTTTCCAAATTACACAAATTTCTCCTTCAGCATTAATGATCAAAAAATGCAGATTAATAGAGTACCGAACATAAAATACCTTGGACTGGTCAAAATTAAATACCTTGCGAATATATTGACACAAAAATATTTTCGAACATTATACCATGCAATGATTGAGCCTAATCTCACATATGGTATTTTAGCATGGGGAGCTGCATGTTCCTCAAATATCTATAGTTTAGATGTGTTTCAAAAAAGTATTCTAAAAATGATGTTGAAAGAATCCCACTGACAAATTATACGCAGATGCACGAATGTATGATATAAGACAGCTTTATTTCTTACACAGTATCACTCACTACCATAAATTTGTCAACACCGTCCAAAAAATTAAACATAATCATTACACAAGGTACAAAATTCGTGGCACAGTAGTTCCTCAGCCGCATAAATCTATAATGCAGCGGTCATATCTCTATTTAGCTCCAAAATTTTCTGAAATTATACCTAAAGACTTGAAAGATTTACATTTCGGAAATTGTTTCAAAAGAAATTTAAAAAAGTGGCTACATTCTATACCTGGGATTGAACTTCATAAACTCATAAATACGAACGTCAAGTAAATACATAATCTACTGTGGCTAATTTTTGTCCTTCTTTGTCATTTGCATTCTACAGCTGCAACTTAAAATTATTGGTCCATAGACAATGCCTTCTATTGGGCCTGTTTTGATTTTATATTTATTTACTCATGTTGTTTTGTACATTGAGTGAATAAATATTATTATTATTATTATTATTATTATTATTATTATTATTATTATTATTATTATTATTATTATTATTATTATTATTATTATTATTATTATTATTATTATTATTATTATTATTATTATTATTATTATTATTATAGCTGTGCACCAAAGGTAACAAAGGCAACTTGGCAAGACTAGGGGCCAGAGAGGTACAAAACCTGGCAAAAAATCCATTCACGGACTTATACTCATCCTCATGTCTTAGAGTCTTATTTTTAAAGCTACTATATTTGCACATAATACTGTGCTTGAGGAACTAATAGACAATGCAGTCCTGTAAGAAAATTTGTGAGTTAACTCAACATAGTTGTAAAAGAATTGTTAATGAATTAAAGTTATTTTATAAAAATTTAATTACTGCCAGAATAGTACATGAAGAGGAAAGTTGCTCCTTTGCAATTGATGAAAGAAAAATGTTCCCAGTGAGTATCTATCTTAAAAATAGGTCCTAGGTGGATCCATCCCGAGTACTTTACAAGGTTGGTACTCCCTGTAAATAAATTTTTCTTGTTTGAAATCTTATTCCTGGTCATATACATAGTGAAATACATTTGAGATGAGCCGTTTCTAACTTCCTCAAAAAATGCTCACGACTTTCTAAAACTTGTCAAATAGGAAGAGGCTGTTAAGATATTGAAGGAAAGCATCAGATATAATGATTTATACCTGATACTTTTATTTCTAGCTTCTCAAGCCTCCTCGGAATAATATCCTAGAGGTAGATCTAGACTGGAAATTATGTCCATGATTGAGAATAACGTGCACAGAGCAAGGCATATGGTACCAATTGTACTGCCGGGCCTGATCTCAGCTTGGCTGAGGCGCACGGCTTGCAGTATGATTCAATATTGTGAATCAACTTGTTACATATAGTCTAATCATATTAGACGGAAATATCCCTGGTTTGCCAAATAATTGTAAAGTCTGGTTTTATTGCTGCAAGTTCAAGGAGGTATCTGTGGGAAAACGTTTTATTCAACAAAAAAGAATGAAAGAATGAGTTTTTTCTGATTCAATCTAAGACAGGAACGAAAAAACTCTTCATAAAAGATTTTTAGGTATTTATGAGACCTACAAAATGAGATCACACGTAACAAAGATCCGACTAATAGCAAAGAAGTTATGGCCGAAAACCGAGGCAAACTGCAGGTTTTGGCACTTGTTCGTAATGGGTCGATGGTTTCTCGCAGATATTTTAAATTCTCCGAATTCGTACTTCTAAATAACCACAACAAAATTGGAGTAGATTGGTCAAGTAGTTTTTGAGAATCTCTAATTTCTTATCCCAAAATACCTACTAACCGGCCATCACTACTAGTTTATTGAGCAATATACAGGGTTAGTTCAAAGGACATTTTATAGCAAAACACACTAGTTTACCTTGCCGACATGAATCGCAACCCATTCCGGAAGATAAATGTTATTTTTGTGCAAAAAAGAATGGATTACGCTTTTTCTTCTAAACAAATTCAAACATTTCGTACACAATTCGCAACAAAAGATGATAGACACATCCGCTTTGTTTTTAAAATGTGTATAGTTACGTATGTTTTTCTAATATCGCGGCGCATTTGTTCAATTACACACAAATTCGAAATGTTTGAATTTGTTTAGAAGAAAAAACGTAACCTTTGTTATAAAAATAACATTTATCTTTCGGAATGGTTCGCGATTTATATCAGCAAGGTAAACACGTGTATTTGTATTTTACTATCAAATGCTCTTTGAACCAACCCCGTATATTACTCAATAAACTAGTAGTGATGGCCGGAAAACAGGTGTTTTGGGCTAAACAATTAGAAATTCTCAAAAACTACTTGACCAATCTACTCCAATTTTGTTCTTGTTATGAAGTAAGTATGAATCGTCCCATTACCAACAAGTGCCCAAACCTGCATTTTGCCTAGTTTTTCGCTATTATTACGTGTGGTCTCATTTTGTATACCTCATAAATACCTAAAAATCTTATATGAAAAGTTCTTTCGTTCCTGTCAACACTTTCGATTGATTCCCAAAAAACACGTTTTCTCATTCTTTGTTGTCAAATAAAAAGGTTTCCCACAAAAATTGGTATACCGATTTTATGCGGCCATATTTTGAATACCCCCTTGAACAACTTGCAGCAACAAAACCAGACTTTACAATTATTCCGGGGATATTTGCTAATATGATTAGACTAATATAGTGACTGAACTTGCTTTGCGCAAGTAGAGTAAGCTTTGGGGAATATTTGCGCAGATTTTTGAAGATACTTTGATATGCCAAAAATAAGTGGCGGGAACGTTGGGCTGTTAGACAATATTGCAAATACCTATTCTATTTTCCAATAAACGACTGAAAGCCGCCCGTCCGGAGGCGCCCGGAGTGAAGAATTTGGCGATACATTTATGTGATAAAACTGCTTTTCAAAATAATGTTAAATAAATGGATATAATCTCTGTTGCTTTTAGAGCAGATAGCGACAAATGTCGGACGATTTTTGTTTTTGCCAGGTTTTCTTCCTCCCTGCGCCACTGTGCAAGGGGCTTTGCATTGGCCCCTAACGAATAGTGATGATTAGGTCAATTACTAGATGCTAGGTTAATGCTTCCTTGGATGATTGGCACATGTAGGAAGCTGGTGGAAGCAGAGTCATCTCTAGGCAGGTCAAGGTTTTCATTACAGGCCCTGCCAAACATCGAATGCGACTGTCGCAGTAGAGAGTCGCTCAATCTTTCGGTTGTGATTCATAAAGGAAGGCTAATGAAATATTAGTCTGTCATGGGAAAAATGAAAGGTCGTATGTGTTTCAGATGTTAGGAAGGGAATTACAAACCAGCCTATCTTCTAGGCAAGTACATCGCGTATCAAAGTACATTGAAGGGAAGTGGAACGATGTTTGTCACGCGAAAATGTCAATCAACATGTTTGACAATAGCCATACTTACGCCGTAACGTAGGTAGCTGATCACCGTGTGTTATCACAACTATGTGTTAAGAGATGGTTCATTTACACCGTTCCCTATGCAAGACCTTAGAACAACAATAGTGATCACCGAATAAACATGGTCAATGGTGTGTCCTTGAAAGTTTTGATACTGCATGGAACAGTGCGGTCCTGTGGTTAACTGCCCACAATGTAAACATGTCAGAAAGACTGACATCATGCGCCTCAGACGTTTCCTCTCATCTCAGTGGAAGTGCACCTTTATACCTGAGATATCCGATGTGACGGAGTTTCATAGAGAGTAGATCTAAAAACCAAGCTAGCTGGATATTGTGACCGCCGTTTGAAATCTGGCAGATTTCATACTTCACAAAGGACAATACTGAATATCATCCAGCAAACATGCAAATGCCAGAAACACTACGAAAAGCTAAAAAAAGCCGTGTTACGAATTTAGTATTTATCTCGTTTTCAGAATGTGCTGACAAGGATTTTCTCTACAATGTCGATTGTCCCATATGTTTCAACGTACTGACAATGCCTATAAAAGCTGATTGTGGTCATGGCTACTGCATGGACTGTTTGTACACGTACTGGGAAAAACCTTCGTGGAATAACTGCTGCCCCCTATGCCGATTGCCGATAAGTAATTTAAGGCTTCTAGAGGTAATTTTATAAAAATTCTTTTTTGTTTCCAGTTGTTACATGCACATTAAACTTAGTACACCTGGGGCCTGATTCTAAATGAGTTTCGACCGGTGACATTAATTTCGATGGCGCCTTGTGCCCATACACTTGACTCGCTATAATAATTTTGACACTGTCATGACAATTTGAATATAGGAGATGACAAAATTATCATAGCCAATCGAGTATATCGTCACAATGAGCCATCGAAATTAATTTTACCGGTCGAAACTCATTTAGAATCAGGCCCATGGGCAAAGGATTATCGTAAGGCCGAATTTGAAGTAGAAAATTAGTCGTTCATGATACTTTGTATGTCCTAGTAAATATCAGCATCAAAATATCCTTAGTGCAAAATGTGAGATCAGGAAATGCGTCATTTGGGACTCGCTGTATGCCCTAGCGTCAATTTAACACCGCTTTCTATGTATCTAACTGATTTATCCAAGAAATGAAGTTTCATTCCTATTAAAGGATGAGCAAGCATTTTCCAGAAATAAGGGTCCCATCGATTTTATAAAAATCAACAAAGACATTTATAATTATCCAAACCATTAGCAAATATGAGGTTTGTATTGTTGTGGATAGTCAGAGTTGTCATACGGGCTGAGCCCTTTGAATGCGCTAAGCATTTTTCAGAATTTATATTCAGTACTTCTTTTCAACATCTGCCAACGGTCAGTTGACATATATACATCAATAGTTATGCATCTACAATAATATTATATCAAACGACCACTTATGTATAAATTGTTGAATACTATATGACGAGCATGCGAACTGTACTTATTTTTCCACTGCTAGGAAACGATAGTATGGTATTTATACTTATATTTAATTCTTGTTTAATTGCAGATAATATTTTGTATGTACCTCGGAGTACCGCACTGAGCTAAAATTATATGCGCCCTAAATGAATATTGTTCTTGAAAGATACTTCAAAATATTTACTCAGATTTCTATTTTTTTTTAGGATAGGATTGCTGAATTTGGTTCACAAGTAACATGAATGTTTTTTAGGGGGGGTGTTCAAGTGGGTGTTTAATATTGGCTTAATATGACAAAATAATAATAAAAGTTGATATATGTGTGTCAGTAAATCCAATAGTCCAAATTTAGTTGGAAAAAGGGGTCGTATTATTGATTAGGAGATTTCTCAGTACGACGGCATGCTCATTATACAGGATTTTCCTTAGTGATATGCGAATATTTAAGGGTATGAATCTACATGAAAAATTAATGTTAGTTTGCTTCATAAACTGTGGTCCAAAAAGGTTTCCTTACAAAAACTCGGGGTGTCGAACTTTGGGAAAACAATTAAAAGTATTTAATATTTTCAGCACCGCTTCAGATATTTCACTGATATTTAGTACATAGTGAAAGTTAATAAAGCTACATATTTTATAATGCAAAAATAATTTTTAGCCATAACAGTGGCGTGCGTACGGGTATTGACTTCGATATTTTTTAAGAAAAAAATGGTACACCAATGGTTTTTTGCCAAATAAAAATTATTTTTGAATTCCCCGTCCAATTTAAAACAAATGATTTCTATTGAATTGTTTTACTTCGATGCGCCATTTTAAAGTAAAAAAATAAAAGCCGTTTTATTGTCCGAGATTAAGGTAATAATATTGAAGAATGCAATTTAGCAATAAATGTCTAGTTGCTCTAGAATATGTCACTGGCTTTTGACATCTGACAAGTCTCTGTTATTCAAATCTGTTCGCTGTGACATCTTTTTCATTATTTAGCTTTTACAATCTTGTTAATAATGGTGAATTATTCAAATGCAGAAATGGCGGAAATGCATTACGTTTATGCCCTTGGTGACGATAATGGTGAGCAAGCCAGATGGATTTATCACCAGAGATATCCCGATCGTGCTTTGCCAGATAGTCGAACCTTTTCTAATATACTAATATACGTCGAATAACATCCTGAAACGAGTACGAGGAAGATCGCTAGACACTTAATATTTGCCATCAAATTGTTTGGAGAATTTTAGTGGATTTTTTGTTATATCCTTACCATATTTTAAGAATACAAACATTACTACCCACTGACGTTCCAAGGCGTGTGACCTTTTGTCAGTGGTATCTTCAAAAAAAAAACGCAAAATCCGCAATTTGAATTAGTGATTCTGTTCACGGACGAAGCTAATCTTTCTAGAAATGCCATTCAGAATTTCCACAATAATCATTTGTGGGCAGAAGAAAATTCCTTTGCCGTAACAGAAACCCATTTCCAACACCAATTTTCGGTTAACTTATGGGCATGGATTATTGGCAACCACTTTATTGGCCCATTCACCTTGCCGGGACGACTTGACGGATAGACTTACCTCAATTTTCTTCAACAACAGTTACCTTTGCTGCTTGATGATGTTCTGTTAGTAATAAGAAACAATATGTGGTACATGCACGATGGTGCACCAGCGCATTTCAGTGTAGCGGTTCGTAATTATTAACAAACTGTTTATCCAAATCGTTGGATTGGCCGCGGTGGGCCCCAAGAATGGCCACCAAGGTCCCCAGACCTCAACAGTTTAGATTTCTTTTTGTGGGGCTATCTTAAGGCACTAGTGTACACAAGTCCCATTAACACTGTAGGGGAATTAAGAGAAAGAGTAGTTGCAACTTGAGATAGAATAAAAAACACTCCTTTTTCATATTTCAACGAGTGCGCAATTCCATGAGAAGGAGGGCGGAGGCATGCATACTAAGTGAAGGGGGCCATTTTTAACAATTTTTGTAATCATTACGTTGGTTTTAATGTCATGTTTATGTTGTCAGTTGTTGTTGTTCATTACTCCTAATGTGTTTAGTTTTTCCAATTAAATTAATAATCATTTTGCAAGTTAGACAATAGAACGGTTTTTATTTTTTTTACTCAAAAATGGCGCATCGAAGGAAATCAATGCAAGAGAAATCATTTGTTTTAAATTGAACGGAAAAATAATTTTTATTTGGAAAAAACCATTGGCGTACCATTTTTTTCTTAAAAAATATCGAAGTCAATACCCGTACGCACGCCACTGTTAAATCTAAAAATTATTTTTGCATTGAAAAATATGCAACTTTATCAACTTTCACTATGTACTGAATATCAGTGAAATATCTGAAGCGGTTCTGAAAATATTAATTAATTTCCATTTTTTTCCTAAAACTGCAACACCCCCAGTTTTTGTAAGGAAACATTTTTGGACCTTAGTTTATAAAGCAAACTAACATTATTTTTTCATGTAGATTCACACCCTTAAATATTCGCATATCATTAAGGAACGCCCTGTATTTGTGGAAAGTTTTATTATTTTCTAGCAGTGTGGCAGCAGTCATGGCCGCTCGCTGGCTGTCGCGGCTTGGACGGTTTGGCTCGCTTATTATTGAAACTATCAATTTTTCCTTTCGCGGCATGAGAGGTTATCCATAATATTTATAAAATATAAAATTCTTTCATTAAGGCCTAAATATTGTAGAATTGATACTGAATACAAAAATAGCGCAATGTAACCTTGGTGACTACTTTTCGGGCAAACATTAACAAAAAATTTGCAAAATCTAAGACACAAAATGTTGTTAATTCTCAAAACTATTGCTTCATACTACTACATACAAGTCCATACTGTCATCAGAAAATAGATATTACTTAGACATTAATATCTTTGTCAAACGTGATGTACCAAGACCTTACGGTGGATGGGGCATGCCAGTCCACTCAAAGTTTGTCAAAAGTTTCTGGATATAACGGGAGGCGTAAGGACGGGTATTGTCGTAAAGGAGCGATATACCGACTGTCGGTCGTAATCGCTGGCAGTTCTCGATAGCTCTTCTTAGTTTTCTTAGTCTTACACAATAACTAACTGAGTCGGTCAGCAGTAGCTTTCCCCTTACGCATCCAAAAAATTCTGGCTAAAGCTTTGTCAGCAGGAGTTTGTTTAAACTTATTTGCGTCTGGTGATTCGGAGTGACGCTACTGTTTGGATTTTTGTTTTGTCTTGGGGGTGGAATGAACATTTTTGTTTTATCTTGGGGGTGGAATTTAAAATCTATGTTTCGTCTCTTGTAACAATCAGTCCAACAATCTTCTTTATCTTCGTGACACTTGGCGAAATCAACAATGAGAACCTCCATATCAGACCGCTGCAAAGCCAAGAATTACTTCTCGTACTCGTATTTTAGGACTTTGTATGTCAAATTATTAATTTTCCTGTCTCATTATTGCAAGCGACAAGCTACTGGAATTTTATAGGTCTTTTCACGTCATAGTACCATACGCAATAAGTAAATGGACTGACTAACTGTACCATGTGCGTAGCTAGATTTTTTATTGAAGACCAACAAAAGGTAAAGTCAAATCGAACGCCTATGACAATACTAACACTGACAAGCATAAATGAGAAATACTGGTACGTTGACGAGAAAATTCTTGAAGCAGTGAGACAAAACTGAAGTACGTAAGTCTGTGAGCTTTCACAAATGAACTTCCGCGCATAGAACCTAATTTGATATGGATGTGTGACGGAGATAGAAGCATGAATGTAATTCCTGTAGTTTTACTGTGGCTTGCCAAGAACCATAAAAAGGGACATAGTTCTTGAATTAAATGGAATGATGTTTGCTTTTTGTCCTCTGTAACAAAGACCAGGCACAGACAGCGATGTTTCGTGCTCATTAGCGACTCGTCAGTGCGCTATAGGTCTTGGTTCTACTCGTGGAGACAGACGACATGGGAACCAAACAAGTGGGTATGGTCTTTTGAAAAACTCTTACGGACAATATAGTTCTTTTCACGACCTTGGTGAGATTGTCTAACTGGGCCATGTGCGTAGCTTGGCTTCCTATGGGAAATTGCACACCGCGCAAGCCAATCCTCAATGCAGCTGCTACTTACCTAGTCTTGCACACGCGCATCAATTGGGTTATTCAGGACAGTTGTTTTTATTCACGTGACAAGCATCAATCTGGAAAACTCATACACTGATAAGAACGTTTTCATGGTGATGAAACAAACCTAAAAGACGTATGTATGTGAGCTTACATATACGTCCGCACATAGAGTCAGATTGCATAAGAGATCCATGAATTAAGTAATAAGACTATTTTTTTGTTTTTTTATTCAGATATAATTGCAATTTTATATTGTCACCCTCAAAATAACTTCATTCTGAAGGCACACAGCACTGGAGATGGTTCTTCCACTCCTCCTCCTTCAGGTGGTTGATTACAGCCATTTGAATGTTTTCGGTTAACCCAAAATGAATTCCCTTGAGATGATTTTTCAACTTTGGGAATAGAAAAAAGTCACAAGGACTCGAGTCAGGCGAATAAGGAGGCTGCGGAGCCGCAGAAATTCCAAAAACTCATTTATTGATATTGATGCGTGTCAAAGAGCATGATCGTTTTTCAAGAGCCTCCCGGTGAAAGTGTTGATGGACCGTTTGGCCTTACGATTCCGTGGTTATCGAAAAAACAAATCAACATGCATTCAATCTTCGACTTCGACACTCAACACTCGTCACCAGTAATGACACGTTTCAGAAAATGGGGGTCATTTTCAATCGAATCCAAAAAGTCAATTCAGCTTTCCTTCCTGATGTTCTTTTGGTCTTGCGAAAGGTTTTTTGGAACCATTTTTGCGCAGATCTCATCCCCAATTTACTGGTCAAAATCTAATGAACGGTGGTGTGAGCCAAATTTAACTCTTCCCCAATGATTCTTACTGTCAACCGACGATTGAACGCACAAGATCCCGGATTCTGTGGATATTTTCATTGGGTCTTGAAGATGAAGGTCTTCCGCTTCGTGGTTCATCTTCAATCGAATCTCTCCCTTCTGAAAACGCCTTAAGCCACCCAAAAACCTGGGGTCTTAGCAAAACACTATATCCGTATGTTTCCTGATGTTTAGCAAGAGTTTCCGTTGCACTGTGCCCAAGTCTGAATCAAAACCTGATATCACACCGTTGCTCGAAATTGATGACTACGGACAACCAAATGACTAGAGCGAGGTCAAACTTGTACTGAAGTCGTATCACATGTTCACCTGTCTCTCTCCTCTAAGCCCGGCATCTCCAGTGTTGCCACCTCGAACACTACGTTGCCAGTCTCATTACTTAGTTAACAAACGTCGAATGTATCCGTGAGGGATATAGATGCAAGTAATTTCTGCAGTTTTACTGTGGCCCACCAAAAACCGTGAAAAGGCCTGAATACAAAGTCTGACCGTCAAAAAATTGTGAAGTGTCATGGAGCGGAGTTTGAGCTCGAGAATAGTTCTCTTGGGCAAGGCTTGTCTGGCAACTTCAGAATGATTGTGCATTTTTTTGGTAGTTATATTATGGATTTATTGATTTCAGAATTCAGAACATAAATATATGGACTCAACCAAGAAAGTACTGGAGAAAAAACTTTGGAAGATACTATCGCAGTCCTACCTCTTGAGGCTCAACCATATACTTCAAATGCAAATTGTATGTAAAATCATTCTTTGTATGATCTATCTCGCCATATGGACCTGGACTGTAGCTAATGCAAGAAATATTTTATACATATTTACTCAAATGTATCATCAATTTTACAAACTAGATCAGCCCTCTAATAGCCTGAATAAAATACATGTATAATAATTAACAGTAAATTTTTGAGAATAGAAGTCGTATTTCTGCTTTTGCTATACTAGAGTAGCCGCTAAAGCAAACTCCAGGAAGTGTCTTCGAATTTGCTCAGAAAAATATTCTAATTCACTTTTTTGCATAATCTTATCCAAAGACGGCATTATTTAACGAATCTGTTTGTGCCCAAAATTATGAAAAAAAAATTAATTGTTTAAACAATGTATTTAAGAAATTCCGAAAATTATGCTTTGCGATTTTGTTAATGAATGAAAAATATTCAGGAACTTTGTCGACATTAAAATTTTTATCTTTCCATTATGTTTTTCTGGGGCCAGCATGGCATATTTTGCACTATTTCCATTATTTGGAAAACTCCCTTTCTTTGTCCAAACGACCCAAAAAAACTGAAAAAGCTTTGTACGAAACGAACTTTTTGGAAATTTGCTGAAACAATTTTTGACGAAATTTTGGACATAGGATCATGCAAATTCGTTAAAAGGTGTCGTTTTTGAATAAGATTTTGAAAAGCGAATCAGATAATTTTTTCGAGCAAATGCTAAGAATTTTCTTAGACTAACAGTATTGCAGCTACTATAAAGAAGTAAAAGTCCTGTTAATATTAAATTTGAACTAAACTGGTGAACAGTTGCTTTGTAACATATAAAATTTTACCCAAATTCAAATCTCGATATAGAGGAAGAAAATATCGAGTTGCAGTATTCGGTAAGTTCTTGACCAACACTTTGAGAAAACAGGGTTTGACCGGTACCTACTATATTTCTTTTACTTATCCACGTATGTGGGGTGAGCAAAGAAAGTAAGGTTTCTTAGCAAAGTTATGTCAGATTCTGAATTTTCGATCTTGGAAATTTTTCCGTGCATCTCTTTGATCTTTGGACTATCCTAAAAAGGTTATTTCTAAAATTTTTCGAATGTTGGCTTTCACTCAAATTATCGAAATCTTAACTTCCCGCAATAAATGTCTTTTAGCTCGACCTCGTATTTTTTTTTTGATTACCCTCTCCATGCAAATGGGAGGTTTCTAACTACCTACACCTCAAACAAGCAATTGCTAAGTAACAATAATATTGACTGTAAAACTGACAGTATGATTTTCTTTTCTTAAAAACGTCTCGTCTTTTTCAAAAATAACGAGAGAATTGCATAAGAGTATTGGGAGAAGGTCGTTTAGTGAATGATGTAGCTTCAATTTACAATGTTGATCGGTTCTCAATGTACCGTTTAAGGCGTAGATATCAGGATACCGGGGAAACGCCCTACCTCCATGGAGGAAGTAATAAAAAAATACAGGGTGCGGCAGAGAGGATGGACAATTTTAGGAAAAATCATAAAATAGTTAATTTTTACTCGAAAACAAATTAATTGATGGAATCAGGTTCACAAGGAAATAGCATCTGATACAGTCAAGTGTGGAAAATCACATCAGGCACGTGGTGGCCGAAATCGTTGATGCAGTGCTGGAGGCGTTCTTGGAAGTTCGCGTAGACTTTCTCCAACATCGCTCTCTCAACTTGGGCGACTTCCACGTGAATTTCGCCCTTCAATTCGTCCAGAGTTCGGGGCTTGTTCGCGTATACTCTAGCCTTGAGGTGTCCCCATAAGAAAAAATCGCATATGGATAAATCTGGGGACCGAGGAGGCCAATGAACATCGCCAAACCTGGAAATAAGGCGACCAGGGAAGAGAGGGCGAATAACGTCCACGGATGCTCGGGCTGTGTGGGCGGTCGCCCCATCCTGCTGAAACCACACACGTCGGATTGGAATACGTCGCCGTCGTAATTCAGGGAGAAAGAAGTTGGTGATCATGTCGACGTAGCGCCCTGAGTTCACGATAACATCACGACCATTACCGCCTTCGAAGAAGTAAGGGCCAATGGTGCAAGTTTGCGATACAGCGCACCAAATCGTTACTTTTGGGCTGTGCAGCGGTCTTTCATGTAACTGTTGCGGATTTTCATTAGCCCAATAACGGCTGGGGGCTCGTCACTCATAAACAAAATGAGGTTCTCATTTTGATCGATCAGTGCTTCCATCTCACGTGCGAAGTTCATTCGTTGTGCATAATCTCCGGGCTGTAACTGTTGCACAATGGCCAATTTGTAGGGGTGAAAGCGAAGATCCATATGCAAAATTCGCCTTACCGGACGATCTCTAAGGCGAAGTGCAGCAGTATGTTTCCGGGCAGATCGAGTCGGACTGCGAAGAAAGACCTGTCGAACGCGTTCAACATTTTCACAAGTTCGAACTGATCGCGGCGCTCCTCTTGGTCTTCTGTTGATCAGTTCACCACGCCTGCGGAGTGATTCAACCCAACAAAGGATGGTGTTTCGAGGGGGAACAGCTCTATTCCGATGAATGTTGAAGTGGCGACGAAACTCACGCTGTACGACGATGACTGACTCATTATTTCGGACGAAACAATCATAGGCGAAAACGCGGTGCTCCACCGTCCAAGGCTCCATAACGACAACTGGTAAAATAATGCTAGGATCTCACGAGTCAAACGGCACCCTCCCCTCCTCTCTCGTAGACGGAGGCGGAGAGTACTACCCATCCCAAAAACGTCCGTCCTCTCTGCCGCACCCTGTATATACGACTTTGGGCCGAAAGATATTTATTGCCGGAAGTAAGGAGGCCTCTTCATCCAAAACCTTGAATGAGAACTTATGGCGGCACAGTGGAATAATAGCATCCAAAAAGCTTTAAATTCTAATTTGTTAAGGTGTGTAAATGGTATAAAAAATTTGCTAGGTAGTTTTTTAAAGTAGCATTTACTCCAGAGCAAGGCGTCGCGCCAATGGTACCCAACTCTTGAACAACAAAAGAGTCACCAGGTACCAATTTGCTCAGGAGCGGGTAAATTGGCATCAGCATTGACATACACTGGTGAACCAAAATTAAAATATTTTTTTGTGACATGGACAAGACAAGGTGGTTATTATGTAAGACGTACCCAAAAAGACGGAAATAGCGTTCGATTTTTTTCTATCACCCACGGTTTTCTTGCCACAAGGCATTTCATTTGCTGTTTATACTCGTAAAATATAAGGGTATGTGTGTAACAGTACTAATAAACACTCGAATAAACATTTACCTCAGAATGTTGTTGTCGATGTTTTACGGCGATATGTTGCTCCTGAAGTATCTCTTAACAATGTCCAGCAATAATCAGCAAGCAAATTGACACTCCATTTGCCTTGATACCGTTTTTACATAGCAGAAATGTCTTAGTGGAACCGTTCACCATGTTCATCACTTACCGCACCTAAATTTTCCGGAGAAAAATCGAGATGAGAATCCAAAAAGTGAATTTTTAGAGACATGTTACATCCCATTCCTTTATAACCATTAATTAGTTCACTCACAATACCTTTATAACTGTCCGCGTTCATATTAACTAAAAAAATTGCAGTAACTGACTTAACAGCATTCCAAGCTCGTAACTCAGTTTCACCTAGAGCACTGTCAAATCCGTCATCCTTCATGATTTTCCGTATTTGTAGACCCACAAATATGCCCGCATTAATTTCTCTCACGGAAATGTTTGTTTTAAATGCAGAAACCTTCTTCCATTTCTATCCATCGCTTTCACAAAATGTTTCATCAGTCCCAACTTAATATGCAAAGCTGGAAGCAACACGTTTTTGGGATCAACTAGTGGTTTATGAGCAATGTTTTTGAGGCCCGGAGTTAATACCTGACGTGGTGTCCACTCCTTCTGTTCATAATGACGATCTCGCGCACGACTGTCCCATTCACAAAGAAAACAATATTTGGTATATCCCAGTTGCATTCCAAGAAGAAGGGCTATTAACTTTAAATCCCATCCATATAGATTATAACGGATATGCTCTAACAGAACTCGCATATCTTCATATGATTCCTTCATATGAACTGCGTGCGCTATAGGTACAGATGGATATTTATTACCATTGTTCACCAATACCGCTTTTAAACTAAGCTTAGAGGAATCAATGAAGAGGCGCCAATCATTTGGATCATGTCTCTGTCCTAACGCGTCAAACAGATTGTTGACATCGGAGCAATATATCAACTCCCTTTCTTGACGGAAACAGTGTGTGAGGTCTTGTTGCCGTTTTCGGTAAAAAGTAACATCACCATGCAGAAGATTCCATGCTTTTAATCTTGACGCTAAAAGTTCTGACTGGGATTTTGACAGATTTAATTCTCGAACCAAGTCAAAAAGTTCGCCCTTTGTGATCAAATGCGGTGCTATCGAACATCCTGGCAGGTCAAACGAAGGGTCGGTAATTTTTACGCTTTCTGTACCATCACTTCCAGGAATCGGTGGATTCGACTTTTTCATCCAGAGACCAAGATTCTAGTGGAACTGGGACAGAAAGTTCATCACTATGCTTAACGGGCCGCAAAGCTGATGGTAAATTAAAATACTAAACAGTACGTTTCGATTTTGGTCCAATACCTTTAATATTTGTGAGGCAAAAATAGCAATCAGTAGAATGGTCTCTCGGTTCTCTCCAAACCATTGGTACCATAAAGGGCATTTTATGATTGTCGCCTCTTAACCAACCTGTTAACAACGTTACACAAGTCTTACAGCATATATGAGGGGCCCATAGTTTATCTTGGTCGCCAACTTTAATTTCAAAATAAAGTTCGTATGCTTTCAACACAAGGGGAGTAAAAGTACGTTTTTGGGATTTAAAAGTTGGCTCTCCTCACACATAACAAAAACATTTCGCACTACTCGCACAATTTTTAGGCATTGTCCATAAAGCTAGTCTCGATCACAATCAACTAAAAACAACACACCCTTTTTAACAAAAATTAACAGTACTCACAACATCTCAGTTCTCTTCAACACAGAAAACGTAACTCACTTGGCTGCTATTAGTCTACTAATAAACGTAATATGCTCTCTAAACATAGAGCTCGCATATAATAAACAGGAATAGACAGGTCAAAGTTTTTCTAATAAAATTATTTTAAAAACAATTATTTTAGCCACTTATAATTTTTTAAGATTATATATGTGCGTCTTCGCATAAACGCCGAGAAATGCAGCAGTATGAGATGTTCGTATTGTAATTTTTAATAGTAGATGTTACCGAATATCTGTGAGTGATAGAAAAATTCTGTTTTTAGATTTGATTTAAGGGTCTCAAAATACATAAGATACACCCAAAAATTGTCATGTCACAAATCCTGTGTGCTTATTTTCCGATGAAACACTCATGATAGGGGTTCTTGTTTAGAGGCAAGCTGTTGAACGATATGATGAAGAAAACATGGCTCCACAAGAGACGTTTGGTGAAAGTGGCATTACTGTTTGGGCTGGGGTATTGCAAAATGTAAAAACGAACATTTTATTTCAAACAGGACAGCTTATAGGGATATTTTAAACAATACTGTTGTACCTTTTGCACAAGATTTTGGGGAGGATTTTGTCTTCATCGATGATAACGCCAGGCCGCATAGAGCTCGTACGGTTGTAAACGTTTTGACAGAAAATAAAGTTACATTATTGCATCTACCATCAAATTTTTCAGACCTAAACATAATTGAGCATCTGTGGTCTCGGCTAAAATGTTTAGTGCCGTCAAGACAAAATGTTCCTCAAACAATGAAGCAGCTGTCTGGGGTCATTCACGAAGAGTAGGAAAACGTATCTCGAGAATTTATTAAAAACCTTCTGGAAAGTATGCCATGCAGATTCCAGGCTGTGATCGATGTGCGGGGTGGCCCTACGAGGTACTAACAATATTGTTTAAAATAACTGTTGCTGTTTTTGTCATGAATAAATAATTTAGGTATTTAACTGGTCTTCAAATTTTTCTTTTCTAAAATGTTACATATATTGAATGTTAATCAATAAATTCTTTAAAGTTGTTTAAAAATTTAATAGAATCTATGACCTATTGGAAGACATCTCCAATGAAGACGCAAACGCCAATGCTGAATGAGAAAGATAAAAAATTCCAGATAAAAGATGAATCGCAGTGTTGACCAGCATCATAGCATTTTGAAAAATAAAATTTTTTAAGATATTAGCACTTCTCACCAAACCAAAAGATGGTTTTGGTGTCACGCCACTGCTATACACCCCTATATTAGGAGTTTTAACTTGGAGTTATTCATTAAGCTGATTAATTACATAGTAAAATTTATAAAATATTCTGCTTAAATTACATAATGTCAAAGTAGCAAATTTTCACTGCACACCACTGGAGGCAATAACGTTCAATGAGTGCTCCAATCTATTCTTCAAGAAATTACACTTTATGGAATACATACTTCCCATATGAGAAAAAATACCCATTCTCAAGAGAAACCCCAAAAATGTCCCTTTTTAGGGATAAATGTGACACTTCTTTAAAATTCGAAAATTTGAGTTATAGCCAGCTTTCGAAAAATTTGAGAAATTCCTATTTCTAGGATAGTCCAAAGATCAAAAACATGCATAGAAAAATTTTAAAAGATCAAAAATTGAAAATGTCACATTGCCCCAAAATTTACTAAAAACCTTACTTCCTTTGCTCATCCTGTATAAGTGGATAAACAAAAGAAATATACCGGTCGTACCATGTACGTATTCTCGAACAGTTGGTCAAGAACCTCTCGAACACCACAATTCGATATTGTTCCGAAAATATCGAGATATGGATTTGGGTAAAAAACATACCATAATAAGTACTACAAAGAAACGATATGCAGCAGCGGCTTTATTCGAATCCAAGCGGTATGGTTCCCTTCAAACAGTTTGGCCAAATAAAACCCGGCATTAAGCGCATATGTCGCAACGGTCGAGCAGGTCTCAGAGGTCGGAATCAAAATTATCGAAGTAGGAAACGAAATCATGGGGATCGGAATCGAAAACATCGGATTCGATTCCATCGAGATTATAGGCTTGCTTCAATTCCCTGTGAGGTATCGTTGATTCATAACCGAACCAGCACTAATGAATTGTCGGCAAATTCTCGAGTTTTCATATCGCTACATGTTGCTAAGTTAAATTGGTTATTAAAGTTGAGACTGAGGGTTAACGACGGCGAGACTAACGGACTTTATCTCCTCACACTGGCACCTGGGATCACTCCTCCGTGAATGTTAAAGCATACAGTTCCGCATAAGGTAATAGAACCAAGCCTACTTTCTATAAGCATACAAAATGTCTCACACATATCACATTTACATGCGGTTCAACCCTGTAGCAAACAAAATCTTTCTAGATGGTTTACAAATCTGGTTAAATTCACTCAACACGACCGCCCTTTAGCCTGTTTATGTTATAAATTCCATGCCTTCTCTGGGCACTTGTTCACAGGCTAAGCTTTTAGAGGTGTCATGTACTGGCGGATGGATATAGGGATCGCTTCTAAGATCAAGTAGTGCGCGTTGTGAACCTAGTTACAGTGTTGCTGAGCTATTGGCTATAAGTTTTAGTTACCTGAAAGGTGAACAGTCACTGAAAGGTGAAAAGTCCTTTGCTCTACCGTACTGCATGGATTTCAAACCATAATACGACTAATAAGATTTAAGGCATGTTCATAAAGATGCTGTGCTTTCATATTTTAATTTATGGCTTACGACTTTATTATTTATTGTTATTGAATATCTGAAGGTGGGACACCTCCAGTCTCTGGGGGTTGTTATGGGACTTTCGGACCCCGATAGTTGGATTCAGGTAGTTATGTTAATTACTGATCGGTTTCCTCTGCCAGGGGAAATGTCGGAGCGCTTGGCATGTTGACACGATGACTTTTGGCCGACGTGCCATCCTAGGTCTGTATGACCGCTTAACCACCTTCTCTGAGCAATCGCTGGATTCTGAAAGGGTCGCATGGCAGGATGTGTGCAGGAGTTGTTAGTTTAAAATACTCATGTTGCACGGTTATATCTGTATGACGACTCCTAGTCTGTCTGTGTGACGAATCAATGATCACTCTGTGTGACGATCCAAGGATAAGTGTCAGTGTGACAATCCAAGGATCAGTCTGTGTGACGATACAAGGATCAGTCTGTGTGACGCTTCCATCATTCCGTCCATGGGTTCAATCCTTACCAGTAGTTTGGTTACCTTAATGTAATGGTAACCAGTAGATTTGTGCATGTCCTGTCATAAGTTGGTTTAAAATTGGAGGTACTCAAATCATTTTTCTAAGGATAGATATTGTCCCCGACAATTCGGTCATATCGCTCTTATCGTAATTGTTTACGGTCTGCCCTTGAAATAAAAATGAAATATTCTAAGCTGGCATTCTTTTCATGTTTATCGTTCTATTATCATCGTCTTATATAAGTTACTCTAGGAACTCGATTTCAAAAATCAACCCCCTGGACGAACCTTATTTGCTCTTCCTACCGAGTGAGTCTGACATGCAAAACCCATACTTATTGTACACTCACACTGACATTGTGGGAAATATTGAGTAATGAAATCATTTACAAATAAACAAAAACAGTACGGTAAGTATTTTTTTATTTTTACGTATCACAAATAATGACTAGGCAAATGATAAAATCCATCAACAGATACAATATAATACTGAAATGGTTTCCGCACACTTACACTACTTTCACTTGCTAAATATAAAGAACACTCACATCAAGATAAATAAAAATGTTTTAAATGTTTCGGCTGCCTTCATTAGATGACGCAATATGACGTCAAAACATCATGCCATAGGTTGTCCATTTTGCAGTAATCTTCTTGTCATTCTTTCCAAGAATGATTCCGAAGGATATGGTACAATAAATGTTAATAGAGTTTCTTCAACATAAACATTTATTCCCTTTTCTCATGTAGAGGAACTGAAATAAAAATTAGATCACTCTGGGTTGTCAAATTATAACAACTAGCCCTTTACCTTCGTCTTCTTCATTAGCATCCAAACAGTTTTGACACACGCAGAAATACATGATGATAGATAAGAAACAAGTAGGTAGACCCAGCAGAACAGTGGTTAGTACAGGATTTCCTCGATATCTGTCCGCTAAAGTAGTTTTTGCATTAAAATAGGCTCTGTACAAACGCACTGCAAAGTCATTTCCACCATATGCCTGCAAACAAAAATAAATGCATAGGAAGCGTTTCAACACGTCAGGTATGGACATCTTCAAGAACATTTCAGAACCAGCCAGGAATTAATATTGCCATTGAGATATTTTCCAAATGTTGTATGAAATATCAATATTTTGCATCCGATAAGTATCTAGTTGCCTAATAATGAGCAATACACAACTTTAAAAATTTATTTATGAAATAAATAAGCATTGACAGTATAATCACCATTGTTATATTCTACTGTTCGTTAGCGATTAGGCAAAGAGTGGATGGAATTCCTGTAAAACTCTTCCAGATTTCAGTGTATTCCGGATCACTCAGTAATGACGTATTTTACCTGAATATTGCCAACCTAATGCCATACCAGTGGCGAAGCGTCCATGTAACCATTGTTACCATTGGTAACAGTTAAAAATCTTAAAAATAAATAATTTATGACTACTGTGAAATAAATACATTCATTTGTTTACCCAGCAATACGTACTAGTAATTCAGTATATAGCAGATTAGCCCCACGAAAATAATGCGCCCTACAATACTGTCTAGATTTTGCGAACGCGATGAAGCCGACTCGCCTCGACTTGGTTGTCACCATTTTCGCTTATGGATAGACTTGGTAGTTCGTCGGGGACAGTCGGAGAGGGCTCGTGTCTGATCGCGGTCGCACAAGTACTTGGGCCGCCGCGATTATTATGTAGGCTTGTTACCATTTTTTGTTTTGGTTACTCACTTCTCCCTCGTTAGTAATCGTTTTGGTTGCCGGCTGTAGTGTGCGTGCAATTAAACATGGACGAGTGTCGCTGCGTAATCGATTAACTATATAATTTTGAAGAAAAAAAGGAGATCATTGAAAATGGAATACCAACTTTTTTTGATAATTTTAAAAAGGAATAAAAAAAGTAGTTAGATATTTTAAATTTAGTTGGTATATTGAAAACTCTTGGTTATGTTGTTGCAAGAAAAACATTGTATTGTTGGCCATGTCTTCTGTTTTCTACAAAAAAAAGGGGTTGACCAGCAACGATTTAAATTGTTTTAGGGTTCTGAAGATGAGACATAAAATTTCTCCTCTACATGTGAGATGTGTAGCCAATTTGATTCAGTTTGGCAAAACAAGAATCGAAAGTTGTCTTAACCAAGATTTAAGGCAGCACACTTATAGATGCTGTATGTTTTTTGGCCAAACAAGAATTACCATTTCGGGGTCATTTTGAAAGTGATGACTCTGACAATAGAGGAAATTACTGGGAATTGTTAACATTAATTGCCAAAAAAGATAAAAATTTCCGAACATCTAGAAACGTCTACTGTTTTTCGGAAGGCTTGGATTAGTCATAGCATAAGTGCCCCCTCCAGCAATGTTTACATCAATTTTAAAAAAGTTTAAATACAATACCTAAAATAAGCAAAAAAATTTACATGGAAGGGTCAAAATAAACCTTTTTTAATAAGATTTTTCTCATCTGGTTTTGGTAACAGTTTAGGAAAAGTCACGCGTCGCCACTGTGTCATACTTACGCGTATACGCGCATACATATAGTAAATAGAGAATCAGCTGTGATGAATTATCATAGGTATCTCATTTTATCTCCGATAATTTTTCGGACGCGGAACTATAGCATTAGGGGTTGGCCATCTCCAGTTAGACAACGTTAATCAATGTCATTACTGAGTTCAGCTCAGCTCCAATAGCGTTTGTCCGTCGCACTAAGCAATTTGAGGTGGTGCATTGCCGCGGAGAAATTTTTTTAAGTTGATTACAGTACACTGTCACAATAATCGTGGTGCTAGTAGGAAAAATTTCCCAGTATACATCCTACCACCTACCACACAGAGCATCACCTTGCGAGGATGAACATCTCTTTTTGGTGTAGATCTGCCTGGTTCGATAGGTCGGCCAACTTTAGCGGCACCCAAGCACCAAAAATATGTCTTCCCTAAAGCAGGCAAATGATTTTCTATCGTGCCATAAGAGCACTCGATCTCTGCGCCTAATCACGCGTACTGTTCAGTTAATGTTTTAAGTTTATTTACATCTGTTTCCACTGAACGCCCATATCTTGATTGATCTATCAAGAAATAGTCATCGCTGTGAATTCGTTGAAACCACTTCTTTGCTGTTGCCTCGGAGACTACGTCAAGGCCTACCCTTTGGCAAATGTTACTTGCAGAAGTATGCACTGATAGGTACTAATATAGGAAAGTGTTGGTTTTAGTATCGCTCAAGATCGTCGTTGTACTTTAAGCAGTGCCATCTGAAGCATCACTGACGTACATGGTCGCAACTTGCTCTTGGGAAGTGGCAAAACCTGTCCTCTTGATATCTGCTCACCTTGTATGAGGGGTATCACTTCCTATGACGCCCCTCGCATGTAGTGCTCGTGGTAACATACTGTAAAATTATATTTGAATACACCTGTACTTACTGGTGCTTGTTGATTGTAAACTCGTTCTAAAAACAGTTCTATTGCTTCTGTAGTCATAATCAGAGGATCATCCTCAGGTACGTGATGATGATACGTAGTCGAATTCAAAACTATGAGATAGGGCAGTGATATTCTTTCCATAGCAATATTGATCACCAATTCCAAACTACTTGTCCAACCGAATTGAAAACTACTGTGATACTTGTCTCTATCCTTCCTTATCACCGATTCTACCATATTACGGAACTCTAACATGTCTTTCGGTATTTCCTGTAGCTTGTTCTCTTCTACAACGACTAAAACGATGTATTTCTTGGTTTGTAATACTTCTTCGATATTTCCTTCTGATATTTTGAGAAAAGTTTCAAAACGTTCCTCGTTGATCCATTTGTGAATTGATGCATTTAAGTGGCGGGCTTCTTCCAGGCCATTCCCCGCTTCAACTGAAAAAAGTGCGTCAACTTACTGGTTCAAAATCGTCCGAAGTAAATAAACTTCACGAAACCATTTTTTGCGGTCTACTGGAATTACTTTTTCTACGTAAAGTCATTTCAATGTCACCTCAAGGTGAAATTTCCAAAAACCAAGCAAATTTAGCCACCCGTCATTCAGATTTATGTGATCGTTAACTTGTAATTGAAAGCTGATTTGTCTTCACAAGGGCATTTGAAGGTACAAGGTCGCTTCAAGGACAACTTCAAAAAGAGTCAAACAATTGGGTCCAATCTCATATGTTAAGTTTTTTTAGGTTGCTGACAGCGAATCAGTTCTTCTCCATTGAGGACCAAATTTGTCTGACGGCTTGAGTTTAATGTGTACGAGAAAGAAGCGCGATAGGTGAAAGAGACAGAAGCCGGCAGATTAGCGAAGCTAATCACCTAGCAACGCTGACGTGGCAATCTGCAAGATTGCCAATATTATGTTACACCAATTTCTTGAATTAAGAGTCATGTTGAAAATATGCGATAGCTTATTCTCTACGCCCAAATGATGATTTTATTTTGGGTGTACACATTTTTGGATTGTGAAATCAATGATAATTCTGAAATAAATTGAAACACTAAGTCGCATCAAAATTGAAATAAATAATTCTAATCAAAATGAAAACAAAATATTAAACGAAATGTTCGTATAGTTTGACAGTAACCTAACCTATTGTAGAAGCCTGTGCGAACATTTTCTGTTGTAACATATTGGCAACGCGGCAGATGCATGATCTTCTGCGTCACTGTCGCTAGGCCTTGTAGTCATGACCTTCGCTCTTCAGTCAGCTTCTATCTCTGTCTAATCAAAGAGCTTTTCTCTCGTATACATTGAACTTAAGCCGTCAGATAAATTTGGTTTCCCCTGCATACTTGGACATATAAAAGGCATTTCATAATGACTTTCAAGGGGAAATTCAAAGAATGGAGCAACCAAATCGAAGTGATTCAAATTACAGGTCATATTTAGTCCGTCTCAAGGTCATATAACGTAAGACTGTTGCATGAAATACAATGATCTCATTATCAGAATGATCTGTTCCACTGTAAATGACCGTTCAGGAATGACCGAAATTCATTGTTCGAAAAAAATCGGATGCCTCGTTTTGTATGATTTCGATATCAAAACGATCTCAAGACAATTACGAATAAACTCATAGAGAAAAACTACTCTCAGACAATATTGATGTGTTCCTTATGTGAATACGAATCTTCTATAACATATCTAGTTGTTAGATTCCTTTTACATTTCTTTCTTTTGGAATATTACCTGTGTAAAAATAATGCGAATTCTCCTTATGTACGAACACCGCAGGCGTCTCATTTAAAAAAATATGTTTTTCAGCTATACTCTGACTGGTAGAGTAATAGAAAGCATGTGCTTGCATTTTGTTTGCTACATCATTAAAGGTGTCCCATAAGGCTCCTTCTCTTTCGCCCACATACATGAAAAACAACTGGTTCATGTTTTTGATGTTAGTCAAGCTTTCCGGCCTTGTTATGTGTTCCACTGCCGGGCCTGACATTCTGAGGGCAAAATTCACTATCTGTTCGGTATCCTGGTCACCTTGAAACGTATGATGTTCTTCTCCCCTTATACTAAAATGCATATTTGATGCATAATTAACAAATTCTTGATGATAGATAACTGAAAAATACTTGAAGCATATCCGTGGCTTCCATGACAGATCGGTTAGTTTACACCTATGGATGCATGACACAATGGCAGTTACGTGGTCATTTTGCCAAAATGTCTGCAACCGCATTCCGCCAAAATAGTTAGTCAGTTAGAAGCTCTTACGAAAGAAATATACTATAGCTTGATTAATTGACATATAACTTTGGAAACAAGAGCATTCTCCAGCTTATGGTGGGATACCCTGACGCTGACCTTGTCAATTCGAAAAGGATGTTGCGTGCGATGTGTTCTATTGCTATCTTCCTTTTCAGTTCCCGAGTATAATATATATGATTTTACGAAGCTCTGTTGGTGCCATTTCTGAAACAAACAACTCTTTGCGTACGCAAAAACCAAAAACGAAAATGGCGCTAGCGTCGAAGACCATGAATTAGGCAACACGTAAAGGAGTTTAGCAGGAGCAAGTATTAGCCATTCAAACCGGATGTGACATTGTCGCACTAATAATATGTGCCTATTGGCGTTCTTTACGCTCAAGCGACAATGTGGTTCTAGTCAGTTCGATTTAGATCTTATATTGTAAGACACGTTTCGGCAAGCCATAAATAAAAAATGATTCCTTATTTATATTTAAAGATTTTTTTCGTTCACACTTATTCAAGCTGTTGTTAAATTATTGATTTATTTTCGTTGTTGGTATATTTCCTGCAATTGGGTACTGTTGCGAATTATAAATAAATACAGTAAAGTAAACACAGTATTAGACTATAAATCTTTAGTATGGTTATTATTATTTCGTACTGATACAGAAAATCTTTATTCATTATTATTTATTATTACATTCAAAACAAATCATGTAAATCACCAGTGATTGTCTAGCACAAAATAATGGTTCAAAATTATATTCCAAAAAGTCTGATCCAGAAGCTAAAAAAATGGCGTCAAGTAGGGTCATAAAGGATCATGTTTAGTACAAAGTAGACCCTCTGAGCAAAAATTTATTCAAATAGGCCCATACAATTAGTCCATAGACATTCCTTCCCTGCCCTACCCGTACGGCGGCAGCCGCGGTCGGTAGTTCCCGGATACGTCTCCTAAGAATAAGCGATCCGCCTACTGAGAATACGCTATCCATCTGCTGACAATACGCGATCGATCTTCTGAGATTGTTTTTCCAAGTTTAAATGGCTAATGTATGAAGAAGTCTATGATGTGTGAAATATGTCTAGTAGATGCGTAGAATTACCAAGATTGGGAGCGAATAAATGCACTAACACCAAAAAATTGGTATCATGGTATCTTGTGATGTTATATGACATCCAAAATACATCTCATTTTCGAAAATTTTCGCGATTACAATACATACCAGCCAGTAGGCGTGAGAAGTAACATGTTTGATTTTGTTGGAAATGAATCGTTTTTGGGAAAACAGTTTTGTTTCAATACAGTTCCTATTGATATACACTGCAGCTGATCCCTGAGAAAACAATAGAAGCAGCCAAACCCTAAAAGTTGATTGAGTAGTCTGAAAATTTATATTCTTGAGTTTTATGAGTCTCTGATTACAAGTGACCAATTACTAAATTACTATTGATGTTTTTAATAAATTAGAATATATTGAAATGTGTTATATGAATAAGTCTTTATTTTTGTGTTTTACTGATGGAACAATAATCTGTTCCTTTATAAATCTATTAATATATATATATATAATAAAATTTTTTATTATTTTATTAAATTTTGATCTCTGTCTCCGATAACTCTATTTTTAAATAAATGATTCTAGGCATAATGATATTTTGATTACCAGTCGCTGACTTCACCTCAGGGAAATATCTCAGCACCAATATACTACACTTTGAATTCCCATGTGCATTTTCTAGAGCAGTTCAGGAGCATATCACTCTCAAATCAAAAACCACTTGAAAGCAGCTCTGCAATGTCTCCCACCTATGCTGGAGACACTACACATATGTTATGTCAAATAAGATTATCAACTGTATAAGATATCCACATGTCTTTAAGTAAGTTAGAGCTCCTAACTGTGGCTAAGTTTCTAACTCCACTTTACTATCCAATTTTACAAAACATTCATTCTAAGGGAATCTATGCACTGTTATGTGGAAAATGAGAAGTCTCCCAGACTTCCCGTACACCCCACGCAAGCCACAGATAAATAAAATTTTAACTCTGACTTACATTTTTATAGTAGGGTATTTGGTGACACCAAACATTTTTGCAACATTTGGGTATGATGAACAGTCTATCCGTCCAATACGAATATGTGTATTTTTCAATGCTTGTACAACATGGCCCCAAATAGGCTCCACCCTTTTGCAATTCCCACACCATGGTGTATAGAATTTAATTAACCAATAGCCCCCATCATTGTGGAGGTTTGCAAAGTTATCTCCTAGCTCTAATACCCATTTAGAAAATGTGTTAGTCTCTGTGTATAGAAATCCTGTAACAATTTAGATAAGTATCTAATGTTTGCAATATTTCTCACAATTTCTGATGACAACGTGTACATTATAAAAAAATGCTGTGGAACACTCAAATACTGAATAGCGAAACTTTTTCTTTTACTAAAAGTAATCTACACAGGATACGAAATATATCAGTAAGCCAGTATCGACATAAACAGGCTGATTTATGTATGTATGCTGTACTGGTCATGGTTAAAATGAACTACTGGACATGAAATATCTGATTTCCATTAAACTCACCGCTAACAAATAAAATTAATAAATAATTTCCTAGTTTACCCATTACAAGTTTAAAGCTAAAAAGTGCAAGCAAAATTTTTTCCACTTCCCCAGACAAAAGTACTCCTTTGGTTTTCAGCCCCCGGTATCTTGCTCATAAAAATACACTTTTCGCATTGAGCAATAATTCAATATTTTAACTAAACACTATGAATATTCTCGAAACAGCTGATTAACATTAAAATGGGGTGTGGGGGTGTGTTTCTAAAAGGGTTGATTGTGTGGTGCCTCCTCTAGCGGCAATTCCTGTTATTACACTTGAATCTTGAATTGTGCCACTACCTATGGAAAAAACAGGCGAACTTGCAGATGGAAGTCATTACATTTGTGGTGGCATGTATATTGTACTGGACTGGAATTATCTTATCAATAGAGATTGGAAAATCAACCTTCCTATGCATATTGCGCCATCTCTTGAACAAAGGCGTTCTCTTACGGATAGAGATGGGATGAATCACTTTAATAGAGATGGGATACGTTGTATTTGTTTCGATTTTGAATCGTTGAGATTTTTTATTCCTAGAGCTTTTAAATGAGGAATCAGATTATAAAACAAAAAAAAACACTGCAACTGCAACATCTCCTAAGACAATGTCAGGTGTTGAAAAAATATTTTGTAGATATGGGTTATGCTTTCCAACTTTGGGATCTTGGGAGGGAAGTGCTATACAAGGGATGTCTTTTAAGTTTTGCATATAGAAACATAGTAGGCCGCGTGGATCGAACGTCAGTTCTGAATCTTAACCTCACTCTTTAGTAAACTCAAATTCAAAGTTTCACAACAATACTACAGTGAATTTTTAAGTGTCACCAAGTCATTAGAAAAATCGAACTCAACCGAGAACTTTTTCGCGCCATAATTTATTACAACTTTCAGAGACGATTATCGCAACAAGACTGCCTTGCTGAGTAACTGTCTGTTTTCGGCAACGAAGCGCCACATCAGTCGACAATTTCCCGTTGGTATGGAGAATTCAAACGTGGACGGGTGAGTCTTAGCGACGATGCCAGGGTGGGTGCACCAAAAACGGCAGTCACCCAGGAAAACGTCGATGCTGTGCGCAAACTCATCATTGAAAATAGACATGTGACATATCGCGAGATTGAGGCGTCCTTGAAGATCTCAAAGACCTCAATTCAAAAAATTTTACATGAATTAGGAGTAATAAAATTAGTTTCTCGTTGGATACCCCACCTGTTGGCTGAAGAGGAGAAAACAGCCAGGGTTAATTGTTGTCAAAAAACCCGAAAATAAACGACAGTCGGCTGTTCCAAGGTGACGAAAAGCCAACAAAAGTCATCAGTTCTCGAAGTGTTTCGTAAAAGATGGTCGCGACATTGGTCTCATAAGTAGGTCATATTGCAACAATTCCTCCTAATGAGCAAAGAACTGTTACTGCAGATTGGTATACCACCATTTGTTAGCCAAAAATCATCACCAGGCTTCGAAAAATCAACGCCGAAAGAAGAATCATCCTCGACCAAGACAATGCAAGCTCGCACACAGCCCAAAAAAACAAGGCAGTATCTAACAGAAGAAAACGTGGAATTATTGGACCATCCTCATATAGTCCCGATCTAAGATCTAACGATTTCTTTACTTTCCCGAAAATTAAAAACAGACTTCGTGGTCAAAGGTTCCAGTCACCAGAAGAAGCTGTTGACGCATTCAAAAATGCCGTTTTGGATCTGCCAGCAAACGAGTGGAATAAGTGCTTTGAAAATTGGTTCGAGCGCATGCAGATGTGTATTAATCTTCGTGGAGAATACTTCGAAAAACAAAGTCATTTAAAACTACCTACCGTGTTGTTTAATTCCATATGCAAAACTTAAAAAACATCCCTCATAAACGGTTTTTTTCTGACAGGACTGCATCTCAAATCAATATATGCACTTTGTAACATTATGTAAGTTGTTCCAAACAACTGTGTCGGCTATAAACTTTGTAAAAATTCATTATTAGTTTATTTTAAAAAAAATGGTTTCGCCTCAGACAGATTTCTGAAACCAAAGACTGCTTGAATGTCTACTGTAACAGTCAACATGTATATAATAGCCCATTGTAATGAGATATTTTTTTGTAGACATTTCTCAACAAAAAAACTCTAATAAATGAAACTTCCTTTATTCTTTATCAATACAAAACATACCTTATAAAATATAAAATGAATCCTATATGGCTTACATATTAAACGAGTGATGGTTCAAAGATTGATTTAAAGCAAAATTTCTTCTGTTTGCATCTTGTAATTTGTTCAGATGTTCCAATTGGGCACTTATTTGGGCTGTATTCCTGTCAATCCATTGCAGAGAGTTCATGTGAGCATTCAAGATGCGACTGATTTGTGCTACCTGATAAAACATACAAAAATTAATATTTCTTTTTATCTTAAAAGTAAATATAAAAGCAATAAGGTCCTTCTCCAAATTTTATAAAGTATTGGTATAGTAGACGACAAGGCTTTTATATTCGTTTACATTTTTTGCCGATTGTCATAAAACGGCTATGAAACCGAGAACGAGAGACATGAGGACAGAGACGGATCTGAAAATTTTCAAACATTTTCTCTGCAAGAGATGACTGAATCAAGTTGTTGAAGTAACGTTGATTGTTATAGAGGTTTCAAGTCTCTGAAATGTCCGCAGGGCACAACTCTCGCCTCTTTCCAATAATTCTCGATGTACCGTCTCTGCTGTGGGAATTTCATTACGTTTATTATGATCATACACATGTTCCTTATTTTAGCAGTTAAAGGCATAGATGTCCCCTTATTTTTCTTGGTTTGACTCTACTACGAATAATTTTACAAATTGTAGGATACAGCACGTTAGTCAGTTCGGCTGGTTTTTCAAGGACACTACTAGTACCGCTATCACCCATTTCGCGTAATAGACCATTACAAACATTGATGCAAATCTGTTGAGCATCAACAGACAGGCATATTATTTTAGAAATATGTCGGTATTAATGACTATCATTGCTGCCCTCGTTACTACTATCAGTATCATGCACACTGACAACAGTATCTCTGTCGGAATAGTCTTTGCTGCAAGATGGGTTTCCATCATTCATAGCACCTTTGTACATATAATAGATGTCCGTGGGCCACTGTCCTGTCTGAGCAGATCGTTCTCAAGGGCGGAAAAAATTCGTATCGCACATAATTATTATTCAAAACGTCGTCCGTCAACCTCGATTGTCTGCATATAACTGAAAATATATTAGTGGTGTTGAAAAAGTAATCATACGATACTCGAGTACTCGTCGGCAGTATTATGAGGCAGAAAAGCGACAACAAGGTAACACCACCATTCAGGAAAACCACAATAATAAAAGTTATGTCAATTTGACTCGTGTTTACATGCACTGTTTTGCTAAAAAAATATAATTCAGTGTGAGACCACCAATAGTATGTGTAGACTAAGCTCCACGTAGAATTTCTGCTTCGAAAAGTTACATGCCATTCGGAATTTCCTTGAGCCCATATACAGATCATCTTTCTAACTAAAAGACATGTTTTTAAGCATTTCTAGTAAATACAAAGTATTTTAAGTTTGTAGGCTCATACGAGTCAGATGACACTCCATCCTATAATAACCCATTTTGATAAGCATACATTTTGAAGATACAGTGTTTGCATTAAACACGACAAACTTGAATAAACTATGCTTATAACATTTTGCAAAGTTTAAGGTTGTCTATTCTGTATTTACCGATCCGTCCAAGCGAGTGTGATTATCAGTTTGGTTATAAGATCCGTGATGTCATGAATCAGCTGTTATATGTCATAGTTATCACCGCAAAATTATGGTATTTACCCAACTCAGGAGTAGTTTTATATTTCTGATTATTTTTTGAATTGCGACAAGTTAGAATTTTGCCGGGCATTGGATGTTTTTATTGTACTTCAGCTTCATTTTTGGGAAACTTGATACAGGCCGACTTCAGTTTTAGCATAAGAAAGCACCTTATTATTTATAATCATTACTGTTGTTGGGGACACTTTAAATCTAGTTCCTACGCTTAACAAAGTATCCTGTATAGCCACAAGAATATTAAAATATCGCCATATAAACTCACTGGATGATGTCCACCTGTATACGGTTTTGTTAATATCTTTTCTTCATCGCTTTTTCATCATTTCTGCTAAATCAATAAATATTTTCTTTGACATGCGGAACAGTTTAGAGAATTGAATGTTATCATAGCTACAAAGCCATGGTTCCATCACTAAAAATGTTTTTCTGAAAAAAAACATTCCTGCCTAATATTATGAAATTTTTCTTTTTTCAACTTTCCATACCCCGTTGTAGACGAAAAAGCACTGATTATTAAGTGATAATAAAAATAATCAGAAACTATATACGCGCTTTTCTAAAATAAACAACTTGCATCAAACCGCGGTTAAAACCAACGCGTTCAAGCGATTCGAGTAAATGACGTCATCATCCCGTGTGTCATCTTGAACCATATTATAACCGCGGTCATAATACGGAAATTTTGGTTATTCCCTTGGATTTGATTATACTCATAGTAATCAAAGTAATCAAAGTAACGAATACAATAAATGATTCCTTTATAGAAGAGTAACGAGTACTCGAAAGTGACGATAATCAACACCACTAAAATATATTCCCGATTACCGAGTATCGTTCTGTTGAATCGCGCTGATTCATCTGCTTGCGGGGCTCGGGATTGGGGTGGAGGGGTTCAGGTCTTCATAGCGCAGTCACATTAATCAAATTCAAGCGAATAACCAAATGAAAATGGTATTTACCATTTTGGATTGGTATTTACCGATCCGTTCAAGCGAGTGAGGTTATCAGTTTGGTTATAAGATCCGTGACGTCATGAATTAGCTGTTATATGTCATAGTTATCACCGCAAAATTGTGGTATTTACCCAACTCAGGAGTAGTTTTATATTTCTGGTTATTTTTTGAAATGTGACAAGTTAGAATTTTGCCGGGCATTGGATGTTTTTATTGTACTTCAGCTTCATTTTTGGGAAACTTGATACAGGCTGACTTCAGTTTTAGCATAAAGACATCACCGTATTAGTTACAATCATTACTGCCGTTGGGGACACTTTAAATCTAGTTCCTATGCTTAACAAAGTATCCTGTGTAGCCATAAACCACAAGAATATTAAAATATGGCCATATAAACTCACTGGATGATGTGCACTTGTATGCGGTTTTGCTAATATCTTTTTTTCATCGCTTTTTTCCTATCGTTTCTGCAAAATAAATAAATGTATTCTTTCACATGCGGAAAATTTTAGAGAATTGAAAGTTACCATAGCTAAAAAGCCATGGTTCCATCATAAAAAAAATTCTAAAAAAAATCTCCCATTAATATTATGAAAGGTTTCTTTTTTAAACTTTTCATACACCGTTGTAGACGGAAAAGCACCGATTATTAAGTGATAATAAAAAGAATCAGAAATTATATATGCGCTTTTCTAAAATAAACAACCTGCAACAAAACCGCGGTTAAAACCAACGCGTACAAGCGATCCGAGTAACTGACGTCATCAACCCGTGTGTCATCTTAAGCCATATTATAACCGCGGTACATAACACAGAAATTTTGGTTATTCGCTTGGATTTGATTATTATGTGAACTTGTTGCTATGACAGTATAGAAACAATGCGATTTGTTAGATTCGCTACATAAAACCAATTGAATGGAACTATTAGGGATCTTTAGGTTATTGCACATTTTCCAACTGTATAATTTATTCAGATGATACCATTATCATTTATACCGTATCATACAATGACCGTACTATATGACGGATCGGTAAAACAAGGAAGCAGAAAAAATGTAAGCGAATATATCGTTGGCATCTACAATAGAACAGGTGTCAAACAAATGTGTGGTGCTAAATAATGGTAGTAGATATTTCATGAACATGATTTAGTAATAATAGAAGAACCAAATAAAAAGCCACCTCCACCATCTGTTTCATGGATGAAAAGTATTTTACATCAAATTTAGTATGTACAAAAATATATCAAGAGTGGGTTGGCTAAAAAATTCCTGGCGAGACTATGATTAATTAAATATTTGTTTAATCAATAAACCTTATATCAAAACAAGCACCTTTTCATAGTAAATACCATGTTTAGCCCAGACTACAGAGAAAAAAAAATAGGTATTTTGTGTGAAAAAGTTTAGCAGATATCTGAAAGTGTATTTCTAATGACAAATACATAAATATGCGTTGCTTTTTTATAAACAATGGGAAAAGCTCAAAATTCAGTATTTTTTTTTAACAATATTGAATAAATGTTTATAAATATTGCAATAAGAATTGTAAATGGCTAAACATTTGTGAAAATCAAGGCGTCATTGGTGTTAATATGTGTGCTAAATTTCAGGCGCATCGGCTTAATAGTTTATGTACAAAGCTAATTGTTTATCCCATAGACGAATTATTTAAACAACTGTTCTTGGCCAAAGCATAGTCCTAGAACATATTAAAAAAGTGAAATGGATTCTTGAAGGTTTCAACTTTAGAATTTATGCAAAAAAAGTTAATTATTTATTTCAACATTGTTAAAAATGATGTTAAAAAATAGCCATTTTTATAGTTATAAACATTTAAAACAACTACGTTATTTTTTAATATAATTTATTTTAATAACTTGATCTGGATATGTGGTTAAAAAACGCATATTTAAAAAACCTTCTACGACCAATAGGAGCCAAGATATATATTTTTTTTAAATTCATATCTCCTTTATAAACATTAAGACTCGAAATGTTCACCGATTTTAAGCAAGGATCTCAATTTTTTGATCTAATTTATAATTTCAAAGGTGTTTAAGGAAAAGCCACCTAAAGTGAAGGTACTCGAGTAAGTATTCCCGGATGAGGAGGTGGGGGAATCAGATCTAGCTCGATTTATTTTTTGAAATTGTGTCTTTAAATCGGAGCGCGCTGTAAAATGTTGCATTATCTCGGCTTCTAAGCAACGTAGAACTTTCTTTTCTTTAATTTGGGTTGACTCGCCGAAATAATGACCTCTGCTACATTTTCATTTACCTGGAAAATCAGGAAATCCCGAAAAATTTAAAACATGGTATTCCTCAAAATTAAGTTAATATGAAATAATAAATTAACAATAAATCATTTACTTTTACTCTCACTCTAATGAAATAAGTTATTGGTATACTCTTAGCAAAATACACTCTAATAAATTGTAAAAAATATTGATTCACATTGGTCTTTCATTTATATTTATTTAATAATAATATTGTATAATGTATTTTTTCATTATAATATTTTATTATTTAATTAATCTTGATCCTCTGTTCTAAATATTTTATTTAAACGCTCCAATTCTTCTTTAATATTTGTATAACTCATTTCTTCAAATATTTCGTCGATTTTCTCAGTCTGCTCTTCATCATCGTTAATTCCAATTACAGGAAGGTGGTAGCATTATGTGTCATCATCACCATCATTAAATTTTATGCACAAAGGCGTGCAATTCATACCAAGCTTTTTGCAACTACACCTACCCTTTGGCAACCAGTAGTACATTTGCAGGAAATTACTTTAATAGTATCGTCTGTTATTTAACTGTCCACGGTTTGAAACCGTTGTCACTCCGCCCCCACCCGTACTTGGTTGGATCTAATTTGTTGCTTAACCATGTTTATAACTGGCAATATACCCTTTGAAGGTTTTTTAAATATCTGTTTTATAGTCACTTATCCAGATCAACTTGTTAAAATAAATTATATTGAATTTTTAACAACAATTTTGAAATAAATAATTAATTTTTTGCATAAATTATTGAAGTTGAAACATTCAAGAATCCATTTCACTTTTGTAACATTCTCTCGTCTCTGGGATAAACAATTAGCTTTTTACAAAAACAATTAAACTGATAGGCTGAAATTTAGCACACTTATTAACGCCAATGATGCCCTCGTACTCCTATTTAGCAATTTACAATTGTTATTGCAATAGTTATGAACATTCATTCAATATTGCTAAAAAGCCTCGTATTTAGCTTAATCGTCTATCGATTTTAATTCTTAAAAAACAAAACTGGAGGTCTTTTTATGCTATAAAATCTTCAGTTTACCGATTGCTTATAAAATTCAATTTGAAAATTATACAGGGTGCGGCAGAGAGGATGGACGGTTTTAAAAAAATCATAAAATAGTTAACTTTTACTCGGAAACAAATTTGTTGATGGTATCAGGTTCACAAGGAAATAGCATTTGAGACAGTCAAATGTGGAAAATCACATCAGGCATGTGGTGGCCGAAATCGTTGATGCAGTGCTGGAGGCGTTCTTGGAAGTTCGCGTAGACTCTCTCCAACATCGCTCTCTCAACTTGGGCGACTTCCACGCGAATTTCGCCCTTCAATTTGTCCAGAGTTCGGGGCTTGTTCGCGTATACTCTAGCCTTGAGGTGTCCCCATAAGAAAAACTCGCATATGGATAAATCTGGGGACCGAGGAGGCCAATGAACATCGCCAAACCTGGAAATAAGGCGACCAGGGAAGAGAGGGCGAATAACGACCATGGATGCTCGGGCGTTCAACATTTTCAGGAGTTCGAACTGTTCGCGGCGCTCCTCATGGTCTTCTGTTGATAAGTTCACCACGCCTTCGAAGTGATTCAACCCAACGAAAGATGGTGTTTCGAGAGGGAACAGCTCTATTCCGATGAATGTTGAAGTGGCGACGAAAGTCACGCTGTACGACGATGACTGACTCATTATTTCGGACGAAACAATCATAGGCGAAAACGCGGTGCTCCAACGTCCAAGGCTCCATAACGACAACTGGTAAAATAATGCTAGGATCTCACGAGTCAAACAACACCCTCCCCACCTCTCTTGTAGACGGAGGCGGAGAGTAATACCCATCCCAAAAACGTCGGTCCTCTCTGCCGCACCCTGTACAAGCAAAATACTGAATTTTGGGCTTTTCCCATTGTTTATAAAAAACAAGGCATATCTGGCTGTATCTCTTTATGTATTTGTCATTAGAAAGACCCCCTCCCGTTTGAAACTTTCAGATATCTGATAATCTTTTTTTCACCTTTTTTTATATAGCCTGGACTCTAGTCTAGATACAGGGTTGTCTGTAAAAGACCCGGCTGGAATGCGGGTTGGCTGATTTTTAAGAGTGAAATATTGATGCGTGTGGAAACTTCCTCTTGAAGACTATTCGACACCGTCGGGACAAAGGAGCGGTTGTATCGGCCAGTTCTGGATGTACGAATTTCGACAGCATTAGGATGGGAAGCCAAAGTCAGGCGGGTCTGCCTTCAGGCACAAACCGTGGTGACCTCATGGAGGAGAGCTCAGAGAAGCAAAGCCCGTTGGTGTAGCGGTAGAAGAGAGCTAGATCGCAGACAGCCTGCCGGCGCGAAAAGGCTCCGAGACTGTCTGTTAGAGGAGAGTCATTGACCAGTCGGACAGCCCTCCCCTGTACAAGATCGAGCATAAATAATGTAGTCGGTGCGGCAACACACCAAACGCGACAGCAATACTCAAGGCTAGGGCTTATCTGGGTCTTGTATAGAGAAAGAGAGAGATCATGCAGATAAAAGTGCTTCTTAGCCCTAAACAAATAACCTAGCTTCTAGATCAAGTCCGGCTCTTTGGCAGAACTCGGCCCATCCATCGAAACGCCTCTTCTTCTTGATATGAGGTCGTCGCGATTCAGTTAGCTGCCCAAATTACAAATTGTTTATGCATTTTGGCCAAGTTTAACTAAAACTACCATTTTCTATACATCATTATACACGACACGATAACACAAAACTTTTAACCAATATCGAACTCGCCCGTGGTCATTGAAAAGTCGTGATAACGTCACGCTGTTAAATCATTAATATTAAGACTAACTGTATCAGATATCAGAGATGTTCAAAAATATACGATATTGTTCATCTCTAGTGTCGCATATAGTCGCAAATGTATCATCCAAAAAATAGGTGAAATAATTAGTAATGATGGTTTGACACAATTGATGAAAATGCATGAATATACATACCGGATTAGAGCTTTCCTCCTCCTTATTTGATTCATTGATATGTTCTATAATTTCCTTCAAATCATCAGACATCTGCTTTAACTGAGAGTCAATTACCTCAGAAAACTGGTACCTGAAACCAAAACATACATCATACAGACAATTCAAGGAAAGAAAGAATAAAAAACTGAAGATGTACAAAACAATATCTTCACAGAATCTAAACGTATTTGTAGCAAGTTGACAGTAGTTTAATAGTGTAACCAAGTTTTGATGAGATTTTTTTGGAAGACAGATATGTCAGCCAAAATAACCTCAACCGATAAGTCTTTATGCTTTTCTGGGCGCTAAATGAATTGTAGGATTGACTATTTACTAACGTTTGATGATATTTCTGATTTGTATTTTGAAGAAGGCCACCGAGCTAGCCTAAATGTTAGTGGACAGTCAATACTAAATGGAGATTAAGAAGCATGAAAACCACAGAGTAAGTCTCAGATATTATACAGGGTGACTTTGAAGTTGAGTCATTAATTTTCAGATAGTGATTGTAGAAGGAAGATAAACCAAAATATGTGTGTAAAAATAAAATTAAAATAATTTTTTTTTTACCTTGTTTTATAAAGTATCCTCCCGACAAGTATTTCAGTGCGGACCTGTATTTGATCGTGAGGTCTTGGAGCACCGGCATGCAGTCCTCTGTGATGTCTTAAGTCACCTGATTCACGAGCCCGTTGTACTACATTAACAAAGGCACTAGGGGTTGGTTGCACTCGATTGGGAAACCGATCCGCATAAATATCTGCCATTTTTTATTTCGTTTGAGCCACGCAGCAATCACCACGCGTTAGGGACTGACACAGACTGAATAAAAACATCGTGATCAGCGTTTCAAATTCTTTCGCTTTTTTGTTTCCGATGCGATGAACCGATAAGGCGGAGTATATCCGTTGTCGCCAAACACGAGTACATAATATTATTATTGAGACAGGGCGGTACTCAAACTTCTAAAGGGCTATAACTTTGTTACTTTAATTTTACCACAAAAATGTTAAAGGAAAAAAACATTTCTTTTGATCAGATCTACTCACTGTTAAAATAAATGACTCAACTTCGAAGTCACCCTGTATTATCCCAACAACCACCATCCTCAATTGTTTGAAAATTTTACTTCATCCCTCATTTATGGAAAATCCTTTTAAAAGTATCATAAGTTCAAAATTTGTATATTATATGTCCAACAGTTCAGAAAAAATTGTCAAGTTGTGATGCAAAAAGATCCTATATCGCTTTATAAATCCTACTGCAAATCATCGTTTCTGTTACAAAAACATCACTACCTACCAAAAGATCGTTTGATGTAGAAAACGCATAATCGACAAAAACGGACCTTGACTAGTACTGTATTAAAGCAATGTCATATGGACTGCATTTGGACAATGGGTTTGATAATATAAATCAAATACTGAAGAATCCAAGTTTACAAGCTTACATTTGGTTTCTGTCAATATCAGTAACAGGCTGCTCGACCAATTCTTTTTCCAATGGCACCAACAGTTCTTCCAATTCCTTCTGCTGCGCCAGGATGAAGTCTAGCTCTTGGTCCAGATGGCGTTGCTGTTGTTTCACGCGGCTGATCCCACCGTTCAACTCCAAAATCTTCTCGCCGTTTGAGATCAACAACGCATCCCAAGCGTTCAATTGTTTAGCTTGGTTGACGAAGAATTTTCCTTGTTCTTCTAAGTCTATGGTCCACTTGTTAATCGTGTCTTCTAGCTGGGCGAATGTCATGGACGTTGTGGGTTGGGCAGATGTTGAGGATGTGACATTTGTTGAGGCTCTGAAATAGAACAATCAGAACATAAATGGTTTTCCAATAAAACGCAGTGTTAATGCTGAACAGAATTAATGTGGCAAACCCAGGCAACAAGGTTGTGAAAATTTAAATCAAATCATTTAATTTAAATCATAATTTAAATCATGATTTAAAACAAATTATAAATTTCTAAAAATTCAGAAAAAGGAAGACTGTTCAAAACTAAGAGTTTACATACATTATGTAAGTTTAAAAACAACTAATCCTTATCAGTCCAAGGTAAATATTATTATTTATTATTTAAAAAAATCGTGGCCTGGCAAGGTCCAACTGTTGCAGCTATTGAGCAAAAGTACAGAGCCGCTCTACATCCTGATCAGGATTCTCTCAGGATAATGTAAATCAAATATATCATAGTTAATCGTTGGGACAGAAAAAAGATTCCATTTGCTTCAAATACTAGGAAAATGATCCATCCTATCAAATCTTAGGCCTTAACGCTCCACAGTACCCGACCTTGATGATTGTAGCAGGATATGCCTTTCCGAGTTGGTCAAGGGGCTTGTTTACAGTTTCCTTTCTTCTGCTTCCTTCAGTAAGCAAAAGAGGAGAAGAATGAAAGTCCAAATATCTTAACTAGGCTATACTACGGCGGTGTTGCTACTACCTCGGCACAACGCCGAAATGTTTGTTTTTAAACATGACACCAACATTTCAAGGAAAGATCATCTTTCAACCTTCCTAGTAGTTATTCCTGAGATTTCGCATTATCAGAACTTTTTAGCAATGGAAAAAATATCCCATAACCTGCGGCAACAGCGCGAGAGATAGCAATGCTGAGATCCAAAGGCCAAGGTCATATGCTTATTTTGTAAGGAGGCTGGCTAGTTAATATGCAAAATAGAAATCTTGAGATTGCAGCAATAATAGAATCGAAAATCAGAAAGCCAGAAAGAAAGTTTGTTCTGGGTTCATGTCAAGCTTTCGAAAATGTTTATTTTCTTCTTCAGGGCGTGTTACAAATATACATGTTATCTCTATAGTAAATAAAATTTTACGTTGCATTTAATGATCTCACGTTTTTTAACCAGACGATAAAGTCTACAATAAAAATGTTGGTAGATGATACGTTCGAGTAAATTCGCGCCTACATTTTATGTGCGAATTGCTTTCAATTAACGTCCAGCCTAAGCAATCGCGCACCAAGGCCAAGTAGACCACTGACGATCCACGACACCATTCCTCTTATTTACCTGCCAGTATCAAAAAACTTGGAACTCAAGACAAATGAACTCGGCATTCTCGTTTAGTTTAAATATAAGTTTGAAAGCGTTTTAATTAATAACCCAGACTTTGAACCTTTGTCAAAATGGGAGGTTTATTAATAGTACTGATGGCGTTTTGCTAGAGACAATAAAAGCTAGCATAGCACCCAGATTCAATGCTGTCCAGTCACCTCCGTGGATGTGAAGCGATCTTTTTCAACCTATAGTTTAATAATATTTTGAGTGATCGAAGTCGTCTTACCAGTGAACATTTGGTACAATCCCTTGTTGTTTGTGTTTACACAAATAACAACATATTAAATAGTTGCCACTTACAGATCTTATAGATAAGTCATTCAAGTGCTTGATTATTAATTATTTGTAAGCCGATTTTAAAATACAAAGTATAAAAGTCATTGTTTTGTTGTTATTAAATTTTGCATTTTTGATACTTTCATGCATATTTTAACCATTTTTCATGCATATTTCAAATTTTTTATGTTGCATATAATCCGGTCTTTACTGATCATTATAAAAATTAATTAATGAAGTTTATGAAACTTATTTATGGAAAGACCATATTAATCAATGGAGAATTTATTAAGACAAACTTGGCGGATGTCCTAGCCGGCAGGAAAGTGGTACAGTTTTGAGTTGAGATATTTAACATGAAAGAGTTTTATATTATGAAGGAGATACTGGGACCATCATTAGATGATTCAGCAATCAGCAGATCCAACAGGGTCTTAGTTCTGGTTGAACTGTTAGATTTATGTTTTAGTGTTGATGTGTGGGGATTAGCAAAAAAGGATTAAAGATGTCCCAGTTGCCAGTTAAAATACTGAATGTACTCACACGGTAGCTGTTGGAAGTAATGAAGACGTTGTAGTAGTAGCAGGTGTTGCGGAAGGTAAACCAAATGTTAGTTTTGAGGCAGTAGTTGTTGTAGCAGCTGTAGATGTGGCACCCAAGGTGAAGGCTGAAAATAAGATTTAAAATATGGAATTAATTTTTCTATAGCAGTCACAGTGGTGCAGTATGTTTAAGATAAGAAGTGTCATATTTAGAGCATCTTGCTTTACCATACCTGCTGAACTAGCTGGTGTAGGTGTGACACCTAAAGTCAAGCCTGATGATGAACTGGAAGCTCCAGGAGTAACACCCAAGGCAAAACCTAAAAAATTAAATTATATTTCATATTTGCAAAAAAACAACTAGTAGGTGCAACTTTTAGGCCTCTAAATATCCCACTTTTGAACATCCCTTTTATACAACAAATTGTCAAAAATGGATTTATGAGCATATAAAAAGGCAAATGTGACATTCCTACTCATTAAAGATTTTGTAGAGCATCTTTGTTTGTTTGGTCAGTTATAGATTTTTGTATGCATTTTGAAACTTAAGTCAGACAAATGCATTGGGCCTGGTTACTCAAAAACTAATTTTGTTACACACCTTTCATGCCTGACACATACCTGTTGAACTAGAAGTGGTAGGCTTGGCACTCAAAGAAAAACCTGAAAACATACATTACAGCTGAAAGTCAAAGTATCACATTTGGAAGATAAACTATTTTTCAACTGTGTTTGAACAATATTTTAGTGCATTACCCACTAATAGATGTGAATTATTCAAATGTACTTATTAAATATGAAACAAACCTGTTGAACTAGTAGCTGGAGCACTTGCAATTGTGGATGTACTGGTTGTTGGTGTTTTTGATCCAAAGCTAAGCTGAGATGTTGAAGATGTACTGACAGCTGGTGCTAAAATTAAAATCACTCAATTCAAAATTGCCTACTTTTTTTTAATGTACTTATATGTATGCATAATGTTAAATCCAAAAATATAACAGTATTGATTCCAAAAGATTATAAGTCATGGTCAGGTCCGGAATAGTGAAATTAAGAAATGTACCTGCAGAAGTTGCACCAAGACTAGCTGTAGATCCAGGAGTTCCAAATAGTGCTGACGTAGGTGCTGAATACAAAAAAATATAAATAAAATTATCTTAGTAGTTATAGCAAATTGAAATCACTCTTAATGGTTATACCTAAAACATATGAAAGTAGCAATGTACTTGACCAGATTATAAAGATACACTACTTCATGAAAGTAGTACTTCTCCAACTAAACTAGTGCATGTCCCCTGGTTTGTAACTTATTCTTGACTTAACATTATAGGAGAATAATAGAATGCTTTCTAAAAGCATGTAATATCAAGAATAGCTTAGCACACTTTTGAAAAATTCAAATTGCCTACTTTTTTTAATGTATGTATACGTGTATGTATGCATAATGTTAAATCCAACCATATAAGAGCATTGATTCCAAAAAATTTAAGTTATGGTCAGGTCCAGAATAGTGAAATTGAAAAATTTACCTGCAGAACTTGTACCAAAACTAGTTGTAGATCCAGGAGTTCCAAATAATGTTGTAGCAGGTGCTGAATAAAAAAATAAATAAAAATAAAACTATGTTATACCCTATTTTAAGAGTATTCATCATGATAGAATGTCAGCTGATTATCTAGAAGCATCTCAAAATTCCCATATCGGCACAGGATAATTCTGACAGAACTCTCAACACCAGGTAGACAGATCCAAATTTTGTTTTGGTTTTTTGTATGCTACAGATTCATTTTATAGTTGCTAATAGCTCTTTTATTTAGAAAAGTGAAATTTGCATACACAAAAGAAAATGCCACAAACAAGTTTTACAAAGTGTGATGGATACTCATGAAATAGGGTATAGCAGATATTGCAATTGTATCAATTTTTATATGAACAATATTCAATAAAAATATAAATGAGAGTCCGTTTCTAATGTCTTCAAAATCTACCATTTCTCAAATACAAAATAAGTTTCTGATACCTGCAGAACTGGTTGCAGTAGCTGCTGTAGATCCAAGAGCACCAAATGTCAGTGTAGGTGCTGTGGTTTTAGCTTGATGGGTTCCTCCTAGAGAAAATCCTGTAGCGCTAGTAGTAGGTGTCCCAAATAATACTGATGAAGCAGTCGTAGTAGTAGAGGTTCCAAATAACCCTGTAGCACTAGTTGTAGGGGTACCAAACAACCCTGTGCCACTTGTAGGTGTACCAAATAACCCTGTAACGGCCTTTGCTGGAGTTTTGTTATCGCCAGTTGCAAATTGAAAACCTGAAGGGACTGCTGTCGCCGCTGCTACAAAAGATGTGGTATTAAGTTATTTGCACATAATAAAGTTAGTTTATTTATTTTATTTATTTTTATTTATATACAGTTTGGGGTGTTAACAGGTAAACCTAACACACACCCTCAGTGAACTAAAACTAAACTTACATAAAATATCGTATACATATATTACATTATTGAATACTTTAATATTAATATTTTTTTTTTCTTCCGAAATTGTTGTAACAACATAAACTGAGCGAGTAGTTCTAGTTATAAGCAATAAACTATTAATTTAACTTTTTTAATAAAAGGAGTATACATAATTTAACATTTACTTACGTTTAATTAAAACTGAAATCAAAATTAAATTGAAATTATACCAGAAATGATATTGGAGGTGATAACTTGAGTTATGTAAAAAAATAAAACATTTCTATTTTAGTCTGCCATAGAGCTGTAATACTCATACTTTAAAGCCTTTTTCAGGAAGGTCAAGCTAATCTTAAATAAATCTATATTACGGAAATTATGATTTTTTTGAGCCCTGACCAAAGGGGAATTAAGCCCAAGATTCTACGGAACGGTATTCTAAACAGATGACAGGTTCTAAACGTTCTATCAGGAGTGTTAAAGTTCAAGTTTGCCAAAAGATCCGGACAGTCAGTGAGGCCATTCAACAATTTATGAACACAGCAAATGTCAGAAATCGTTCTTCTATCTTTTAAGGAAATCATATTGAACTGTTTCATAATTTATGTATAATGATGATCTGTAACAGGTTAGCGAGTTTTATGTGCTAACATCTTCAAAAATTTGTGTTGAATTCTTTCTACCCTGGCTATATGTATATTGTAAGACGATTCCATATTACTGATGCAAACATCAATTTGTTGTGTATATAAGCATAGTACAATGAAAGAAGCGTTTTTGGGTTCATAAATTCTCTGCATATCATGTTTATGAACCCTAGTGTTCTATTTGCATCATTTACGATGTGCTCTACATGAGTGATGAATGAGAGTTTTTCATCAATGTATACCCCTAGGTCTTTTACTACATGGAGCTTTTCCAGTTCTGCTGTCCCTATCTTATATCTGAAATCTATAGTGTTCGCTATGTTTCTAGTAAGCCTCATGTAATGACATTTTGTTAAATTCAGGAAGATACTGTTTTCAGTGCAATACTTTTGCAGAGATTCCAAATCGCTTTGAAGTTTTACACCGTCATTTACATTTCTAACAATAATAAATATCTTTAGATCATCAGCATATAACAAATATTTACTGAAATGAAAAACAGAAGTAATGTTGATCATGTATATGTTAAATAACAATGGTCGTAAGTGACTACCTTGTGGTACGCCTGAAGTTACTAAGAATGTCTCCAAACGATACCCATTGATAGTCACCACTTGTTTACGATTACTTATATATGATGCTAGCCACTGCCATAATGGACCATCTACACCCATCTCAGCAAGTCTCTCCATCAAGATAGAATGATTAATCTTGTCAGAAGCCTTACTGAAGTCGGAATAAATAACAACCACCTGCAGTTTCTCATCTATTAGGGAAAAATCCATGCTGTGTTCTGTAATGATATTTTTTGTAATGTTTAAGATAGCATCATAAATCAGCTTTTCAAAAATTTTTGAGAAAATACAAAGTTTAGTGATAGGTCGATAATTTTCCACAAGATGACTATCGCCTCCTTTATGAATAGGGAATATTTCACCTTCTTTCCATCTCGTTGGAAAGACTCTTTGAGTTAATGATAGTTTGAAAATTAGGTGAAGTGGTAAACATAAGCTAGCGGAACATTTTTTTATAAATACCGTCAGGGCAGACTGATTTTTTAATTTCTAAGGAGGGGGTTTAACTCACTTGTGCTGGGAGTTGTAGGTAATGTAAAGCTGGAAGCTGCTGTTTTAGGTGTACCAAACGAAAAAGACATCTTGGTTTGAAACTTTCTGAAAGTCCTCAAATTTAAAAAAATCAAATCAAAATATTAGACCTAACCTAACACAGAACCGCAAAACATATAAACTGAACACGGAACACAACGGCATAACAGACAACACGAAGGACAGCTTGAGAAGCTCTTAAGCTAGATACTGGCCAGCCAACAGTCTTGCGCGAGGTGGCAAACGTGGCTGGGACTCTGTAGGTTCAACTTTTTAACTTGCTAATGATACGGCACTTTTTGTGACATTATGTAGGTTTTTCTACAAAATGTCAACTTAGCACTTGCTGATGGACACTTGTTAACTCGTTTTGTAGTTGTACGTGCTGCATAAATGTTTGGTTCTGATGTGATGTAAAATCTCCTTCAGAGATGGCATTATTGGAGGTCTAAGCTGTAAGTTGTATACTATATCTAGGAAGAAATGACAGTGCCTAGTGAGGATTTGTGCGCTAATAATACGTGTTGATGATAATTCCATTGGTTTTGTATCTCAAACACACTCGCTTAAATTCAAAGCTAGACATTAGTTGCGTATCCTTTTTTTTATTAATTCTGGAAATTACATATTCAAATTTGCAGAAAATCACTGGTTGGTGAAAGAACAGGTAAGAGAATATGCTACAGACAGAAATATTTACGAAAGTGAAAAGGTTTTTACATTATTTTATATTTCGAATTATTTAAATTTTATAAAAATCTATTTTGCGACGTCAATATAAAATAGCTAAAAGACAAATCAGCGCCTAAGTGTGAGGCATTGAGAAAATATTTGATGGTGGTGGTGGTGGCGATTTTCTGTAACGCCCCTCAAAGTGTTTGGATACACAAAAAAAACTTATTTTATAACTTTGAACATGACCTGTCTCCAGAAAAGACAAAACAACCCGTCGGACACTACTTCATTGGCAGCATATTCAGTTATAATTTTCTCACATGGCAAATAACACTGATTTTATACATATGCAGACCAATACACCATAATCATCCAGATGCGATCTTGCTACTCAACCAACTTTCTTTCTTTCACATCTTCAGACACACCACAACATTTATATATAATAGATAATAGATATTATAGACAGAGAGTTTCGGCAAGCAGCACGTCACGTAATGCCGGTAATGCAGTTTCCTCGATTTTGCTTGGAAAGGATGACCTTGGTGTTGCCAGTTTGCCATAATACGTTCCACCCCCTGCGACACAATATATACTACTCGGCTTCACAAAACATATACTTGCTGATGGGTGCTCACAGCGATCATAGCGAGCAAACGCGGAGTGAACTATTTGAACCCTAAAGACTACCTAGACTGCAAGATGACATTTTGTTTTTTTTTTGGCGTTTTTATAGGTTTTTTTTCATAATAGCTGTGCGGTTCATGTGAATGTTTTTTGAAGGAGCTGATATTTATTTCAGGCCATCGTGTATGATACAGATATTCAAATGTGCCGTCTGGCGAGGGGCGGAAATTAGTGATAGAAATAAAATTGAGAAAATAGAATTTTTGGTGGTATTCTTCACACGTTATAAGTTGTCTCTTCCTCTTCCATTTTTTCATGTTCTATACATTGTATTCACCTAAAACAACTCTGCGGTGACCTAACTGTTAAGCAGTAGTCTCGGGATGAGGTTGTTGAAAATGCCACTGATTATACACTTACTAATAAGAAGTCGGAATATAAATAGATTATTTAGTTCTTGTAAGTCCTGATTAAAAAAATCACAAGTAAAACCTGTTATATTGACCAATCAATAGATATGCAGTGCTTTTTCAATTTACCAAAAAACTCACAATACACAAGAAATATCTGTGTAATGGAGGACCTGCGGGTAGTAACACCTTGTAGGCAACAGGTTTTTAACACTCCTTTACCAGCTGAATCACTTCAAGAAGCATAATGGAGAAGTACTTTTATCGAGCCGCGTCCCATAAAGGAAAGGAAAAAGTAAAAGCTTTTGAATGAGTCCACTTGAACCTGCTGCTCCGGGCCATGACCCTTTTGGCTCTAAGGGAAATCCTCCTCCTTTTCGTCCGGTTATCTATTTATTTCTTAGGATGCGACCGAACGTTAGATAAAGTATCACAATGAAATGAAACGTAATGCTAACCTACAATGACCCGCCAATTTTTGTCATACACTAACAGGTCCTGATTTACAGGTTTCAGCATCAATCTGCACGTCGGGCAAAACTGGCATAATACTGAACGACCCGCGTTTATGACTGGCTTTAGGAGGTGCTCCGTGATAAGAACTGTCACTATATTTGTCATTTTGGAATTTAGAGGTTAGTGGAGTTTGCAAAATACTAGTATTTACAAATCATTATATCGGTATCTTTTAAATACTAACAAGAACACTTTTAGGTGAGCAAAATATTGCTGGTCATCCATAAGTCTTTCACAGTAGTAAGTAAATACAATTATTTGACTTGGCATCTACTTCTCCAGTGATGACATAATCATAACATTGAAAACACCTCTTCCTTGCAGCCCTCTACAATGAACGATACACCAACAGTCACACCAATTTCTCCATGGCTCAAATCTCCACTAACTGACCTCACACAGGCCATGGTAAGTCACCAATGGTATGGTGCCTGTGCAGATATGGAAATGAAAGCACTGGACTGCTTAGAAGCGTATGGCTTAGACCGTGGGTTGACAAGATGTGAAACTCTCATCAAGGATTTTCAAGAATGTGCCCAAAAGAATAAGCAGTACAAGAGGATAACCGCAATGAGGCTGGAAAGACATAGGCAGGTCTTTGCTGGGGAAAGAAGCAAAGCTGAAAGATATGCTCCAGGACCACCACATGACAGTTACTAACTGTAGTTTTTATATATTTGTAGTTATGGTTCAGTCCCAAATAAATAGTTTACAAATTATTAGTTGTTTAGTATTACCTAAAAGATTGGAGATAGACATGTACATAGGATGTAACTAACTACGAGTACTAATGTTATATATTACTTGTATATGACAGCTAATATCATACAGAAGTGAGGTTCCATGAATGTTACGTTGGATGATAGGTACCTACTTGCTTGTAGGGTACCTGTTCTTGGCATTAAAAGTGAAAGAAATATCATAGTTGATTGGTATCAGCAGTAAGGCACTGTAAGTATGAAATGTGTTTTGGAAGGGCAGATGTCCATATTTCACACAACAAAGCACTGCTTGTTTAACATTCTTAAATACTTGAGCTGTTTCATTAGCATTACAATGAAAATAACACCCTAAACTATGCAAAACTTCACAGTAGTTTTATTTATAAACATAATTTCTGTAACCACATAATGAATCCTACTTTAGGGAGTCTTTGTGTGTACTTGATAGGGTCTACAGGTTACGGGATGGCTCAACACAAACATGAAACAAAAAAGTTAAATAAACCGAGTACCAGACAAGGATAAATTGGGTGATAAAAAAGCGTGGGAAGTAAGGATTCATTATCATGTATTGTGGTTTCGTCTTAAAGGATAAAGCTCATAGTTCACACTATGTCATAAAATTCCAATAAGCTTTTTCGAACTATTCTTGTAGCTCAGTTATTGCGCGACATCTCTTTGATTAACATTTACCAAAGAAGCTATACCAAAACTAGATCTCCGAACCAGGACCAGAAAATATGGTGTGATGTGTGATGTAAGAAACTGTACATACGACCTTAAATTATAAAACTGAAACTCCTCAACTCCGCTCTGAATCGATCGAAACACATTATGCCGTGAGTAAATTTGGTGCAAGGTAGAGCTGCTGATTCCAAATTTGCGGAAAATCTCACACTTCTGTCAGAAAAGACGAACAGGTCAATGATGTCGAGCTTATCTGCCTGAGAGTGGCTATAAAAGCTTTCCCTGTCCAAAAAAAATGCACGGATACGGTTTTTGTGATGAAAAATTACACTTTTGAGAAAATGTCAGACATGCATGTAATGTATGCACCTGCTTATAGTAACTGTTATGCAGAGAGACGCCTGTATGCAGACACGTTTACCCATCGGCAACTTCCAGATAGTAAAACCTTTGAAAAAGCGTATACCGTAGATTACGGGAAAGAGGTAAATTTTCTTATTTCTTTTTCGTGATGTTTTTGACACTAATGTTATTCAGGGAATTTTGCCATTCCCACCAATGATAGAGCCCGGCCGAGGTCCATAAGAACGCCTGAGTTTGACGAGGTAGTTTTACGTGTCATGGAACAAAATCCTGGTATCAATTACTATAGCAACTAGATTAGGGGTTAATCATTATTTGGCAGGTTCTCTCCGAGCAACTTTTGTATCCATATCATGTCTAACGTGTGCAAGCATTATTATCCAAAGATTTTCTACCTCGTTTACAGTTTTGCCAATGGTATTACCAAAAGGTTAATGTTAAGAGGAATTTTAATAAAACAGTACTTTTTACGGACGAAGCAGGATTTCGGCGGGATGATATTGTTACTTACGATAACACTCATGTATGGAGTGACAAACATCATGCTTACGTACAATGTCGCCATCAGGAACAATTTGTGTGGATGGGTATTGTTGGTGCCGATTCAATTGATCCTTTCTTTTTTACCCTTAAGATTAAACGGCGAATCATAGAGTTTCTTTAACAAGAATTGCCCATACTGCTACAAGAAGTCAGAACTCATTTTGTGAAAATTGGGTTGGAAGAGGTGAACCAATTCACTGGCTAGCCGCTTTTTACGTTGACTTTCTCTTTTGTTTTTGGAAGATGTAGCCATTTTTTGCTGAGGTTTGGGTCTCGAGGAAAACTGTGGAACTTCATGTCTTTGCAAGGATTCCGTTCAGATTGGTTGTCGGAATTACATCCCACAACAGCACACCGCTTTTTTATCAATTTATCAACCACACAGGGTATATAAAGTATGTATAACTGATACAACAAGTCACAAAACCAACAAAAATCACCAACAAATCGCACGATATTGTATTGACCACGGTACAAGTACAATGCAGTCACGTTACGACAATCCTGCCGCTGGTAATCACGAGCCGACAACTCTCAAGGTGACGTCACAAGGCTTCGCCCACATGCGCAACATCCTATCTTCAGTGTATGTGCATCGTGGCCAGAGATCATCTACATAAGACAATATTTCTGTTTCTTAGCAACTGTGTCGGTTGCCCCTAAGTAGGTCCTCCCTCCCGGTCATATTCGATTTCGACATCCCAAATGTACTTATACGGAGTTTCACTTCTGTTGTAGATAGTGAACATTTCGCACGGTAAAGTCGTGTGGAACTTGTGGAAATTCTAGATAGACATATATAAGGTCTTTGTAGGTTGCGTGCCTCTTTACGCTAGGGCAGGTTTTAGTCAATCCCTCCAAGTTTTTAAGTTACATAAGATTATTGTCATTTAGTTTTGGACGTTACACTACCTTAGAATCCGGTGAGTGTTTCAGATGAGAACAGCCAGTTGTTGATTTTTCAAAATCAAGGGTTCATCCAGGATTGCAGACAAAAATGGGCGCGTTCACATGGTTTCTGCAACGTATTGGTTGAGCTGTTCGCGCCAACCGAGTTTTAGACTCAGTCGCATCTTAGTAAAAACAAATATGCGTCTACTGATTCGGTTGGACAACACTTACCGCAGGATCCGAATAGGGCGACGGTTATTGTAGATGCGAATTCTGACGAAATATTATTCTGACGAGTTCTGATTAATTCGCACAAATAAACAAGCACCCCATAACTAAGTGAGCACGCAAAATAGACGCAGGTCGTACGAAAAAATCAATGAGTGCTATAATGGTTCTGACGACGTCGTACATTCTCTGACTTGTTGGTGGTTGTTTATTTGGACGAATTAATCAAAAACCTTTCAGAACAAAAATTCTCCAGAATGCGCATCCATGGTAACCGTAGCCTCATTCGTCGAAATAAACAAACACATATGTTTCCCAATAGGCGTGCTTAGACGTCACAGTACGTACAACGCCGACGTCGTCAGAACCATTTGAGAGTTCAAACAGATATACTCGTATTATAGGATCTGCGATCTCTTTTTTGCGTACTTGATTATTTAACCATCAACAACGATAAAGTCATAGCTATTGTGTACCATAGTGTGTGGTGTGAGATATGAGATCTTTCCTAGAAAATAAGGGCTTGACATGCTCAGTTTTTCCACAATCTAACAACAGTAAAGGACTTTTAAGAAAATTGGATCCGTCAACTTCGTCCATATTTGCTGGGCGTCAGAAACGTACTGACTACCAAAATGTCAGATAAGGCTCTCGGAAGTACTCGTAGCCCAGGATTCATTGAAATGCAAAATTTTCCGATGCATGCCGAGGACGTCATATGAATTGCCAATCAGTATCAGGTAGACGCACAGAACAATGGTAGATGCATTATCATTGACGTTACAGATAGCGTGGGTCACAGATTATTAGCTATCCTGGCGTGGGTTCGCTTCTATTATGTCAATGACGAAAACTACTTTAGTTCACAATAACTGGCCATCGCGTTGACAATCCAATTACCATGAGTAGATTGAACGCACTACCAGGAATCAATCCGTTCAGTGCAAACAGTGCAATGAGGACATATCAACAGAAACTTATTTCAAAAGTTCGCCCGCAACGGAGGGCGGGTGTTTAGGCCTGTCATTTTTCTTCATTCGAATGATGTAAATTGCTGTACCTTGGTACTAAAATTATCTTGCTAGACCTGAATCGTGGAAATGCGCGTGCCCCTCCTCTGGCGGATCCTTGCAACTCCGCCCTTGGTCGATGAAGCCTACGGATTGCTGAGTAGGTGGACGCACAAAACATTGGTGGACGCATAATCATTGACGTCACAGATAGTCTTTCATTTTCTATCACTGACGAAAATCCGAATGCTGCAATGAAAATAACTTTGATCGCAAATGGTTATCGGTTTGATTACATTGAATAGAGAGGGTGTTCCAAGAATAACTACTCGTACAGTGCGTACGATGGGGACCTATTTAATATGTATCCGTATTTCAGACTATTCGTACTACATAGATTTTGAAATTTATTACTTATCGCATCCGATGGATGATGGGAGGCATCGGACGATCGGCAAAACGAAAACAATTATTTCTAGATCACTATTTCCATGCGTGTCGATGACGTTTGCCGATAGTGCGTGATTATCGACGGTACCAACCGCATGGATTTATTTGAGTGATGACAATGACGCACACAGATCACAGACGAAAATTCCCCCGATAGCATTAAATATTTTATAAAAATATTTGTTAAATATTTATAGCGACATATTAGACAGAATATTTAATAAATATATTTTTTATATATTCATAAGAGATTCATTATAGATATTTGTAGTATAGAGGGTGGGGCATCGAAAACGAAACAGACGCATTTACTGGCAGCTCAGTTTCTTTTTGGAAAAACGCTCAGACCCGTCGATTTTGTTTTCGAGGGGGACACAAGTTTGGCAAAAAATCACGTTAACACGTGCAACCCCTTGATCGGGGGTGACACCAACCCTAAAATCTTAAGTGGAAAGGGGGATCGAGTGATACCTTATTTTAAAGGTCTTTCAATTCCATTTATAATGATGTAAAATACATGAGCTTCAGTTCAGTAGTTTTTAAGATTTATTGATTTAAAGCTTAAAGTAGACTTTAATAGGTACATCAGATTAGTTCGTACTACTTTCAGAAGACATTTGACTAAAAGAATTTACTTAATAAGTAGATGCTTTTCTTCACTACGTCCATGGTTTGTTTATCATTTTGTTGTTGAAAATAGCTATTGGAGCGTTTTTTTTTGTGGCAAGAAAGTTATTTCTTGAAGAAAGATAAGAAAATATCTCGTACCTATCTTAAATAGGAATTTAGTACATAGTTTGCGATTGATTTGACCAAACTTTGTTGCTAAAATAACCTGTAATGCTTTATTACATAAATTAACCACGGTATATTCCACAGCAGAAAGAGTTGAAGTTATCGAAATATTTTTCGGAAATAATCAGTGCGCTAATCGAACAGCAGAAATATTTAATGAGCGACATGAGAACAGTAACGTGCATCGAAAATATGTTCTAGAACTTGTAGCTAAATTTCGGGAAACTGGGTCAGTCGCCAATAAAAAACGCAACATTGAAAATCCCATAAGGAACCAAGCAATATAAGTTGGGGTTTTAGGACAAGTTTATGAAGATCCTACGTTAAGTACCCGCAAATTGGGGACTGTGTGTGGTGTTAGTCGACGTACTGTCCAACGGATTCTAAAGGCCCATAGTTTTTATCCGTATAAAATTCACCTGGTACTAGAACTTAATGAAGACGATTTTGATCGGCGATTACAATTTTGTGAACATATGAGTGAACGAATTAAAAACGATGAACATTTTCTATTCAACAACTGATTTTCCGATAATGTTCCTTTTTCTTAAATGGCATAGGAAATCGTCATAACTGCCGATATTGGTCCGATTCTAATCCCAGAATTTATCAGGAGGTTCATACCAAAAATTAAATGTTTGGGCTGGTATTTTTGGCGATCATTTAGTTGGTCCTTCTTTCTTACCTGGAAATTTGACCGGTGAAATGTATTTGGAATTACTGGAAGACGCCATAGATCCCGCATTAACAGCCATAATTGAAAATCAGAATGATCGGCGGTACATTGCGTATAGGTTGATGTTCCAACAGGATGGTGCCCCACCACATTACGCATTACGTGTTCGACAATATTTAGATCAGACGTTTCCAGATCGATGGATTGGTAGAAGAGGTGCCATTGAATGGCCCCCAAGATCACCAGATTTATCACCTTTGGAGTTCTTTATGTGAGGTCATTTAAAAAGAAAAATCTATGCTACTCAGCCAACATCATTAGAAGACCTGCGACACAAAATTGTGAATGAGTGCCTTCAAATTACCCCTCAAATATTGCAAAATGTTCGGCAACGTTTTGAGCAAAATCTTTATTATTGCATGGAGAGTGATTTTCAACATTTACTTGCCTAACGGGTCAGTTCATTCTTGATTTTTAAAGTACTTTGCTGCCAAATGTATTGATCTCCACTAATGATGATGTATTAGTTTTATTTAAGCTTTAAATCAATAAATCTTCAAAATTACTCAACTGATGTACATTAATTTTATATCATTATAAAGGGAATTGAAAGACCTTTAAAATAAGGTATCACTCGATCCCCCTTTCCATTTAAGATTTTGGGGGTGGTGTCACCCAATATATAAGGAAAGATTTTTAAATATGAATTTTATATTTTGATGAAACACTTTTCGTAAGTATGTGTGAATTTTCAAGAACTAGTTTAATACATATTTTCAGTGTAGGTATATAGAAAATTCTTAAATGGTTATTTTAGCAAAATTTGTAGGAATGCTTTTAGAAAATTGGGTTTATAAAGAAAATTCATTCTAGATATAATGGTTTAATTTGCCAGAAAAATATCATTAAAAAACACTCTAAGGCTCTTCTGCAAATTGCAAATCCACTGCTCTGAAAAAAACAACTTACTAATTATCAAGTATTATTGGATTCATAAGCTGCTTTCCAGTGGTATTTTGTTTGAGAGAGATATTCTCCCAAACTACTCTAGAAAGTGTATTTATATTCAATTTCAAATTCAAATTCAAAATATTTATTTCGTCATGAATAAACAACATAAACAAAGGAAATTCTACATATAGAGCAATGACGAAAAAGGACAGTCTTTCGATTATAAAACCGATACCTACATTGGACCCTTTAATACAAAGAGTCCATGCGAGAAAGCCCTGAACACCCTAAAAGTCTTTAAACAAAGTAAAAAAAAACAATTAAAAGGCAAATGAAGAGGCGGTGAAACACAAAAAGGCAAAAACGAAGAAAGAACCCCCGGGAGCTGGCAACGGACGCGAAGAACAAAACTATACAACTTGTCAGCGAGTAGGAATGTAAAAACGATATTTTTGCTCACACAAACGCTGCCAAAGTAGCTGGTGATTCTGTAACAACGTTTTATAGGAATATAAAATGCAGTGGAACAATATTGGTGCTGAGCACTGCTGAGTTACTCCGAGTAGCTTAACTGGATCACTGATAAGCAGCTCTATAATGCACCTAAAAGGACCCCACATTTTCTTCCTATGAGAGTTCGAGATTTGGTTAATTTTTAAGAAAATTTGTTATGTTATCTTAGATATCTTGGTGAAAAATGTCAATGGGCACAACTTGATCCTTTGACTAACTTTCAAAGAAAAGGTTTTTAAAAATAGACTAATTATTTATTTTTTGGGAAATGTGACTTTTTACAGTAGTAAGCGCACTAATTTAGCAATAACTATTTTGTGATTTTAAGTATATTATAATTCAAGGAACAAGAATATAGTATTTTCGACTGTTAAAATTTTGGAACGGCGCTATTGAACTTAAAAATTTTAAAATAGTTACAGGTGATTTACCCCTACTACGACAAAAATAAAAATAATTGATATATGTATTTTAAAAAAGCATTTTTGATGTATCTAAATCAAGTTACGATTATATGTCTTTTCATTGTGATGTTATGAATATAATCTTCGTACCCATTTTCAGAAAAATCCACGCAAATAACTGTTACACTTCAAGGCTAGTTATGTATGGTCTTGTCAATACCCTTATTCTCAACTGGTACAATAATGTTTACTAGTCAGATAAATTAAGCTATGTAATTATTGAAAAACTTACCATTTCCCCTTTTCCACAAAAAAAGAACACTCAAATAATGTACCACTTGGAGGTACACACGAAGCACGCTATCATAGTGAAAGTCACAGGCAAAATGGATGCCGGCAAACGGGTCGGCTCAGTTCGTCTTGCCATTATGACATTGGCCGCTCGGGGTCGCATGCACATGTGCCGGGGCCGAAAATATTCAATGAAAATTTTCTAAATAATGGAGATTTAATATATTTTCCATTGCTGACAAGTAAATATTTATAAAAGAAACATTATATTTAAAATATTTAAAAGATATTGAATAAATATTTAATAATATTATATTCCTAATATTTATTAAATATTTGTTTAAGATAACAAATTTTAAGTTAAGATATAAATATTATTGAATTGAATAAATATTTAATGAATATTTCTGGGTCAAATGCTAATGGAAAGCTCACAAATGGCAGCCGCTAGAGCTTTGTCGTGGATGCAAATTGGGGAGAGGGAGGGAGGAGGGTGTGCACCATAACGGAAAAAAAGGATATGCGCCAAAGTTCCTTGAAGAGTGGCGAAGGCAAAGCGAAATTTTTGGAGCTCTAGTTTATCTCTATTTACAAATGAAGTTGAACTGACATGTATTGAGGCCTCTTCAGTGAATTCAGCGGACACATCACTACAAATGCGTTTAGTGACTAAACTTTAGTCCGACGTAGAACTGTGGACTAAGGGCGGATTTAAATGGGGTCACCCAAAGCTGCCAGTTTTTATTGACCCACAGAGACTAAACATCTTCCTGAACCTATGACCACCACTGTACATTCGCACAAAACAGGTTCCTAATTCCATCCTTGCTGTGGACTCTGTTTATGAACGATCGCTCATCTGATAACTATATGTCGAATTTCCCACCGTCCTTCTAACCCCCACCCTTATCCCGATCAATACCACTTGTGTACACGACGCGGAGTCCTCGCGGCCCCCATCCATGAGAGTCAGTACGCGCGCGATGGCCGCCGTAGCCCAGATGGTGGCTGTGTCGTGTTCGAGGAGCTGCTCGTCATGCCGCCCCGATGAGTTCGCCGCCCCCCGCAGCAGCAGCGGAGGATGCCGCCGCGGCGGAGCGGCCCCCCTCATCGCAGCAGCCGTTGCCGCCCCCGGGCCCCAAGAATACGGCGCCCCCCAATACCGCTGACCGACACAGGAGGCGGCACGGCCTGCAGCCACCGTTGCATCCGCTGCAGCTGGTCGGCTGGTTGGCACTAGCCGCCCTATCCACAGGTACAATAGGAAAAAGATACCTATGTATGATTTGAGAAAATTAATGCCTAACATCGCATATACCACGAAATATTAAAATGTGCAAATTTATGAAAATGGACCAAATAATTTCACAAAGCATCAGTCTATAAGTAAGCGCTTCGAAAATGACTCAATTTTCAAGTTGAACGCAACTATGAAATTTTTGTATTTTAATACTTTAGTTAATATATATTTTACGCTTTCATCGGCATTTTCCTTTTTTTATTTTTTTAGTAAGGCACACAAAAACCATGAAAGGCCAGGCTAACAAATAAACTACTAGACAAACGAAACAAATTGTTATTAAATGACATGAAATGACAATTATACAACTTACATTTTTTCTTTAGAGTTAATCATTATTTATTTAATAATACGAGTTTTATCAAACACTTCCGATCTGCTTTACAAGAACAAGCCTCCATACAAGGCCAATATAATGAACCAGTCGTTTAAGTTTCGCTGTGGTCAAAATATCTGCTTATACTACATATTCAGAGACCTTTCGTTAAAATGAAATATTAAATACTTACAATAATATATTCTCATAAAAAGGTCTAAATGTAAAACTAAGAATGAATTCGTGAAAATGATTCGAACATAATTTTGATGAGTTTTAAATCGCTGTAAAATAATTTGCCAATTACCTTTGTAATTACGATTAAAAAACTTTTTAACCAGACTAAAATGGTGATCTTGTGTTAGGCTAAAGTGTTCCACATGGCATTAGAAATCTGCATTTCACAATGATAAAAGAAAATAGGAATAATAGTATATTTAGTAGAATACTTACGTTTTGCTTGGAGCAAAGATTATAATTTTAACGCTGACGACCGATGTCAACAATGTGAGGGGCCGCATTGATAAAATAACGCGAGTGATTCTCCGCCCCATCTGTGTCGTTGAGTTGGATTCATATAAGTGTAGAAGGAATTTATCATCGCATGGGAATAACTAGAAGTTTTTAATAATAGGCCTTACGAAGAGCATCACCTTTCTTGGTTGACCTTACTTGATTTTTTTTTGAAAGCTCAAATTACACAATTTTTGGCATTGTCAAGAATTCATCCATTTTTTCGAATATCTAAACATTTTTATTTTTATAAGTGCATGATCGCAACACTTTCTACTCCAAACATATATAATAAAATACACTAAGATACACAACATACAAATATTTACTCGTAATCCAGTCGTATCAGGCGTTTCAACTCTGAATGAATGAGAGATAATAAGCTGTAAACTCGTCGAAGTCTCATTCAAGTCTCAAGACATCTTGTGTCCTCGTCTTAAGATATCAAAGGTTGAAGTTCACAAAAGTCGTTTTTTTTTGCAATGATCTCGTTTCATATGGGTTTAGTGCTATTTTCATGCAGTATGAATACTGTAGAGAACCTCTACTACTCATATTGTATACATTTTTTCATACAATTAACCATTTTTTAAGCTGGGGATGAAGTCCGTGTAGCGCTTACTATTTACAGCATAATGCAAGGTCAACGGCATAGGTATTATGTACAAAACTATAAAACGCAAAAAACTATAAAATGTCATCTTGCAGACTAGGTAGGTTTCAGGGTGCAAACAGTCATTCCACGTTTGCTCACTAGAATCGTTGTGAGTGTGCATCTATGGAGGAATGGCTCAACTACACACATTGTTGGTCGCATATGTTCCGTGATGCCAAGAAGTCTATAGTTTTCATCTCTGAGAAGAAAATTGGTTGAATATTAAGCTCGCATCTGGATGATTGTGTGTATTGATCTGCATGTATATATACTAAGAGACATATAAATCCGAACACCCAGTTTAAATGGTTTTATTTTAATAAAATTTTGTATAAGTACTTAATGAAGCATAATAAGTAAATGATAAAAATTTCAAAATGATTGCACTGCTTTAAAGCCCTTTGACCTTTAATAATGTGTGGATGCACCCTGATGTGCTACGCATTCTCCAACGCGCCTAGGCATGCTTCTGATCAGGTGGTCAATGTCCTCCTGTGGTATCTCATTCCAGGCAACCACCAACTCCTCTCGAAGTGCTTCTAGAGCCTGAGGAGGACGTTGCAAATTGAGCAATCTCCTACCCATCATATCCCACACGTTCTCAATTGGGGATAAGTCGGGAGATCTTGGTGGCCATGGTAACAATGTGACATCATTATATTGAAAGAAGTCTATTGTGACTCTTGCAACATGTGGTCGGGCATTATCTTGTTGGAAAGTTGGACCTGCCAGGGTGTCAAGATAGGGTAAAAGATGGGGTTCTAGAACTTCGTGGATATAACGCTGCGCGTTCATGTTACCTCTGATGAAGATTAAAGGTGACCTGGAACCATAAGCTATAGCACCCCAAACCATAACTCCAACAGTGTGGTGAACATGTCTTTCAACAAAAACTGTGGATTCCTCCTTTCACCACGTCGCCTTCTAACCCTGGCACGACCATCGTGCATGCCTAAACAAAATCGATACTCGTCACTAAAGACAATACTGTGCCATTCCTGATCCCAGAGTGATCGTTGTCTGCACTACTCAAGGCGATTACGTCGGTGTTCTCGAGTTAAAGGGAGGACCCAGTGTGGTCGGTATGAAAACAAGCCAAAACTTCTCATTCGTCGGTAAACACTTCGCAAGCCAATAGGTCTTCCGTGTTCTGCAAAGCATTCATTTGCAATGGACCTGGTAGTGGTGAAACGGTCCCTTAAGGCCAATAATTTTAGGCGGCGATCTTCAGGGTCTGTTGTTCTACGGTTCTACGGCTGTTCGGATTTATATGTCACTTAGTATAAAATCAGTGATATTTGCTGTGTGAGAGAATCATTACTGAATACGCTGCCAATGAAGTACATCTATTAGCTGTGCCCGACGGGTTACGTATATGTTGTCCCTTCTAAACACAGGTTATGTTCAAAGTTATAAATTACAATTTTTACATTTTTTTGTGCTTTCAAAAACTTTGAGGAGAATTACGGGAAATCAGCACCGCGCCCGCGTTGTGTGTAATTACTGTTAGCATGTACAAATATGATTTGTAATTCGACAATGTAGTGAATATAATTATTTATCTCTCTCATTTTTAAAATTCTGCAAATTTGCATATGTAATTTCCAGAATGGATAACAAAAAGTGGGTGCCCAACTAATTTCTAGGTTTGAATCTCAAGTAAGTGTATTTGAGACAAGAATAAAATGGAATTATCAACACATATTATTAGCACACAAATCCTCACTATGCACCTATGTATTGCCGTAACCTCCAGTAATGCCATGTCTGATGCAGATTTTACATCACAACAGAGCCAAACATTGATAACTGAAGCCTCAGGACGTTTAGGCAACGCATACAACTACAAAACGAGTTCACAACGTGTCCATCAGCTAGTGCTAAGTTAACATCTTGTTGAAAAACCTACATAATATCACAAAAACCAATATAATGTAAACAAAAATTGACATAATATGACTTTTCAAGATATGTAGTACCCGTGCCGTTAGTTCATAATTAATACGCCGAATTAAGTCTATACCGTTAATATATACATATATAGAAAATAAAGAGAAAATTATCCCGGATAAAGGTATATAACAAAAAATAGGAAAATAATTATACTACAATGTGTAGGTTGGCTCTTGTTGGGGACTTCGTGTGTCATTTTTTTTCCTCTCCATCTTCGTTTCTTCAGGTTACACCCGTATCCGGATGTATGGACATGTGTATCTACTTTTGTGGTTGCATATGTGCATTCATTTCGGGCCTGATGAAGCCAACAAGCAGAAGTACGTATTGCTCGGGTTACCTATCCTATTTTCTGCTCGAATCCACTTTCCCTTTTTGAGAATTTTGCTCATTATTTTCCTATTTTTTGATATATATACATATATATATAGTAAGTATATATTTATTAATTATTTATAGACTTAATATGGCGTGTTATTTATAGGGACTAAGGTTCGGCCTGTAAAATGCTAAGCTCTGCGCGATCTCTGCCCTCTCTCTCAAAAACGCATTATTGCATGAAAAGGTGTTTGAAATAAAGATTGTAGAGTATTTTATTCTCTACAATATCTCATGAGACTTTCAAGATAATTTTGAGAATGGCAAAATAAAGGTGTCTACAAGATTACAGCTCATCTCTCATTTCGGGGTAGATCTTTATGGCTTATATAATTGGACTAATATGAAAATAATAGTGTTGCTTTTCTACGCTCACAAGAAAAACAAAAATTGAAACAAATCAATACATAAATTTAATAGAACAGGGTGTTACTGCATATGGTTAATACAATTTTTGGACATGTCGAAATAAATTAAAGAAATATGATATTTTTAATGTTTCGATCAGTTTAGTGCGTCGCCAAAATAAATTAAGGGAAGAAAATGTGAATATTCATAAGCTGGATGGCCCCTATAACAAATAAGCAGTTATTATTCATTTATTTACTTGATAAACGAAAAAAACTAATTATTGAGCAACACCTTGTTTTAGTATATTATAATTTACATAACATTCTTTTATTGCAGAGTTAATAATTATTTATCGATTTCATGATTTATTAAACCGTTCCGACCTGCCATGCAAGTCCCATATAATAAGTCGTTCAACTCAAAACTAACGTTGTGATCAAACTATCTACTTGTATTCGTTAAACTACATAAAAAGGTATTTTATCAAAATGAAATGTTAAATTCTCACAGTAATATATTCTCAAAAAAATACTTCATGAACATTACACTGTCTCAGGGCCGCAGAGAGAAAATCCGGGCCAGGGGGAACCGAAGCGCGGGCTCCTACCTCGCCCCTCTTTCTTTTACGTTTGTTGTGCTGCTACTCTGCAATGGGCGGTATTATTTTATTTTACGTGAAATTAAATCAAACTTGAAAGCCGATTTGCAATCTTCTTATTTGTTTTTTAAAAATAGTTTACGCTGAAAATGTTACTAAAATTGCTCTTACTTCATTATATGAAATTCACTTGTGATATGATGCTACACGTACACATTATTATCTACACAACTTTTTTTTTCTTTCGAATTGATTTTTCAGTCTGAGCGTCAGGCCGGGCCCCCTTGAAAAGTGCGGGCCCGGTGGGACAAGTACCCGATGCCCCCCCCTCTCGTCGGGCCTGCACTGTCTTATTACTAAGAATGTAGTCCTGAAAATGTTTTACATACTATTTTAACGAGTATTACAGCGATATCAATTAATGATATACATGAAATACACCGACCAAAATGAGCTTTGCGAAATGCCTTCGTAGGCCCAAATTTCCTATTTTCCTTTCTTACTAGATATTTTTTGCGTACGAAAACGTTTCGGGCAAGTTATTCTTATTATTTATAATTTGTTACTGGCTGACGGGTTATATCCCAGTACCATTAATAAAAAAAATAGCCTCTTATGGGTCCGTTCCTTATTTGGCTAAAATGTTTCAGATGGCGTTAGAAATCTACAATTCAGTAAATTTATATTGAGGTGGTACAATCTACGAGTAAAAACCGATACGATATACCCAACTTATCTCTACAATTAAAAGCAAGTATTAGTATTTTCGTGATTCATAAATGTTCCTAATAAGGCACTTGTGTCCTAGCAAGGTCAACTGTAAATTTTTTGATCTGCCTTACAAGTAACCATCGCCTTACCTAGAAACTCTATACCAATATTTTAACCAAAATGGAAATAAAGTAATAAATGGTTCTTCAGTACTAAAGCAGATACTTGTATGTCAATAATTCAGAATAAAGCAATTTATAGATATCTTGAGTTTTGTTGTGAGCGCGTATTACAATGTCAATGTCGACGATCGACATCAACAAAGGGAGGGACATTAGCAGTGTTAGTATGAGTTGAAGGAAATTTCTCATCGCATGGAAATAACTACAACATTTTAGTAATCAATCTTACAACCAAAATTATATATAAAGTTATTTCAGTGAGTAGGAAATACTGAATCAAGCAAAGGGCCATATCATCGGTCGTTCCTAAAAGGAGGGTTGCTAGGCGACAAGGTGCTTCTATCTCTTTCTAACACACATATTGAATGCATTTTGCGCTTCTCTCTCGTACTCATTAATCGTCAGTGGTATTTGGTTTTCAGTGTATACGTGGTTTCATTTGCCAGACAAACTTCGGCGATTATCGACATGAAAACCACAGGTTAAGTTTCAGATGTTACATTTCATTTTTTAATTTCTATAGGAAACCAAAAGGTAACATTTCTTAAAACAGATAAAAAACATGACAAACAATACCTCCTTCGAAAGAGGAAGGCAAAAGGGCGTGACTGAGAATATGACCCTTACCTACAACTTTGTAACTTTAGTAACTCAATGGCTCTGCCCTGAAGATTGAGTGTCTATATTAAACCTTTTCAAAGTTTTGCAATTTTGAACCAATGCTAGACTTTTATCGATAATTTAAGATCACTGCCTATTCACAGGTGCGTTCGTGGTCCAGGTGCCGGCGCTGCCCCCCGCCTTCCAACCGGCTTTAACTGCCGCCCTTTCAGCAGTGCTGCTCGTCCATTTGGCCGCTCACCTGGCTGCCGCCCTTGTCGATCCTGCAGAAGAGGAATTGAGGAAGAGGAGGTCCGTTGAGGTCTCGCAACTAGATAGGTAGGTTTAATTTTACAGAGGGGCGGGGTAGCTGAGCGTTTAGCGCGTCTAGCTGTCAGTCGACTCTAATCTCTGCCTCGGAAGGTAATTTCTAATTTCAAGCCATGGATGTTGATGTTGTGTTGTCGGTGCATGATCAACACAGGTACCCCGACTGTGTCGATCAAATCATCTTGCTCGATAAACTCCTCCACCTCGGAGTGTCTGAGTGTTAACGTAGGTGTTCCACAAGGATCCATCTTAGGACGAATCTTATTCAGTATTTACGTTAATGATATAGGGGTGTTTCTCTACTAACTGGAAAGTTGCCCATACAAAACTGTCCCAACCAGATCATTCTTATAAATTAAGAAAATATATAGATAAATCAAGAGATATTAATTAAAGTAATATGCCGGTTCAAAAGCCGACATACAATGCTATTTATTTTCGAATTATGAACGAATTTATAAAAAATGACGACAGGGGACTGTTATCTCATCCAGGGGAACGTTTATGTAGGAGAAAAAACGTTTTAATTGAATGTAACTCTTTGTTTTTATTTATTTTAACTACACTAAAATAAAGTTTTGATATTTAGGAAAACACAATTACTAAAATCGATTTTCTTAATACTATACAGCTTCTGAGCTAAGAAGCTTTATCTGACTTAACTAGTAACTCTTACAGCTTACAACAAATCAGTCTTACTATTGCACTTTGAGAAAATATCATTTTTAAAACAGCTACTGGAAAGTAATAAGACAATCTTTTCCCTTTTGGAGTTAGATCTGGGGTTGATAACTTTTCCAATATTTGGTCCAAAGGAACATCAGAAACGTCACTTTCGTCAAATCTAAACATATGGCGTTTATCGTCACAAATTTTCATAAATATGACCGTCACTTCATCTTCCTCATAATCAATTTGATTTACCACTGCAGCATATCGATATTCTGCTTTTTTTTACGGAAAACTCTACTAAAGCATAATCACCGATGTTGTACTGGTTGATTATTCTAAGCTTGACAATGTTCTCCAAATTAGTATTAGACTGCTTAAATTACTGTGGAACATGGGTTTCTAAAACAGAGTTGGTATCAGGTCAGTCAAGGGCTGGTCCAAATTCATCTTCGAGTCCTTCCACTCTGAGTTTTCCCTTGTCTTGGCTAGTGCCTTTGGGAAACCCCAATGGACACCTTGATATGTTTCTCTTCGTTTGGTGTATTTTAAGGGTACCCGTGAAACTATTCAAATCAGCGACTTTTTTCTATAAAAGTCGTTCGTATCTTAAACGTTCGGCCATACGTTTTTGTTGTAAGATTTTTTCCCTGGCTTTGGGTGGCTCTTTTTTGGCGGGAATCGTCAATTACCTGAAAGAAATACAATATTTTGATAATTAATTATCACTGCAGTATAGTCTGGCAAATCAAACTTGACATTGCCTGAAAGAAACAGTCCCCTGTAGCATGAAACAGTTCCCTCTACCAAAAATTGTTCGGGGACTGTGCTCAGAGGACTGTTATTTTAAGAAAGAATGTTTCTTGGCATACAGTCATTCAAGAATTATACAAAATGAACAGATAGACATGAAAACATACTTTGTGGGTAATTATGCTATATAATTATTTTAATCACTCAAATCAACAAAAAAATTACTTACCAGTGGACTGTTACAACTATCTACCACGACGTGTGGTTCACAGACAAACGCAGCAGTAACACTAAATAACCATGACGTCCACCCTCTCACTCTGCAGCTTTGTGAACTTCCCACCGGATGTGTTCGTTTTCACAATGAGAACAACCGCACCAATATGTTGTATAATTTTAGCGCCATTTCCAAATTGTGGCAGGGGACTGGTCAAAAAATTTGGGGACAACATTTGGCTTTCAGTTTCGTAATTATTTTTTTATCTTAAAATATAGTTGTAGTTTTCAAAGATACTTGAATGAATCTTGAAATTAGAGGAATTCCGGCCACCATAAGGAGCCAGTGCATAGGCCGCTTAAGCGGGCCCTTATGCACCTCTACAATCGTTAGATCACAAGCGTCGCCCTTCTAGCGAAGTTGAGAATCGCCTTGAGTCCAAGCTCCTTGACGTCCTGAGGGTCCAAAGTAATGGACCCCAGTATAGTCTGCCTATAGTAGCTAGCTCAGAGCTTCACAGCGACACAAAACGTGCGCCGAGGTCTCTTCCTCTACTCCGCAGCGTTCACACAAGGGATCCTCAGCCATCCCCATCACGTGCAGGTGACGCCTTAATGTGTTATGGCCAGACAACAGTCCCACCAGCAACCTTAGGTTGGCTCTATCGAGAGATAGGCAGAAGCGTCCATCCTTAGCACTGGGCCCTTCAATGAGTTCTCGTGCCTGGCGGAGATGTCTGGAGATACTTCTCCATTTCTGAGAGTGTTGTCTTGCAGCCCACGTCTCCATTTTCCTACTAGCTTTATGCGCGGTCACTCCTAGAGCTGGCTCAGGACCAACGAGCTTGCTGGCTGATCCTACCGGCGTTCCACTCCTCCCTCGTTGGATACTCCACAATAAACTTCCGGTTGAAGCGATATTTAGGGGTAATACGATCACCCCTGCTTAGAAGGACGGGGTCCTCCCTTTGTAATTCGACTAAGATGGCAGTATGCCCCTTGACAGGATTCAAGAAAGCCCAGCTGCTCTGACTCTATAGTCGATGAGCGACTACTCTCGCTTCACCGCGGATCACCAGATCCAACGGTGGGAGATCCAACAGAGCTTCCATTGCACTCAATGGCGTTGTTCGCACTGCGCTTGTAATACTAATACAGGCCAAACGCTGAATTTTATTGAGTTTGGCCTTAGTTGACTCAGTTCTAATGCAAGGCCACCAGACCAGGGAGCCGTACAAGAGAGATGGACGTACTATCGTCGTGTAGAGCCAGTTTACCACTTTGGGTTTAAGCCCCCACCTTACCCCGACAACACGTCTACAAGCCCACATCGAATTACGAGCCTTGCTAACCTTGTGTTCCACATGCTCTCTCCAGTTCAGTTTGCAATCCAGGATAAATTAGGTGTTTGAACTGCATTAAATTTAATATTACAGAATTATATAAGAAAACGAACAATGGCGTATCAACAATAGCTAATAAGTCACAGTTTTTATTACATAGAACTTAGTAATATTATATAAATTTTGCCGTGAAAAGCCAGTTAGTGGAGAAATGCCCATAGAAAAATGCTTTAGCGGAGCGAAGTTCACATTACACCTATATGCAGACGACACATCTGACGTCTGTGATACGAATCTTATGTGTACCTAAATGTAATAGTTTGTTGAATGTTCTTGACGAGTGGTTCTCGAAACGCCGTTTATAACTCAATCTAGATAAAACTCTGGCTGGTTCCTCAATGCACAAAAAAGGTCAATACTTTTAATACCAAAATAAAGAAAATAACCAGAAAATTAGAACTCCAAATAAAATTCTTAGGAATTTATTTTAATTACGATATTAGCTTTAGAATGCACTGTGACCGTGTAGTTGCAAAGCTAAATTCAAGGACATTCATTATGAAAAAAATTAACAGAGCAGCCATCAATAACAAAGTGGAATCTTGATTGAGATACGGACTGTGTGTGATATACCAAACATGTCTTTATGTGTCAGAAAAGGGTGTTAAAAAGTATGGCAGGTGTGGGGGTCTGTTCAAAAAATACCGTATATTCACCTTGCCTTCATTATTTTCGAGATGGCCATATACACCTTCTCGAGGCAAAGCGCACAGCTACATATACCTTTCGCCAAATATAGTTTTGCAAGAAAGTCACCAAATGTAGTGGGACTTTATGTGCAGTCAGTATATCAACTGCGTTATAAAACGTTTATCAGGCGCTTCAATTTCCTTATCTCAACCCCCTCCCCTCCCAAACTTCTCTCTGCGTCCGTCCATAGGCATCGCGCTGACTGAATCCGGCACTAGTTTTTCTTGTGTAATATCTGACTGCCTGACCGGTACCGTTTAATTCAACAAATTTTTTGATAGCATTGAAAATCAGTGTCCATAGAAACAATGCAGACGTAATGCTGGTTCAAGAATAGACAATCTCATCTGAAAGTAAAAAAACTCATTCGTAAAATTATAGTACATTTAGCTATTATTGTCCACGTAGTCCGTACATCATACAGTACTTAATTATCGTACAAAAACGGTAATCACCATACGTCTGGCAATGCTGGGGTCCAATGGTTGTCCTGAACGGCTTAACTTTTGAGATAAATTTAGAAAGTCCGATATTAATAATAAATGGAAACTTTAGAATCCTGGATCTCAAAAGTTAAGATATGTTATTTACGACGTACGTTCATACGGACCCTTCTTCTTACAGTTAACTAAAAAATCGACCCCTCGAATATTGACATTCAATTAGGAAACACTATGTATAGCGGTGATGATGATGACTCAGCTGCTTTTTTATATATCGAAGCAGCTGCGCAGTCAGAAGTCTAAATGCCGGGACATCGCGGCTGCTATGAATATCCCAAAGAAATTATGTTAATTAGATTTTTGAACTGCCAAAGGTTAGTAGAACTGGGAAAAGCTTCCTCTTGTAGATTGTTCCACAATCTCGACACTCTCGGGACAAAGGAGCGGTCGGCCAGTTCTGGATGTAAGTTCGACACGGTTAGGATGGGACGCCAAAGTCAGGCGGATCTGTCTAGCAGGCACATCGCGCGGCAGCATCATGCAAGAGACCTCTGAGGAGCAAAGCCCGTTGACGTAGCGGTAGAAGAAACCTAAATCGCCGACTGCCCGCCGGTGCGAAAGGGTTCCGAGACTGTCTGTTAGAGCAGAGTCGTCGATCAATCGGACAGCCCTCCTCTGGACAGCATCGAGCATAAATAATGTTGTCGGGGCGGCAGCACCCCAAACGTGTGTGCAATACTCGAAGCTAGGCCTTATCTGTGCCTTGTATAGAGTGAGAAGGTCATGCCGAGAAAAGTACTTTTTAGCCCTGAGCACATAGCCTAGCTTTTTCCCAGCAGCTGCCGCTATTGACGAGATGTGTTCGTGCCAGATCAAGTTCTCGGTGATCTGGACTCCAACCAGCCGAAATAAATGGCTCTTTGGCAGAACTTGGCCATCCATCGAAACGGGATGAGCGCTAGGATGCTTTTTGTCCGTCAAGGTACAGTACTGTGTTTTGGAAGCATTAAACTGTACAAGCTTGTTGCGTTGCCATGCAGTAATAATCTTCAGGTCTCTTGTCAGAGACGGAGGCGTCGCTAGTCTTCTGTTTTCCAGCTCAGCGGCAGAGATCGGCTTGTCACTCTGAATTCCTGCATGTCGAGTGCTGTCATCAGCAAAGCTGTGGTTTGGGTTGATCGTACAGGAAAGGAGGTCGTTGATATGTAAGAGGAACAGTCTTGGAGCCAAGACGGATCCCTGGAGAACACGCGCTTTGCCGCTGTGGGATCAAAAGGAGAACCCATCAATTACGATGGATATCTTGCGGCCACCCATTTGCAAAGCTTTTCTGGGAGGTCATACGATGGAGGTTTGTATGAAAGGGCAGCGTGTCACAGCTGATCGAACGGTTTCGTGATATCAAGAGCAACAACATGAGCCTCATCATAAGACTGGATGAGTTTACCCCACAATTGCGTGATTTAAGCTGGGAGGTCCCCTGTGCTGATGCAGGAAACCATACTGCCTGTCGCTAAACAAGCCGTGATGTTCGCGGTATTCCAGAAGCTCGCGGTATATGCACCTCTCCTCCTCTCCATCACCTTACTTATAACAGAAAGCAGAGCTATAGGCTTGTAGTTGTAAGGGTCGGTCTTGGATCTTTTTTTTTTGGATGGGCTGGACATGAGAAAATTTCCAGTTTTCAGGGAAGGTTCCGGATTCCTCTCGAAGAGACGCGAAAGAACTGAAGCAAGTTCCGCTGCACATCTCTTCAGTACCCGTCTTACGGTTTTATGCGTGAATGTTACTACCCGCATAGTGTAGGAAACCCTTGGAATTGACGGCACTTGGGCGTTGGGGGGACGTCCGTGGTGGAGTTGGCAGCAAGGATCTTGGCAAGCACTTCCACGGCCTTCGAGTCTGTTACAATCGTTCCATCCTGACACGTAAGTGGTGGAAGGCTACTATGCGAGAAGTTTCTTTCGATCTGCTTGGCCAGTGTCCAAAAAGACCGACTGCCATTGCGTTGCGACATTACCCTGTGCCTAACTTGTATGTTATATCATGCTGGTCTTTGGTATTACGAACCGCTTCGTTGTATTTGTTTCTGGACTCGATGTCGGCTTGTCTGTCCTCTACAGTTTTGTAAGAAAGTTCTATGTGCGTTGATCTTTTGCTGGCGAGCAGTGTCGCACGGTTTGTTGTACCAGCCGTTGGACCCTGGTTTAGCTGGGTCAGCCCCTGAGTAAGAGCGAACGCTTCAACTGCAAAGTGAACTAAGGGCTTTCGCACACGCGTCGTAAGCGTAGTCGTTTCGTAAGCGTATCGTTACGACGCTACGCTTACGAAACCTGCAGTGTTCCACACACGCATTGTCACGTACTCGTACCGTTTTGTAAGATCTCAGTAGAAACCATGGCGTCAACGGTACCAGACGTTTCTGGTGTATCCATTAATGATTTTACATTTTCTTCATACGAATAGGACTTATAATATAATATATAATTCTAGTAATAGATGGAAATCGAAATGACATATTTCTATCAATTTTATACTTCTGCCAGAAGTTACGTCTACTGGCCTTTTAACCGTTATTCCACCTTGATAGCGCTGATGAACGTATCAGCTGTACATGTTTGGTTGAACGACCAAACGAGTTCGTGGCTTACGGCTAATGAAGCGTAACCACCCTTGGGAAAAATTCCTGCGTACGCTGATGGACTCAGGTAGGCAACGTGACAAGCAGTTTTTTTGATAGGGGAAAGCTTTTATAGCCTCTCTCAGGCAGAAAAACTCGACAGTATGGCCCTGCCGGCTCTTCCTGCCCGAAGTGTGAATTTCTCCAGAAAAGGCATACTCACTAAAACCTCTGAGTTGTCCGCGACGCATTTCTTCATACTGGGTAGCTGTGCTCTAGGTTCTCATAACGAAGGTATTAGTCATATATTCTCTATCGAATATATACATACTTTTATACCTATGTATGTACATGTACAACCGATCAAAATAGAAACCTACTATTGGTTCCTTGGTCTATTTTTGTTCTCCCATACCTTACACAGCATCATTCACCTCGCTATTGGCTGAATATCAACCCATTTCTATCGCGTATATGTGTGGAAAAAGCAAAAGTATATTGTCAGCAGTGAGCCTCTCGCCGAGCGTCCGTTCGAGCTGTGTCGGGTAGTCAACCCACCTACCACATTGGAGTAGGTGATTAGGAGTATCCTCCTCTTCTTTGCAATATAAGTACGAAATTCGTATACTCTCTCTTTTCGCACCGCTCTCTTGTCAATAGAAGTTTTAATATCTGGGACCAGCTTTCTAGTCCATGCACCATGGACAGTTGCATCCCATCTCTCCTACCATCTAACAAAAAGCACATCTCTTTCGTCGCTTGTACCTTCAACGCCCTTTCCATAAAGCCCACATCTCTTCGCAGCCAGCAAATCAATTGGCGGCATACCAGCCACCACCAGCAGCGCCAAGCAGTTGGGGGACACGAATGTCAAAGGGGCCGACAGTAGCTGTCTCATCTGTTTAATCAATGACATTGCGTTGTGTCGCCTTATTGCGTAATTTTATTACATACTTTTGACCCATTGGACAAGCAATGCATACAAAAGTGACGGCGCTGTATCAAGACAATAATAGTAATCACTGGTGGAAGCATCTACCTTCATTAGGCTTGTGCTGCTCTTTGCAAATTATGTAAGAAGTATTATGTTTTGAAATCGACTAATACCATAATTATCTGTAAACACTAGCACTTTTAAAAGATAACACTAAAATATGAATTAAATGACAGAACTATCGCAAAATTATAACTTTGTGGACTTGTAGAATGTACTTTGATCCTTACAACAAACTATGAGACAAATCATTAGCTGGCTCCTTCTATCTAGTCTGAATTCATTGACTTGCATTATGGACTTTCATCCTGACTACGTACTGAAATTTTGGAGACAAACAAATGGAAGGCCTGCTCCTTCTACCTATTCTGAATGCGTTGGGTTGGACGGATGAGCATTATTGAATCATAATATGTTTTCTTCTATTCTTGTTGTTCTTCCTTTTCAGACAGAAGCACCTTCACGCGATAGAACAAGGTCGTTGCCACCTGTGCGACATCTGGGTGACCGGTCGTCGTACTAAGCACTGCGGCTACTGCAACAAGTGCGTCGCTGGGTTCGACCATCACTGCAAGTGGTTGAATCAGTGCGTGGGTTCCAGGAACTACGCGCCGTTCGTGATGTGCGTGGCTAGTGCTATGGCGGCGTCAGCGACCGTGGCTGCATTGGCTGTGGCTCAGCTTGTGGTGGGGAGGACGCATGCTGTTTTAGTGCAGCAAGATGTTAAGGTGGGTGCCAACAGTTTGAGTCGAATATGATCCTGCCGGAAAGCTCCTGTTTTACCCAAGTATGGCTCAGAGCTTTGGCGAACTCGATGGGGGAGGAAGGGGAAGGGGGTTAGGCAGTAGTCACTTCCTCGCGCACTACTTACAAGCTTGAGTTTCACATTGACAATACATTTACTGTCGTGTTTGTCATTATACTACAACTATTTAAAACTGTAATGACTCTTGCGCGTGATCAACACGTGATCAGAGCTCGATCCCGGCTTCCTTCCAGTACAGCCGTATAGCGTACGACAAATGTCGTTTCTGTGGCTTTGCGGTGGTCAACAGCACAGACAGAGATGGAAATAATGGCTGATTGTTCTCCGCCGGTAGAACCAATGAAATCAAAGACGCGCCTCGACCGGTAGACTCATAGGCGTCGGCAACGCATTGGAACGTGTTTCGTTGAGCGATCGCATATTGTGTGTTTTTATAAGAATTGTTGTGTGATTGTTATTGTTGTGGTTTCTGTGGTTATGCTTAACCATGGAGAGTACAAATGGCACGAGTGGAAGTACTGAAAGCCAGGGAACAAGTAGACGGCTTCGTAAAGCACTGAAGAGGGACGCGAAAGAAATCGTGCTCAAGGTGTTCAATTATCTGAACAGAACTATGTCGCAGGGAGATGCACTCGCGCGTTGTGAAAGTATGACAGGCGTTCCAGAGTGGACCATTCGCAGGGTGGTGCATGAAAAGAAGAAAACTGGAGCTACTACTGATCCAAAGTTTAATTTGAAGGGACGAAAGGCCGTTAAATTGGATGACGATAGCAAAATGGCGTTAAGGCGAACCGTACATTCATTCTTCTTTAGGAATGAGATACCAACCCTCAAGGCTGTACTTGCAGCGATCAAGGAAAATGAAATTATACTCCGAATGAGCGTCGAGGTAATGAGGAAATCCCTGCACGAAATTAATTTTCGCTACGAAACGCGTAATCGGAAGTCAGTATTGATAGAGAGACCTGAAATAGTCGCCTGGCATCGAAAATACCTACGCGAAATGATTGAATATAGGCGACAAAGCAGAAAAATCTATTATTTGGACGAGACATGGGTAAATGCAGGTCACACAGTTAAAAAAACCTGGATAGACAAAAACGTAGTGAGTAACCGACAAGCAAGCATTGAAGGTTTGTCAAGAGGTCTTCGTGGACCGTCAGGGAAAGGTCAAAGATTGATCGTAACTCATATTGGTAGCGATAGTGGCTTTTTAGAAGAGTGTGACTTGATTTTCGTCTCTAAGAAAGGAGGTGATTACCATGACGAAATGAATGCCAGCTGCTTCGAGAGCTGGTTTCAAGGGGTGCTTCAGCGAGTTGAGCCCAACTCTGTGATCGTCATGGATAATGCTTCCTACCATAGTCGTCGAGCCGAACCTGTACCGACTATGGGATCTCGAAAAAGTAACATGCAGCAATGGTTGCGCGAAAAAGGAATCCCGTTTGACGATTCATGTGTGAAAGCGGAATTGTATGAAAAAATTAAACAGCACAAACCTGCGAACATTAGTTACGTGACTGATGAGATGGCCCGTCAATGTGGTGTCGCTGTGCTGCGGTTACCGCCCTACCACTGTGTACTGAACCCAATAGAGCTCATCTGGGCTCAAGTGAAGGGTTATATTGCGCGCCATAACACAACCTTCAAATTACCAGACGTTAAGGTTTTACTTGAGACTTCCATACAGCTAGTAACGCCCGAAGCTTGGCAGAATGCTATGACCACCACATCGACACCATCATAGAGCCAGTTATAGTAAATTTCAACGAGGAAAGCGATAGCGACAGTTTATTACTGTCAGATTTAAGTGGAAGCGACGACGAATAAAGGTAATTCAAAAATTTTTTACCTACAATATGTTTCAAATCACTCTTTATTAAGCATGTGACAAATCTAGTTCACCCATGTTAAACATTCATACCCCGCCTATGAATAGCCGACTACTGGTAGTTAAGTGATGTTCACGTGAACATCGATGAGACATTTCAGTTTTAGATAGTTATAGTATAGTGACTGACACTGAACTATTTCAATGGTTCGCTGACTGCAAGGGCGCCCGCAGAAATTTTTCTCAGGAGGGTCGATCATCATTTTGTGGAAGCGTACCTGACACTACATACCTACTTTTGTCTTGTTATTCAGTGCTGCCAGTCATGAGTTTTGTGTACAATAAATAAAATATTTATCTTTGAGTTTCTTTCTGTCCCTAACCATTCGCGTTTACTATAAAAGTAGCCGCGCCAGTCGAAATGATCGAGTATTGACTGACTTGAACATTTCTATTAAAAAATGTTAATAGTAATTTTAATCTCCTACTAAAACTTTGCATTTCAGTCACCCAGTGTATCAATAGAAAGTCAAAAATCAGATTAAAACATCTCAAAATTCAGGGATGGGCACCACTAGGGTAGAATCTAGCTGCCTCCTAAAATTTGCATATTTAGCAGACTTTTAAGCTTTGCTCCCCTCCCCCATCTTGAGGAAATTTGCAACACTCCGCCCTTAAAAAATTTGTAGAGGCTGATAGGTAATTACAATATACAAAGAGTGTGCTTTTGCCGATGTATAGCCGCTCCCTCCTGAGATAATATGTTTTTTTTTGACGAGGTAATTGATACTCCGGCTATGAACTTGGGGGTATTTTTAGATAACATTCCTAATATTTGTACCCAACTGATATCTTACACAAAGTTATACAGGCTGGTCATTTAAAAACTTCCCACCACGGATTTATCGAAAACCAATGATTAAATGGAAAAGCACAAAGACTTCACCCCCTTTCACCCTCTGCCCCCAGGGTCATGCCCTTAAAAATGTCAAATGACAAGGAATATCGAGTAATAGCTTGTTTGAAAGGTCTTTCGAAGTTCTTTATTTTGACGTTTGATTTTTTAGGATCAGTCGATTCTTTTTGGAGAAAATTAGAAAAATCTTTATTTATCTTAATTTGTTAAAATGGAAAACAAAAGCACACCAAAATATAACTTTTGATCTCAATAAGTGTTCAAAATGTTGCCCATTAGGGCTAGCCAAATTTACAATTCGTTTATTTTTATATTTAAAACGGAAACTACCAACATAAACAGCAATTCGAAAGGCTAGACGTGGCAACAACCAAATAATAACCCGAATTTTTTTCCGTATTCTTTTCATCAACACAGATACCTGGGAAAACTGTATTTATTGTTATACGTGTTTAGTTATTTGTTGCTACGGGAAAGAAATAATTTAATTTGATGTCAGTTAACTTTGTCACAATCTTGGGACAGTGAAAATTAATTTATTGATTCAGATCTTACTTTCAAAATGGTTTACACACTAGCCGAAAGAGTGGAAATGATTCTAATATATGGTGCCCAAAATCAATGTACTCGGCAAACTGCCGTCACGTTTAACGCCAGACATCCGGGGGAAGATAACTTCGCATAGGTATGTTTTGGACCTGGTTACTGGATCTGTTTCAAATAAAAAACGTGATCATCGGAGAGTTTTGGATGAAGCCGCTCAAGTTGAAGTTTTGGGTCATTTAGGAATAAATCCTAATACTTCGTTATGCAAAATTGTTGCTGCAACTGGTATTTTATTAGGCTCTGTGCTCACAGTTGCTTAACTTTCATCCATTCAAAATGAAAATATTGAAAGAGTTAACCGAAGATGATTTCGATAGGAGAGTTGAGTTTTGTGAACAAATATCTTCAGCGATTAGTGATAATACCATTAATGTAAATCTGCTTCTGTGATCCCTGCACATTTTATGTAAATGGATTTATTAATAAGCATAACTGCAGGTATTGGTACAATGAAAATCCTTATGCTTTTGTAGAAGGGCATACCCAGTACCCCCAAAAAATTGATCTATGGGCAGGCATTTTAGGAAACAAAAAGATTGGGAAATTGTTTATTAATAAAAATTTGAATGGAGGAATTTATTTGGATATGTTGAAAAATAACATCGATCCGCTTATCACTGAAACCATTAAAACCAAATCCAAAAGGATGGAAACTCTATAAGTGATGAGGCTGAAATATATTTCCAGCAAGAACTATGTTCTTCTGGTTCGGCAATAGCTAGATGACGAGTTTCCAGATAAATGGATAGGGCTAAGTGGGCCTATAGAATAGCCTGCTAGATCTCATGATTTGACGCCATTAGACTTTTTTCTATGGGGCCATTTGAAATCTATTGTGTTTACTCCACAAACTGAAAGTTTGGATGAACTTCATCAACTCATCATCGAAAGCTGCCATGCCATACCACAACATGTTTTTGAAAATGGCCGTCATTTTCTTGAAAACGAATCAACCGATTTCGAAAAATCAAACTTCAAAATAAAGGATTTCGAAAGACCTTTCAAACAAGCTATTACTCGATACCCCTTGTCATTTAAATTTTTTAAGGGGATGACCCTGAGAGGCAGAGGATGAAAGGCGGTGTAGTAGTTTCTAGTTAAAAAGTTGTCCCCCTTGACAAATCTGATGACGTGTCTCGGCACTTTTCTTTTTAATCAGTGGTTTTTGATAAATCTGAAGTGGGAAGTTTTCAAATGAACACCCTGTATATATACACGTATAGGACTTGACAAAACTTTATTTCTTATATGCTATCTCCAACTATCACAAATTTATTAATAAGAACCAAAAAATTAAACACAATTATTACGCAAGGCATAAACAAAGAGGAACAGTCGTGCCTAGACCAAATAAATCCATAACACAACGAGCATACCTCCATTAGGACCACCTTGCATAGCTGATTTTACGACGTTTTGTATTAAAAACCGATTGAAAAAATCTGATAAGCTATGTCAACAAATGTGTAAGCTATTGGAAACGAATTTTTTCGAAATAAAAAGCTTTCTAGATTATCGAGATGACATCAGACAGATTTTAAAAATATTTTTGATTTCCTATAATACTACAATAAGATACGCAAAAGTGACAGACAGCTAAAACGAATTC